CCCCCCCCTGGGCAACCTGAAACACAACTAAGTTTATTAACTAGCGCTCTGCATAATCGGGTGCTCCTCTTTCAGGTTTTGCAATAAGCATCCCATCCTATCCTATCCCATCCCCAATCCATCCCCCAGATCCCTCTTGGAAGTTGGAGGATCATCCTGCGCATCCAAAATTCCAAATGAATCAAGGCCTTTCAAGGCCCGGTTACTGTCCGGATCATCCCCCCTCCCCTTGACCTGTGCAGCGCCTCATTTTTTCTTTCATTTTCATGCGCACATATGCAGCACTGCAGCAGTGCAGTGCGTCGCCGGGAACAGCTCCGGCCTCCGGGCTAGAGGCCGAGAGAAACCGCTGCCCGTGGACATGAGATGGATTCAAATAAATGATCAATCAGGAACGGAAGTTGACGTCCGGAAGCATAGCATCGACGGACGGACAAGCAAGCAGAAAGGAAGGGTTCCGAGAAAGAAAGAAAGCCTTGTGGGGGGGCCGAGAGTGCGGTGAAGAAATCTAATACTATATCATAATCCGTCAACTATCTACTACGCAGTAGAGTACTAGCACACAGTCAAGAGTCAACACGCAAAGGGTCCATGAACCGACCTGAGACAACATATTACCGGCAATTGTAGACTTGCGAGCGGACAAGACAGCCTTTTCCCCATTCCCCACTACCCTGCATGTGGTTCCGTTCCGAGTCCACGGAAGGACACTACCTCACTATGTACCTACTAGTAAGTACATAGGTGCTCAGCAGTTGAGCGCATAACGGGAGAGAGAGCCTAGAGGGGGTTTTGCCTTTTCGCGTCTAAGCAGGAGGTAGGTATGTGGGTAATAGTTGAGTAACTGTGTATGGTATTCTAGGTAACTATGAGCACTTACTCTATGTACCTGCCGAAGCCCGGGAAAAGTAGGTGGTTGCGGGAAAAGGGCAAGGTTGAGTATGGTATGAGGTGGAGTATAATGTAGGTTCTCTAGCGAGCGGGCTGGTCAGGGTAATTCCCGGGCTGGTGGGCAGGGCTGGTGGGCGCGCAGGGCGGATAGGGGAGGAGGAGGGAGAGGGTTAAGCCAACCTAAACGGCGGATATATTTTAGAGTTTCTCGGCATTCCGTGGTGTTTTGGGTGAAGGGTGAAGGATGAAGTCGCCGTCGCGGTGACCGGATGCCGTCCGCAGAATCCGCTCCTGTCCACACACACACATGCACCCCATCCGTCAATGATGTGCTCCTGCTGCTACTGCGGCAGGTACATACATACCCACAAGGTTTCAGAATCGGCTTATGTGAGGAATCACTAGAGCACAATTACTACCTAGTAGGTAGTAGGTAACTAGCAGTTAGAGTGGTCTCGCATTGCGGTTGGGATCGGGACCCTGAAGACTGAAGTGAGATAAGATCTCCATCCCCGCCCCCCGCGCGCAGTAGGTGATGCGCTGCGATGTGGCTTATGCTCTCCTCTCTTCCCCAACAGCTGGATTAAATATGGTTGGGGACATCTAGTGCCGGAGTAAGTGGACATTCGGATCAGGGGAATTAAAATCCAAATGCGGTAATACATTAGCATTTATTAAATTTATTTAATCTTTTTTTTTCCAGGCGTCCGCAACCAACTGGCCCCGCCGGGAACGAAAATCACAATATCGCGGCCAGTTATTGCCCGTTTTCTTCAATAAAACACTGCTCTGGACTGCACTGTTGCGCTCGTTCCATCAGTTCGATTGTTCCACCGGTGACCGGTCTGTGGCCGTTGACCGGGCGTCCACAGCCAACTCCAGAGGTCCATGGCCCCGCCGGGAACGAAAATCACAATATCTCCGCCAGTTCTTGCCCGTTTTCTTCGATAAAACACTCCTCTGGATCGCACGAGCACGCTCATTCCATCAGTTCCATTCTTCCACAGGTCTGTCACCATTAACCTCGCTTCCACAGCCCACTCCACAGCCCCAGAGCTTCAGCGCTCCACAGCCCCACCGGGACCGAAAACCACAATTTCTGGGCCAATTCTTGTCAATTTTCCAAGGAGCAGATATACAAAGGTCATCGGCAGGTCAGCGATAAGTCGAAATGGTAGTTAATTATTTCCATTTATTATGTGCATAATTTTCTTTATCAAGGCAATTAGCCACCATACTTGTTGCCAAGACTTCCTAATCAAGAACTCAGCCGTGCTAAGACTGGGCTGTGGCAGCCTTGCCCCTGGACATTCCCGGGGCCTCCCCATACTAAATCTTTTTTCGTCTATTTATTTTGGATTTTGGTTACCACTCAACCACACCCTTTAAAAAAAAATCGGGCTCTTTGTAAATTATCTCCTTCCTCTTCTCTATCGCTGTAAAGAGCTTTTTTAAAAAATTAGGTTGTTGTTGTGAACTAACCGAACATCAAAAGTGGGGGTATTTTCACTCCGGTTCTAGATGTCCCCAACCATAGATACTATACTAAAGCTAGGCCTTCTAGAAGGCGCAACCAATGACCACCGCGTAATTATTTACAGCCACCCGAATGAACGTCCTTAGTTGGAAGCGACGATGTTAATGACGATGGTGTCGCGCGGCCCGGGGCCGCTGGTTGGGTTAGCTGGTATGTAGGGAGGACAACTACTTGGGTTCTCGGCTTCCGGAGAGCCCGAGACGCAAAAACAAAAACCAAACCTCGCGAGTTTCAACGGCCGACGCCAGTCCTGTGTAGTGTACGCCATATCCCGATCAATGGATGGTCATAGGACGCGACGGGCCCGCCCTATATGTACCCTTACCTATATCCATACATTCCTATACCTATACCATTACTCATATCCATACCCAACACAGGCCCTTCATACTAGACATACTTGCCAGACATCGTTCGAGGTGTTCTTTCGCTCGACGCCGGCCAATCTGAGTCGGCCAATTGGAGCCGAGAGGTGGTCGGTCGGTTGGTCGGACTGTCGGTTGGTCGGTGGATCGGCGGGATGTCTGTACCTACATATGTAGACTCTACATAGAAGGGCTTCTAAAGATATCTTCAATTACCTCCATACATATGCACATGAGTTGCATGCAGACTTCCAAGTTCCCACAGTGCACATGCTACCCGAGAATCCGAGACTTCCGCGAGTCGACTGCCTTGAGGCTTGAGGCTTGAAGCTTGAAGTGCCTTTCCATCGTCTAGCTCGTCGCTCATAGTTGGTTGCTGTGATACTATTTCGGGAACAACGCCTTCCACGGTTCCACGGTTCCGTCTAGCTCGAGCAGGTTATCTGCATGGTAACTATCTCTAAATCTTTTTTCTTCTTCTTTTTCGGCGGGCCCGTTCGTGGTGATGGAGGTTGCAGTGTAGCAGTGTAGCAATAATGTTATACTGCTGGCCAGTGGTCACGGCCGTCTGTCCGACCATGCGTCTTGTACATACCACATAGAGTATCATATGGTAACGTGTGTGCTTGTGTACTTGTCGGCCGTGCCTCGCTCCGAGTATTTCGTGGCTGGCTCAACCCGAGTAGGGATCACACATGTGTACTAGGATGTTTCGATTCCCTGCTGACTGTTCCGTTTCGTTTCGTGCGTGGCACCCAGCCTTTTTGTCCGGAGGAAGAGGCGTGTAACGAGTGCTGAATTCCAAGAATCCAAGGTGGTGTTGTCGTTGTTGTGGTGTCGTTATTGTGTGTCAACCAATCCAATCGATTAAGCGAGCAGTGCCACGGTTCGTGCCATGGGTCCGCGGCCGGCATGGAAGTGCGAACGTTTGGCCGAGGAGAAACTTGGGGGGGGGGGGGGGGGCGGGGGGGTTCATTGGAGTTTGAGGAGCCGATTCCCCCCCCCTCCTTGGTACTGTACTCGACATACATATGATATGTGATTGCAAGGCTGAAGCATGAGCAGAGGAGAGGAGAGGAGAGGAGAGCGACAGCGACAACGATAGCGACAGCCCCTTCCATTCCATCCACACGTTTCTCCCGGCCGCCCACCTTCACGCTCGGCTGCCCTGGCCATTCCCCAGCACGTCTGCTGCGGTACTCTACTTCCACTCTACTCGACTCGACTCTAGCTCGAATCCCCCCTAGCTAGATCTTCGCGTAGGCGTCTCAGTAGGCAGGTATTCCATGTCGATCCCAACTTCTGATGATTCACATCTCGAGCTAAGCCTGTAGTTATAGTAGCTAGCTGAAGAGTGGGAGTGGGAGTGGGCAGAGGCAAATATGTAGAGTACTATAGGGATAGATACTCTACTATTGCCGGGCGGCGGGCACTCTACTATTACCATGATCCATCATCCAGTAAGTAGCCGACCAACGGCGATGAACGGTTGGCTGTGTATCCAGCAATTTCCCCCTCCCCCCTCCCCACATGCTGAGCATGCTGAGCATGAGAACACACACGGGCGATCCCAAGATGCTCATCGAAGCCACTGGCCTGACCTGGCCGTCGTCGTCGCCGAGTGCGGAAAATGATAAATCCCATGCCACTGGTCAGTGGTCACTGCCTCGAAAGGCGGACATGTCAGCGAAGTGTGCCTCCCATGTATGTGTGTGCTAGGCATACTCACTGCACCACGAGTCTGTCTCGCTATTAGAACCTGCGCGTGTTGGGGCTCAGTAACTCTACCTACGTACCTGCCTGGCCTCTGGAGCGTACACACATACGACGACCGATCGTCGGCCATGTCCGCGGGCCGCATCGATGATGCTGATGATGATGATATCCTTGGACCGCAGACTGAACCTTGGAGATGGGGGAAGGGGAGCAGCTGCAGAACGCACTTTGGAGTATGTAGGTGCAGTACTTGCGGGATACTTGTAGGTAGTATGTAGTTGCAGAGTACTTGGTGAACTAGCTCAGGTACTTGGGTGGTTGACTCTTGACCACCCCCTTACCCCACCAACCCGGGAGAGGCCCGTTGCTATCCCTGACGCGCAGGAAAATGCGGGAGTTGCTCTAGTTATCGGTGCCCAGTTCTACTGTAACTACTCCCAGGCGGAATTGTAGTTGTTCCTTTCTTTCTTTTTTCTCGGCACCCCCCCAGCGTTGTGGCTTCGCATCCCACCCCCCTCTCCCCCTTCTGGGAAGAGATGCGGTGTATATAGATTAGAGCCCGCCCCTCCCCCGGGACCAACGTCGCAACTCCGACGCCTTGATTTCATACCACAAGTTTAAAGCCTTCACCAAATCGCATCGATATCTCTAGGCCATCGATATAAACACTATCAAGCAAAAACACACCCACCCCCCTAACATTCAACGTCATCATTCCACAGGAGGCTTCACTCCTCAGGCCCCCGTGTAAACACAACATAAACCAAAAAAATAAAAACCAAAAGACAGACACTCTGGAGCAATCATGTCATCGACTTGCAGCTCGCCGCAATACAGGTACTCGTCCAGCTGCTCTTCGAGATCGTCGACCGGTCCTTTATCCCCCCAGACCGCCATCACGACTCCCAGCAGCTGCAACTCATCTCCAAAGCTGGAATCATCCAGCAGTTTTCCCTCGCCGCCGCTGTCGCCCAGGGACGACCTGGAGCGACAGTTTTATGCGGCTAGACAGTCGCAGGCACAGTCGCCCTCCGCGATTTCAGTGTATACGTATTCCCCCGAAGAACAGCAACTTGGCTCAACTTCACCACCACCGCCGCCGCAGTTCCCGATTAGTCCGAGCATCGGGACACCATACGAGCGGGAGCCGTCCGCATACGACGAAGCCGTTAACTTCTATCTGTACTCTCCGCTCTCTCCGACCAGCATCTACTACGAGTGGCCGAGTCCGATTCCGAGTCCGAGCGTGCCCGAATACTGTCCGTGGACCGAGTACTCCGGCTACCCGCCGGCATCAGCATTCTACGGCCCACTCCCCCTCCCCTTCGATTGCAGCGCGCAACAGGAGTCCAGCGGTTGCGACTCGATGATGACGATGGTGGATTTGATGGAGTACGGAACCGAGCAGCAGCAGCAGTGGATGCCGGCGGATGAGCGACGGTTGGAGTTTTCGGCCATGTCCTTGCACTGCGCGGCCATGTGAGCCTCTGGCCCGCCGGGAGCCAGATCGGAGCACGAACGAGGATGGCGCACGCACACATCATCACCATCACCACTACGGTTCGAAACGGAGCTTCACGCCCGGCCGGGCCGGGTATGTCCCACCCACCCAACCACCCACAGCCTCAGCCCACCGACGACGACCGCGCCGAGCAGACCAGAGCAGAGCGCACCGTGTCCGGCAGTTGTGTGTGTGTGTGTGTGTGTGTGTGTGTGTGTGTGTGTATACACACCCCTCCCCCCTCCCCCCGCCCCGTTCTCGTGCTGTGCAACGGAAGCACCCCGCCGTCGGAGCGAGCGAGCGAGCGCTGGCTAGCCGGGTCTCCGCTCCGCGGACTCGCCGTTGCAGACTTGCAGACTTGCAGGATTCAACGATCCACGATATATATGGATCCCTCCTTTCCGCCCGCCGGCCGGCGTCACCGTGTCACCGACTCGCCGTGTCAGTGTGTCGCCGTGTCACCCACCATATGCTGTCTGTCACCTTTGCATGCCTCCATGTTCTGCAGCAGCAGCAGCACCGGTTCCACCAAAACTCTGGTTTCTAGAACGAACCAACGAATGGATGGAGGGACGACAATAATATCCACCAAACAAGCAACTGCCCACACCTGCCTGCCTGCCGTCCTCGGCTCCCCTCCCCGGCTTACCTGCCCAAATAAATAATTATATCGTTTCGGCGGGTGGGCGGGCGGGCGCAAGTCATGTCAAAGTCAAGTCCACGGTCGTCGGTCGACTCATCGTGCTGTGCTGGTGCTACGCTCGCTTCGGAAGGTCCGGTTTGGCCAATAACGTACGTCGTCGCCTTGGATCGATGCCTATCAACAACATACTACTACTATTACTACTACTACTACTTCTGTACATACACAACGACCCACGACTCACGAGTTTCCTACTGCCTCCTACCTCCTACGGCCTTCTTCGCGAGATTGAGGCTGTTTGTTTGTTTGCTTGTTTGTTTCTTCTCTCCCAGTGCGTGTGGTGGGGGTGGTGTCATGGACGAATAATAGTTTCCTTGCCTTGCGTTTTTGTTTCCCTTCCCTTCTTCATGTGTTTTTTTGGATGGATGGGGCTTGGTTTTTTTCTTCTTTGGGTTTCTTTGTATGGTGCCAGTAGGTGGTCTGCACTGCACAGCACAGCAGGAGTCGGGGCGCCGCGGGGCCGGGGCCCGAGGGGCGGCGGGGGGAGGGGGGAGGGGGGAAACATATGATGATGATATATCTATTTTGGGCGTTTACTAGTGTTTCTTCTTCTTGTGGGCAGGTTACTATTTAGTACTATGTGGCAGGAGTTCCGAGGTAAGGCGTGGTGGTGGTGGTGTCTCCGGATCAGATATGATGGGATCGGATGGGATGTGGTGGGATGGGATGGAATCTGTACGTATGGAATTGGACATTGGACATTGGAAGAGGGCTGGGGGTTTGGGCTTGGGCTTGGATCTGGGGAGGGGGTGGAGGGGCGGAAGGGTGGAGGATGGAGGGTGGAGGGTGGATATAGAGTTTATTTGGTTTTTCCAACCTGCTTCCAACCTGCTTCCTGCTTCTGCTTCTGCTTCTGCTTCTGCTTCTCGAATCTTGCACTCGACTCGATTCGACTCGACTCGACTCTATTTTTGATTTTATGTAGACAATCCTCTAGAGTCCTCAGTCTAGTAGTCTACGGGATATGGGACGGAACCGGGGGGGAACAAAAAGGAAAGGGAAAGGGAAAAGGAAAAGGAAAAAGGTGCGCAGGGAAAATGACAAATTTGTAATCATGTAATCACCAGTCGGAGTTCGGGACAACTTAGGCGAGGAATATACTCCAAGCCTCCAAGCTCTAATTAGCACCATACCGTAGGTACTCTGCTCTAACCCCCGCCCCTCCCTTCCAAAGTCGAAAGAGATGATGGATGGACGGAACAGACAGACAGACAGACACATCGCGCGCCCTGGAAGACTGAACTAGAACTAGAAGCTACAGCCTTGGTTCTTGATCCTGCTCCTGCTTCTGCTGCTGCTGCTGCTGCTGCCTAGCACGTTTATCATATCATACTACATTTCTACATATAGATAGATAGACAGAGTTACTAGAGCAACTAGAGTAACCAGAGCTTCGCTCACTTGGTTGTGCACTTTGGGACAAGCTTTTTTTTGCGCTTGGCCTTAGCTTACCCAACTTAGCTTACATAGGGTGGGAGGTGGAGGTGGAGGTGTGGGAGGTGGTGGGGCGGGGAGGGGTGGCGGCAATGGGCATGCACGTTTAATCTTCACCAAGTGATGTGTATATATACCAACTACATACCAAGCGCATGTCTGCCGTAGTAACCGTGGTAACCGTACTGAAGAGCAGGGTTGCAGATACTGCGTCTGCTGGCGATGTTTCCGCGGGAGCACACGTCAAGCACTGATTGAGCTTACGTCGAGCACAGATGACGGACGACGGATTGTGGGGGAAGAAGCTGGAAGCCGAAGCGTGGTTCACTGACAGTGACAAGTGAGGAACGCGTGGGTCACAGATCTATGGATAGTATGCAGAACTGGTGAGTGGTGACGCCGTGACGGCCTGCGATGCATTGGGGTGGGCACTCTAGAAGGTGCTGGGTAACTGGATACCGTATGTAGGATGATGGAATCGTGGAATCGTGGATTGCTAGGAATAGTAACAACCTCGCTATTCCAAATGATAGTAGACTGCAGAGTGGCTAACCAACCAACCAGCCCTCATTCCACACTGCATAGTGCACATCGACAGCTCCATACAGCTACAGCGACAGGAATCGCGCCGGCTGCAGGGCTTTTTTTCTTTTCTTTTCTTGTTGCGCGTGTGCGGAGTGTGTGGGGTGGGTGACTCACGCAACCGGCTCTGCATCGCGCTTTTCCTTTCCTTTTCTTTTCTATTTCGTCCGTCGCGGACTCGCGGCGAGTATTGACCCAGTCTCAATAGCCTCTCGAGGTCGATAGTCTCGATGTCGAGCGTGGAACGAAAAGAAACAAAAAAGAAAAAAAAGGCACACTCACCACCTCTGCCACCTCAGCCAACGCGCAACCTAATCCAACCCGCCAACCCGCATCCGCACCCGCAACGGAACGCGTAAGGGAACGGAGCAGGATTCGTCCGCAAAGCCGCGAATGCGCCCACGCGGTTCTTTTTTTCTTCTTTTTTTTTTGTCGCTGCCGAGTGCGAGTGCGAGTGCGAGCGTGTGATCCGCACGCTGCTGCACCGCCCACATGCATACTGTACACACATACCTCAAGGCTCAGACTCAGAGGTTGGGTTTGCTGCCGGCTGTTTTTGTTAAGGGGGCGTGAGTGCGTTTCATCGCCTGCGGCCTGCGGGGAGGGTGGGTCCGCTGCGCTCCGGCCTCTGGCCTCCGGGTATTGTCCTGGCTAAATGAAGTATGCATGTATGTAGAGGACATAAGCTCAAGGCACACTCTTAAGTCTTGAGTCTTGAGTCTTCGGATGCGCAGGGGAGCAGGGCAGCAGGGGACGCGTAGAGTGTTGCGTGCGGAACGTGATCACGCGTTGCTGCTTGCTTGCATAAGCACTTTGTTATTTCGAAGATTTAGGAGAGGTGCCTGGTGGGCGCATATCGGACATGCATGGATGGGGAAGAAGAAAAAAAGAAATGGTTACATAATTCGTATTGTACATACAGAGGTACATGGAAACTACATGATGGTCCGTATGATAGACACTGTTGCTCTAATCTACACTCGAACTCGAAATCCAGCGAAAAACGAGCGATACCGAGCTGCGGCCTTTGGGAGGGGGAACGATCGAGGACGTACGTAATGACTTGGAACGGCGAGAGGTTCTGTTTTGCCATGGCGTCATGAATCATGATTGTGGTGCTGCTGTTTTTGGCGGGGTGTCGACCGAGTGACGGGCCGGCCATCGGGGCTTCTTCAGGAACCACTGACTGCCAACTAGGATATCAATACTGTCGCTCACCAGTCTTGTTGCGGTAGACGAGAGCACTGGAACGTTCTTGGGGTCTTGGGGTCTTGAATCGATTCGAGAAAAAACAAAATCATGGAGAGAGGATCGGGCGGGCTATCATTGGCGATAGCATACTCCCCCCCTCCACACCCCAATAGCGGAGGCTTCCTCTGCATCTCTTGCAACTGAAGCACCTCGATTTTTTCAGGGCACCTATAGACTGCCCCCAGAAGAAGCTCTTCGAGCTCTGTGGTCCGTGCTGGCGGAAAAAGTGCACCTCTTTTACCATGGTCCACAGCTTTGACGGACAGGCCGACCCCACATGTATACCGATAGTATCATGGAGCCAAAGCGAGGATCGCAACGCGAAGACAGCCATAGGTCGGGATAATAGGGACCACCTCGTCTATTGTTAGGTTGCTGCAGTGCTGCACACACACGCATCGCCATCAAATAGTTGTGCGAAGGGCAAAGGGGAGGACAAACAAGACACTGCACCGCGTCATGTCTCGTGGTCACTGGTCCCGGTTTGCAGCTGTCGATCTCCTGGGCAAACGGGCCGGCCGGGAGTGGGAGGTGGAGGTGGAGGGGTATCCAAGAGAAGCAGCAGTAGCACCACCAGCACCACCATCGCACTCCACCAGTTATCCTTCCGGTTACACACCGAGCGTGCTCCTCCATTGGCCCACATCTTGAGCTCGATGTGAAGTATAAATACTTTTACAGCAGCCACCTGATGGCAGATGCAGCCCACTCGCGGCCGGGAAGTGCTGATTGGGAGATGATGCACCCAGGACCCAGGTGGGCTTGGGATCGATCCTTCGAGCTTGGCTGGCTGGCTGGCTGGCTGGCAGCACTGCTGCTGCTTACAATTGGATAAGAGTCCATGTAGGTACACTCCGCTGGCTCCGTACTCTCGGCCAGGTAGGTAGACGGCGGGGGTTGACTGACCTGTGGGATCTCAAGTAGGTACGGTACACATGCAGCGACGCCGGCACCACGACTCATCCAGCCAGCCAGCCAGATCATCGAGTCGAGTGGTGCCAACACTCCGCTCACAAACACACACACACACACACACACACACACACACACACACACACACACATCCTCCCCCACCCATCGGTGAATCATAGAACCGCCATGGAAGTGGAATTACCTATCCATCGTTGCTCACTCAATGATCGACAGCTTCCGTTACACACCAGTGGCGGCTGCTGATTGGCCCAGAGTGGCGGACGCAACTTGCCATGGCTGGATTGCTCATATCACGAAATTTCGCATTTCCCCCTTCTACTCTCCCATGAAACATCCAGGAACACCTACAGATTGGGGGGGGGATCGTGAGCGCAGGATTGCTTACTTAGGGTGGGGAGTGATGAGTGCAGGTAGTAAGTACATTGTAGCATAGCAGATCACTCTGCGGGTACATACTCGCCATCAAAACTGCCGGGGGGCTGGGTGGGTGAGGGGTGAGACATCCGAGAGAAAAGAGGCGCTACATGCACCACCACACGAAATAGACTCACTTGAGTGAGTTGCGAATCAACGACGTGAAGATCCCACTGTACCAAGTATGTAGTATGTACTGTATGGCAAAGGCTAACCACCATCCACCATCGCGCATCCATCCATCCATCCTGAGTGGGTAGGTACCTATCCCGCCACGATCATAAAATATGGGTCATTGGACGTCGACGAGTGAAACAATGCCGTGGAAAAACAATTCGAACGACTCGACCACGGTATGTCGTGTCGTGTCGTGTCGCCGTGTGCATTCCCGGGCCAAAAATAATCACACGAACTCTGGTCTCCGCGGAGTCTGGACGGGCTAGGTACACGGAGTGTCGGACGCCGCATCAGCGCGCCAGCCAGCTAGCATTCCCAGCCAGCCAGCCAGACAGACATCTGACGAAGCTGTCCGCGCGGACGAGATCCCACGGGACGACCAGGCAACCTCCGAGCAGCAGGAGGTAAGATCTACCATTCGTCGGGGCCCCGATCCGGGATCCGCTGGACCGCTGCCTGCAGGTCCGGACGCCGAAGGAACAGGGGAAACAATCATGTCTTGCTTCTTCTTCTTTCCCATCCCATTCCATGCCATGCACACGATCGCTTCCAGAATCCATGCAGAGCTCCAGCTCCAGCTCCAGCTGTCTACTCCCAAATATCTATTATTACCATCTCGTCCCCGTTCCTCTCTGCTGCCTGGCGGGGCTGATGCTATTCCTGAAACTGTGCATAAACGGCGTCCGTCAGCTCGTCGAGGCATCGAGGGCTGACTTTGGCTTTCTGGGGGCCGATACAGACAGAGCACACGAACTTAGAAGCTGCGGATGCATCTGCGTGGTGTACGTCGTCAACGTTCAAGCACGAGTCACGACGATTCCCTGGAGGCTGGCACTGCGGGGAGTCGGCGAGTGAGAATCCGTGAGGCTGTGGCCCGTTTTCTCGTAAGGACTGGACTGGACTGGACTGGACTGTCCCCAAGAACTCGCGTTGGAACTTGGTGAGTAACTCTGCCAGATGTGGGGGGGAGGGATGGGGAGCAAGACCCCCTCAGCTAACGCCGAGAGGCAAAAACCTGCCATGGAAACAAACAAACGTCTCCGCATGCGGTAATCATTATGATCGCCAGCCGCCGCCAGGGTATCCGCCACGATCGCGAGGAGCGGTGGGTAGATTCTTTGGCAGAGCTTCGTCTTGGCTTTCGTTGGTTGAAGGTTCCAGCCAGCTCGCCATCGCAGGTATCATAGATGATCGTCTTTGCACATAACATCATATACTTCTGTAGTATGTACCTAGGGAGTTCCTTCCTTAGGACGACGACAGCGCCCACATTTTCGCTAGCATGCAATACCTATCAGCCTCCACCATCTCAATCCTCGGTGCTATGTTGTGTGTTGAATGCGTGGAAGTCGCCTCTTGAGTCTTCACCGACGGATCCAGTTTATATTTGGAACTTGGAAGAATAAACACACACACATGCATCATGGGTGGTCACTCGTCTATCCGAGCAGAAGAAAAAAAAATGTTGGAAATATCGATGAAGAAAGCAAGAATGTATTCGAACAATTACAATGTAAGAGATAGATACATGCTGGCTTGGTACGAAAAGAGAGTACTTTTATAGGCGCCGAGATACAAAGCGCCCGATGCAAACGTGAAAGGGAAGTAGGTAGGTAGCTCTTTAGAGACGAAATCATCAGGACCGCGCTCGTGATGGTATCCGTGTAAGCGGTGGTCAAAAACGCTGGTAGGACCCACGCTTTAAATTCGGGATCGTTCAGGTTTTTCTAGGTGTTCCATCCACGTCAGTACGCAACCCCACCCCTTCCGTACAGCTCTGGCCAACCTACATCCATCGGACCCGTAAACTCTTTCGCAATCCCAGCGAAGTCGACGGTATAACTGTTCCCTCCTTTGTAGATAACTAGCTCTTTCTTCCCCTCGTGTTGGACGAAATAACTCCAATAACTCCGCATCTTTTCGCCGTTGGCGTTGACATAGAACCCAAACTGGGTTAGCTGCCAGAAATCGCCAGCAGGCATCCATCATCACCGGAAAGGCCAGCTAACGATCGTGATCCAGAGGTCGTCCGGACGAATGACCAAGTGCCGATGGGAATTGTATCCCCGAGGCAGCAGTCGACGAAACCGTTATGCGTTGGAACGAGGTAGAAGCGATCAGAGTCCTGGACGGAGCTCTGAAGGAGCTCAAAGGAGTTCATACATGTATTTGTCGGTCTCGTGGGAGGTGGACTGTAGGACGCTTTCGATGTTCGCTCGCGGCTTCATTGTTGTCGCGTTTGCATCGTACTTCGCAACCTTCAAGGTGACGGGTATGACTGCGATGTTGATGCCGATGATGTCGACGTCGGTGTTGCTGTTGATGTAGTGCGTTCCGAGCAGTCCTTAGAAGAGTGAGTGTCGCAGTGTCGCAGTGTCGCGGTATAGAGTTGTGCTTTGCGCAAAGGATAGTTATTCACTGTAGACTTCGAGTAGGGATAGTAGCGATGACGTATCCCCCTGGAGAGTGCAACTATATTCCTGCCGCTCTCTCGTTCCGATGCCTCATGTGCACATAATATCCTCAAGAGAGGCATATAAAGGTAATTTAACCTTCATCAGCCGTCCCGACTCCCGCCCTCACTTCGCTCGCACGTGATATCGGCTTCTTGCAAGAGTTGTGAGCTGGCAAGGCGCAACACGGCTATGGTGCGGGGCGGCATCCATCACATACTACCGGCAAACACTGGTACATACCTCATACTTGAACAAAGACCTGACAAGAACTCGAGCGACCTTTCCCAACGCCACAGATCAGCGACTGTTTGCCATTAGTATCTGAACGCGCTGGGCGTTGGTCCTGCTGCGAGACGTTCTTAGCAGTACATACTACCTATATGATGATAGCGATAGCTATTGCGGCGTCGCGGATACATTCATCACTTGACGACTAGCGGAAGAGGTGCTTCGGAATTTCCGTCGCTTTGTACGCAACGGTGGTAGGCGTGCATGACGTATTTTATCGGCAGGATTGCACGTGTCGACGGAGCTGCTTGCAGTGAGAAAGAAAGAAGGGGAGCATCGGCGCCGGAAGCCATTGAATGTTGGAGGATCAAGTCACACACGGCCAGGGTAGGCGTGGTTAAGCAGGCGTCAATTAATAAGGACAATTACAAGCAGAGGAGTGTGTCATAAAGGAAAGTAGTGGATAAACACTTGTATCTCCCACGGAACCATGGGGACGAAGGACCAAACACATGAGTATGTGCATAAGTAATGAAACCCCAAGTAAGAAGTTGTAACCACCTGAAATTTATGGTTTTGGCAAGAAACGCAAGTAAATCTTAAGGATGAACCCAACCCACATCTGGTCTCCAGACCCTAGCGGTACGACTTGTCCTCCTCTGTTCCTCCCTCATGGAATACATGATCCTCCGACTCAAATCATCCTTCAAACCACCCACCGGCAGACTCCTGCGTCTGCAAACCTCCTTGAGCTCCGGCACCCTGAACCGACTCAGGTACGAGACCTCCGGCTCGTCCTCGTGTGGGGGTCGCACATGCGAGCGCTCCATCGCGATGTGGCTGCCCAGACGCTCCAGCAGATCACGCCGAAGGCCCAAAACTGGGAGGCTTCGGATCCGTAGCGCGCACTGTAACTCTGGCACGCGTTGGGTCATGAGTTCTGCAATTGCTCTTCTCTTGGCTTCGGCGAAAGACGGTCGTGATTGCGGCGACGGTGGCGGTGATGGTGACGGCGGGGAGATAAACGGAGAATGAGGATGCGCGTAAGGCGCTGCCGTGAGTGGTGATACCGGTGGTGAGTGGTCGTACCGTTGGACGTGTACCGGTGACGGCGTATAAGAGGACGTATGATGGTGGATATCCGGCGAGAGTGAGTCACAATGAGGGGAGGTGGATGGTGATGCGAGACGGCGCATCTTGTACGAGGTGTGCTCGAATGGAGGGAGCAACGGCGACCGGCCATGTTTGAGGTTGGAGTCCAGAGTGTACAGCAGTGGCAGTACGGGGCTTTGTTCCTCCTCTTGACCTTCGTCCATGCCGTCATCCCTCTCCTCCCCTTTAACCATCTGCACATGTTCCTCTCCTCCTTTCTCCTCCTTGGCTCCCCGCTCTTCTTCCTCACCTTTCGCAGACGTTAGAAGTGGAGACAATGTCCGTGGCTGAACCGACGGCACAACAGCGTCGTTTCTGCCGAAAGCGCAGTCATGATTTGATGCATCGGATGCAATGCTTGATGCCTCATGTTAGCGACTCCTAATTACAACATATGAGCAAGTACCCACCTGAGTGCATGCAACCTCGTCCCAGCGTCGGAAGTCCCCATGACTGGAAATCCCCACGCATCCACCAACATGCTATCTGGTAGGGACGATACGGGCGCCGACACGTTGTTTTGGGTCTCATACGGTTCCCTGACCATGGACCCATCCGCGTCGTAGCTTCCCTCTCTCACCAACTCCAGGAATCCCTCCTCACCATAGATCTCGTTGGCGTACCTCAGCTTCTCGTGTTTCTGAAAATCGTCGTCGTCTTCGACCTCATTTGCGTGGCCCCACCTCTGGATCTCCATGGCGGCTCACTGCTAGTATGGGGGTAACTAGACGTAGCGGTGCGGGATAGATGAATCGTTCGCTTTCGGGAACGCCTTTGAAACGGTCAACATGACAGTCAAATACAGGAAAGTGACGCACACGACACACCTAAGTGAAATGGTAATGATGGCGACGGTAGTAAACCATCTTATACGGTTTTGTGATAATAGGAGACAGTGCTGTGGACGTAGAGTTGAAACCTCGTAACGGTCGTGTTGCTTGCACGACAGAACGGGTGATACCATTGCCTCTTTTTGTAACTTCCTCTTGGGAAAACAGGCGTTGTCGTCACGATGCGCAACCAGCAGGCTAAAGAAGTCATGGGCCTAAACATGAAGCCTAGCTGGACTATGGACTGACGTGACGTGGCGTGGGATGATGAGCTTCATCTCCGTAACCCGGTTGCCAGTGGACTGCTAGTGGGTTCTTACCTCTCAGGATCACTCGGGCGACCTCGCATCATCAGAACTAACAAACTCATATCAATTGTTTGAGGTACTTGAAATGCAAGACCAACAATCCCGATACTGATGTGTGACAAAGGAAATCAAGAGGACGGGGAAACGCCGAAAAGAAAAATAATAATCTCGATAGCTCCCAAACCAGCACATGAAACCTTCGAGACTGGGAAATACTGATCAGAATCAGATATTGCACTAGACCGATGGTAATGTATGGGATCTGATTTACCTCCGTTGGTATCAGTTCCGCCCAAAGAACCATGTCACTGCCATGATCAGGCGCATAAACCAGGGTGACGTGGGGGGCGGTCCCTCACCCGCACCCTCCTTAGAATTTTTCGGTTTCTCGGGAATTTCTGGAGGTGTTGGGATGTCATACACGGAGTTGGCCGTCGTTGCCGGAGAGGGCGGTGACTGCGGAACAGTCGAATTGTCATCGGTCCGACAATTCGGAGAATTCGGGGCAGTGTTACCATTACTGTCCATTTGATTCAGTGTGGGTGGTAAGTTGTAACCTTTCCGTAGTACGTCTCCCGCCGCGGTGCTCAGGATTTCAACTTTTCTTCTCAACTCCTTCTGGATTCTAGGAGTGACTCTTTCCGATGTTTTGTAGTAAGCGATAATGCCCTCAAGTTCTAGTCGTGCCTTTTCGCGTTGCTTCTCAAGCTCCTCCTTCTCCTTCCCGTTGACTGAATCCTCTGGTTCGGCCACTCCATCTAGGTGTCGAAACACCCGGGCACCGCCATCGATCAGCTTCTTCCAGGGGCCTTGCTCAAATTGCACCTGCCGCTTCTCTGCGGCTCTGACGGCAGGAGCGTTCATATTGCCCCACATCGTCGTGAGTATCGTGACTTTCTTGAAAAACTTCTCGCCACAGAGCGCTTCCAACATGTCGAGATTCAGTTTGGCCGATTTACTGAAGCGTTTTGGAGTGATATCATGGACATAAAGGATACCGTCGAGGTCGCAGTAGGGTGTCATGGTGTGGAACCAATCGAGGATTTCTTGGAAAACGTCCATATCAGTGCGCTCCTGGTCGTTGAAGCCCGGGGTATCGATCAAAACGTAGCGCTGCTCGTCGATGATGGTGGGGAACATCGCGAAGGTGGTGGTACCTACTCGAGAGAGGAACCATTAGATCCGGAATGACGGAGACAAGAGCTGAGAAAGTGAGAACAATACCAGTGTGAATACTATGTTCGACATGTACATCTTCGCCGGTCAACGCCTTGATGACAGACGACTTTCCCGCCCCAGTTAATCCGATCACAGCCACAAACTTGATAGAGCACCTGAATCTATCAGTAATGGAAATCAACAAGACCGAAGCCAATGAACCTACCCCCTAGTGGTCATTCGCACTGCCTGTGCCACTGACACCTTGCCGGCAAGATCTTTGACCCTGCTCTGAAGGTCCACCGTGGCATCCCAGAACTGCTTTCCCGCCTCGATGGACCAACTACCACCATCTTTGTTTGACCTTTGTTTGTTGCTTGCCGCCTCTATTTCCCTGAGAGCTTCCATAGGGTCGCGCAGCGGGAGTGCATCCTGTTGGACTTCCTCCCACTCGTCGTATGAAGGAGGTGTTGACGTCATGGGTGTGTCTGGACGTCTAACTCTCACCATAGCACGACGCGTGTTTGTGTGGGCTCTAGAGAGTAGTAGTATCAGCGGCGAGTGTCGGCGATGAGAATAGTAGTTTCGTGAAAAGAAGCGTGTGTTATCGGTTGCGGTCTGTACCGATTACCGCTGACGAAGGATGCGGGGTACTTAAAGAACAACCATGGGGGAAGGTTGAGACAAAGATGGGCAAGGGCACTGCGGATCACCCGAAACTTGAAAGTGTCCAGCGGACGCCGGTTAGTCTGTAAGCGCGCTAAAAATACATGCAACACTACGTGTTTTGGCCCTTGGAGTTGGGGGAGCAAGTAGCCGCGTGCAACTGGTGTCAGGAATCAAGATAGCTCTTAAGTGAGATAATTGATACTCATATATAAAGGTAGGATAGGTAGATTATGTCAGTGGCCCGTGGGCGCTCGCCTGGGGAGTCGAGACCGCAGGGCTTGTGGCCACTGGCCCGTCGTGAGTGTCTAAGGAGATCGACTGCAGTCGGCTACGCATGGCCATCCGGTAATACGTACCTGTACATAGGTAGGTGATTAGGCTATATATCGTGCATATCTAGAAGCACATCTTGATCATCCTTCAGTCTTGCAGGATTTTCAATGCGATATGCGCAGCTCACTTGTTGAGTTTCAGAATCTCTGGCCAACTCACAATTTCCAAAATGATAGCGGACACCATGTTTTTTGTCGCTGCCTGCTGAGAGCGACGTACTGTAGAAGAGTGCCACCCAAGGGACTAATTGTACTCCCACGCTCCGACCGCGATTCTCCTCCAATTTTCTCCAACTTGTACCAGTCAACTGAACCGAACCGACAATCGTGATCGCTACCATTTTCCACACAACGAACTCGAACTATCCATCACGCGCTCGGCTCCTAGATGACTTCCATTTCGAACCCGTCGTCGACGCCGATCACCACGACCAACCTCCGGCGCTTCGACAGAATTCTATCGCGGCGGCGCCAAGCTATGAAGATATCCAGTCGTGCCGATCCAGTGACGTTGTGGACAAACCCACGCTCCACCTACCGGCTTTCGTGTCGGCCCAGCCACCAGACGGAGGATCGTGGCTGAAGAGACTCAGCATCCCTTCGCGGCTCTTCGGCACGATAGCTTTTATCCTTCGGCTGCCGTTCGTTTTGGCGGCCGATGGAGGGGACGATTTCAGCAACAACCTCTTCTCTGATCTCGCACCACTCTTGGCACTATTCGGCGAACAGTTCACCAAGCAGTCCATGAGCCAGTCCATGTACTGGGAGGAAAACGTCATATTTGCGATGGCCCCCCTGGGCATCATTACGGCGATTGTAAGCGCTATCAGGGTTGGCGGGCCCACTTGGATGAAGGCGGTGATAGGGCGTGCTAGGGAAGGGAAAGGTGTCGCCGAGATCGAGTTGATGTCTTCTACGAGTCACGATGTCACGGAGCTGTGGAAAGGGGACGGAATTGTTAGGGTTCTGGGATCGTCTCCAATCATCGAGCTGTTTTATCGCGAGCCTACGGATAATGGATCCACAAGCCAAACGGAGGGAGATAAGCTTTTGTCAAACGGCGAAACGGCGATTTGCGATCCCTCTGGGATATACGACTTCGAAACTGCGAAGACCGCCGGCGTTTTATCGAATGATAAAACCCCGAGCCCGGAGAGCGAAGATGGACACCACAATCAGGTAGCGCCGAATATCGCGTTGACCATCAGTGGTCGGAAAGTCTCTCGCTTAGAAACGAGGCTCATTGCAGTGGTGGGCACCTTGTTGCAGCTTGCAGTCATAATCTTTGCCGGCTTCGGTGTACTCTATTCGCCATGGAACGAAAGATTCGGCAAGGATAATGAACCGGTTCAACCATATGCATTTCCCTTATTGTGTGTTGGTACTGCGACTTTGGTCTTGGGGATGTTTTTATGTTCCCACATAGTCGAGCGGAGTACAACCGAAACCACCTGGAACATCGAGGAGCCAAAAGAGGGGCAGGTCAAAGTGGCATGGCTCCAGAAAGGGGGGAGCGTCAGCGATCAGCACTTCGATTCGTACCTGATACAGCGCGAAGAGAAAGCCTCGAACTCTCGACAGTCGCTGAACGCCGATCTTTCACACAAGATCTTCACATCTCACAGAGGGAAGGAGAAACAACTGGCTACCCTGACGTGCGTAGGATCCACTCAACATAGTGGGATAGATTCTCCAGTTCTTTGCACTGAGGGGCCTCAACTGGTCGGCTACGATTGCACAGTTGCTAGCAACCGCAGTAATGACGTTTTTGAGAGCTGTTATACGTCGAAAAATGGTCTATGACATTAAACCTGAGCTTATCGCGAGGGGATATGAGCTAGATATGGCAGCAAAGAAGATTACAGGGTGCGGATTGATTGATTGATTGATTGATTGATTGATTGATTGATTGATTGATTGATTGACTGTTCATACAGCATGGAACCCGAAGGTTATGGCCGATAGAGATATCTACAATACAACATTTCGACAAGAAATTGCACCACCGAATCCATACAGAAATGACAAGCCAAATCCCTTCGTCTCGCAATATTTTGAAAGTGAGCCTCCGAAGAGGCTCGGGTTGTCGGTTTTGCGCTGTAGCGGCGCTTCGTAGCCCTCCTCTTCTCCAAAAGATACCTCCACTCGGTACTACCCTCAACATAACCAGTCTAGCGCACACGGCATGCTGCTCGAAAGGAATCGTCGTCTCGGGGTTTGCGTAGCTGTCAAGGCCGGGCCCGATGAATAGCAGCGAAGATATTTGGATCAAAGGCGGGACTGGCAAAATGCCGGTTGTCATGGTCGACGTTGTCCTGGGCCAAGCCCTGAGCTCTCCCCCTGGAGTTCACTCTCCTCCCCGCTGTCGCCGTATCGCCTGCTAAACAGGCTCTCCTAGAGTGATAAAATCGATGATGATGTGCGGGGAAGCGATGGTGAGACTTCTTCAGAGGTTCGGACGTAGCGCCCGTGGTGGTGCAGTTCTCCGGCCAGGGACCGAGGCTCGATTGATCTCTATCGCTTCATGCTCATCGTCGTCGAATTCGTCGGTCGGGGCACTCAATCCGCGGTCGGAAAGAGTGGACACACACGCCACATGAATCCTGAAGCCAAAGTGAGCGGGGCATTTGGTGTGCCAACGCATAGTCTTGGCATTTTTTGAAGGTTAGTGTGGTTGTCGGAGGTGTGTGTGACAGGGTGCGGCTATTGGAGTGTGATTACTTGGGGGTTTGACACCAACCCGGACATGCCTCCTAAAGGACGACTTGCGAAGACAGTCTTTGACGCCAGATATCGCCTAGGCGCACTATCGAAATGGGATTATCAATGGCAGAAGGTAGCCGATGCTACTGCGGAGGACATAGAAGCCACTATGAATGGCTTATGCATGAACCCCGATGTCACGATCGCCAGGCTGTCGGAATCATACGAATGGGAGCTGATGGTCGAAGTGGCGCCTGCCAAAGTACCACCCGGGATGACCGCCGACGGGGTTCCGGCAACTGGGATTCTTGGCATTGCTGTCGGCGTGGGAGTTAATGCTGAAATTGGGCTTCCTAGAGCTTCCACTGCGTTACCTACTCCAAGAGATTCCAAACCGTCAAGTTGAAAATCTCAAGAAAGCAGCTATCCGAAGGTCGTGGCTATAGCACCTGGAAAGTTGACAAGAGCCAGATACAAGCTGTTCTTGGACTGTGGATGTTGCACTTCGAAACCCTGGAGGGTCGGAGGGCCGGAGGAAAGCGCTGCCGAATCATTGGAAGAGACAGTCTAGCGGTGAATACTGCTTACAAACAATGGGTTGCACGCGAAGCAGAAGTTATCAGACTCGACATCACTGGGAATACTTCGAGTGGTGAGAATCTGGTGTTCATCGGCAAGCCATCACATGTTAGATCTTCATCCTCCGACTCTGGATTTCTGGCGGTCATTTCAGACGCTCCCCTCGAAAACATATGTGGTCAAATCATACTTTCCGCTTTCGTATGGTTTTTCTCAGAAATTATTGCAGCCAATCGGTGGCAGGGTTCGTGTTCGAGGTGGTGAACAGGGAGTGTTGGCATCATTTGGTCTGAGAAGCTCAGTTCTGGATGAGCTCGCGGAAAAGATTGAACGGACCGGGTTGGCGTCCGTCGAGGATGCCCTTTTATGTATCATCCCCCATCTCGAAGCCTCAGAAAAGTTACCTCAAGCTGGCAGTAGCAATAGAGCGGTGTTTTCAGACACAGAAAAAGAGACAACGAACTATCTTGCGGGAGGTCAGGCGGAGTTAGCTGAACCGCTTCTTTTATGGCTTTTTCACCTTGCAGAAACATCCGCTGGCACTCATGAGGCCAAGGAGATTGGGACCTTGCCTTCAAAGTTTATATCCACCTTTGCAACACATACGATCACATCACAGACGGTGAAGATTACGTCAGTATGGCTGAAGAAGCTATGCGGTTGTTCTGCGAGAGATGTTGGGTTAATTCCATGTTCGACGACGCGCCATCCGACAGCCATATCTCGCTGGATACAGTGCGCGAGGTTTTGGGCGAAGAAGGGAACTCAAAGGTGTGGCAGGGGAGATTGAAAAGATGGGTGGAATTCAGTAGCTTGAGACTAGGAGAAGGCCCGACTACAACGGCGAACCCAGACGGCGACTCGATTTCGATTCCGAAAGATTTTGATTTGCACCACGCAGCATCCAATGGAGAACTTCTGTCGGTGGTACGGTTCCGGAATATTTTATCGAATATCATCAATACAACTGACTCTTTCGGAAGAACCCCGTTTGGTTTGGCGTCTAGAGCAGGCTATGCGACTACAGTGACGGTCTTGCTGAAGGAAGGGGCCGAGCTAAATATTCGCGAAAATCTCGGTAGAACTTCGTTACACTACGCTTCTATGCGAGGGCATACATCTGTCATCCGTGCCCTTTTGCGGGGCGTTCAGTTCAAAGATGTTATTGACGCCCGAGATGAAGACGACAAGTCTCCTCTGGACCTTGCACTTCATTGTCATCAGGGGACTGCGGTGGCTCTTCTCATCTTCAATGGTGCCAAGGACCGGGACAACCGCGGTAAGAAATCACTCGAATCATCATTGAAGTACGGATCGCCAGAAGTCATAAGAACAATTTGAAACACGAGAAAAGGATTCGATTCCAATGAGGGAAAGGAGCGGCGTACGCTATTGTACTGGATGATTTGGAGAGACTCACGGAGAGCGTTGAGTTCACTATCGGACGGAGGCGCAGATTTACACACGACGGACATGGATGGTAATACACCGCTACACTATGTAGCGATGAAAGGTTGCCGGGAGTTAGTCACTCTGTTGCTTAGCAGGGAATCCAAGGTTGATACTCCGGGACAGAACGGTTGGACAGCGCTGCATCTTGCAGCCAGCGGGGGACACGATACTATCGTCAGTCTACTCCTCAATAACGGTGCAAAAATGGACGACAGCGTGGATAATGGCTATATAATCTCAAATATAATATACCAAGCAGCGCACCGGGGAGACGACGCCATTTTCCGGCTGTTACTCGATAAGGGTACCCTGATACCGGCCATATGGGATATTCGGGAGACAGCGCTGTTTCTAGCAGCTAGCAGAGGGGACACCAACGACACCAGCAAGCATCTCGACTGTGGGGCCGATATCGAAGCCAAGACCAAGTTTGGAGCGACTGCCCTCCACATAGCAGCCAGCGCGGGACATGATCGCACAGTTCATCTACTCCTTAGCAGAGGTGCTTATGATGGGATAGCTTTGTATTTGGCGGCCGAGAAGGGTCACGAGGCCACCGTTAGGGTGCTCCTGGATAGAGGCACTAGCTGAATTGCCTGGAGCAACTTGCACTCAGAGAAGGCCTTGCATTTGGCGGCCAAGGCGGGCCATGAGGCTACAGTCAGGCTGCTTCTGGATAGGGGTGCCAGTATCGAGGCCAAGGACAACGAGTATGAGAGGACGGCCTTGTATTTGGCAACCGTGAGGCACCACGAGGCTACAGTCAGGCTGCTCCTAGAGAGGGGTGCTAATCCTCTAGGTCTGAAAAACGTGGCATAAACGCCAGCGATCTCATGCCCTGACGTATGACGCTTGCAACAGGCACAAACTATCCTGTCGCTAGTTTGTGCTGTTCTTTTACTATTAAGGATCTTGTAATGTTTTACAAGCAAATTTCTTCTTGCACCCTTATACTTCAGACGCCTCGGGTGGAACCTCTGCGGACGAACTTACGACTTGATGATTGCACGATTGACGGCGGACCTTTTTTTTGTGTGCGCACATATATACGAATCCTGGCGAATGTGGCGGTGGTGGCGGTGGTGCATGGGGCATGCTGGCCGCGGAAATGGGCCTTTTTCTTGTTCTGCTGGAAAATCTCTTATGGTATACAGCACCGGCACCATATTTCTGTGGGAATGGGGTCAAGGGAGGGACGGCCGAGGAGGTATTGGGAGTTGGGGGGAAGGGAGGGAAGGCGATGAGACTGCAAAGAAGGGCGGGGAAAGAAGGGAACGGTGGGATTGAGGGAGCGGCGGCAAGACTGGGAACGGAGGATGGGACGAAAGGTTGGGAAACGACGGGAGGAAATGACGAAATTCTGGAAATGGGGGGGAGGCGTGAAGGGGGAGGCTTGGAAGGTTTTGAAAGGAGTGAGGATTATGTATGAGAGGAAATTCAAGTGGGAATGGTATGGGTGTTTATTGGGGAAGGAAGTCGGGATAGCACTTAGCGGGGACATGTGACGGATCTTATGGGTTGGTGTATTTTTTGTTGAATCATCATTAAATTCGACCTTAGTAGATCACGGCAGAATGCGGGTTGGTGTTTGCTTGCCGACGAGGCAGAAGGAACCGAGTGATAGGTATATCAATACTACTGTACATAGAGGGGCGGACCTCATTATTTGGCTGGAACGGGTCTTTTGGCTACTTGTTATTTCTTGTACTTCCTTTCTAACAGAAACCAATCCTTTTTAATTTGCCCCCTCCTTCTGTCACGTTTCCCGGTACCTAATAATAACACATCCAACCCTCACTCGGAGTCACTCCTAGTTGTTGAACTTGGCTAGTGGTGGGGCTATTTATCTCATCCCCACCATCTGCCAGTTTAGAAGTAATAAAGGAGATTACTTACAAAAGAAATGGCAGCAGGAAGCCGTAAATACTATATTCTGTTCCTAATCCTTTACTCTACACGTCTCGCCCCCCCCCCCCTCCCCACTGTCTTCCCTGGATATGGTTCACCCGATGAAGTTCGTGCTCCTTAGGAAGTTCCTTTTCGTTCACGAAGAGCTATCTGGATCTGGAATTCCGCTTTTCGAACTTCCGCGATTCTGGCTAAACTCGTTACAATGTACGGATATCCGAAGAGGCATCGAGTGATTTCGGTGATTGGTAGTGTAATTAGGTATCTCATCATTGCATGTTTGCCCTGTTCTATACCTGTACTACTATCCCGCTGCGAGACCGTATGTAGTTTGCCTATTAGATGAGTGAAGGGAGTGGAGAACCTAACCGACGATCACACCAAACGCTTGAAGGTTTGAAACGAAGTTAAATATCTCGATAACCTTTCGTGAGAAGCTTCACTAATCTACATACAAACAACATTGACAGGCCCAGTTTAAAAATCACGTTGACCGAGCTGCCGGCTTCCAGCACTGGTAACTATAAGTTCTCCGAGAATCTGCAGACTATCCGACAACAACAATTCTCAGCGGCAAATTATGACAACTTAGCGGGTTTTAGACGGAGACACAGATGATTGAGGGGCAGGTGGTATCGACGGAATCAAATGCTTTTAGAAGATTTAGTATCCGTTGCTATGGGCAAATTGATCTGAGGAACCTGGGCCTGAGATCTCGCGACCCCTTCCCATATAGTAGTCGGGCTACAAAGTTTGACCCCCCAAAAACAACAATGGCTCGAGTACCGAAGGTGGGGTCACTACTGTTATACACGTCGAATCTAGCGTTATAGACGGTACTATCAAGGATAATAGGAAGACACCTACCCGCACACTTTTAAGCCCCCTATCAAGAACATCGATTTTTGAAATTCCTACTGATTGGCAAGCCTGTTGAGACCGTAACTACTCCCGACGATGGGGCCACCATTACAAACTCGACTATAGATGTTCGCAATGGAATCAATTCCAGTGCAGCCCAAATGAAGGCACGAACTATAAAAAGAAGAATAGATTTCCCACTACAGGCAGCCATAAATTCACCAAATCTCAACCGTGGAGGATGGCCTTGGGGTATACACTGGAGTTCTATATCGCCAATACTATGTCCGTGCATCGTGTTCATGGTAATCGAGGGCTCAGTGGCGCCATAGAGGCACTATAGGCAAATACAACTAAGGCAACGGGATACGACCCAGAAGCGGAGTTTAATATCGTTTCGAACTCCGCATTCTGACCGTGACCATCGGGGTCACAATCGACTTTTGAATCGGCAATCTCATGATGGAATCAATAAACTACACACCAACTGCTCGCTAGCTAGCAGATAGATACCAATCTGACGTCCTACTGAATCGGTTTTCTCCCGGCAAAGCGCATGGCGAGCAACATATCCCTACATCAAATGAGCGAACCTACGCAAACTCCTCTAATGGCCCCACGCCTCGAGCTAGGACAATGGTCCACAATCCTCGAACGGGAGGATATAAACGACAAGCGCAATCTCAATCTACGCGAGACTGTCGAAGCAACGCACTCCGGCACGAAAGTCAAGACGTGAAGATGTACTCCGCCATCCACCTCCAATTATAATGGTACGAGTGACCCCGGCTAATCAGCCTCAACACCCTGTTCCTCCTCTCGCCTCAACTTAGCCTCCCTCTCTTCCCGCTCCCTGAGATCCCACTCGGACACCTCACTTGCTACATCTTCCTCAGCGGCCTCTGGGATCCGCCTGCCCACATCAGTAGAGGAGAGGAAGTCTAGGATAGCCTGGCTGCATAGCTCGTCTGCGAAGAGGTCTCGGATCTTGAAGCGATCCTTGCCCCTCCCCGTCTCCTTCCGGACCTCTGTCCACAGTATCTTCTGCTAGCTCTTCCATTCGAGGCAACATTTGAAGAGGTGCTTCTGGGTCTGGGTCTTGTAGCAGCACCATCCGCAGCGGGCGTCGGGGCGGCTCTTCGTTCACTGTAGGTACTGGCCCGTGAGGCAGTGTCCTGTCTTCAGCTCATATCGGTCGGATCCCCACAAGCCGAGAATTCAGAGTCAAGGCCCGAGTGCCTGTCCATGACGCTCGGTTGAGGTTGCAAGTAGTCAATCCGTGAATCTGGGATCCTCAGAGCGAAGCGAAGGTGTGACAGCTTGGCGTCAGGCTGCGTGCTTGGTCATATGCAACTAACTGCTGTTGGCGAGTATGACGTGTACACGTTCGTTGGGAAATTCTGAGACTGAGCGGGAGCTTGTCCATCGAAGTCTTTGCCCATCGAAGTCTTTGCCCATCGAAGTCTTTCCTTCTTCGCTTCTTTCTCGGAACGAACAAAGCACCCGCCGCCCGCGACGCACTCAACCCACCCACCCACCGTCCACAACACCTGTCGCTGCCGAACCCACACCGCCAAACAGTATCAGGTTTTCACACGCGATAACTACCACCTCCAGAAACCACGTGAGCTAGCGACGCTGAACTCGCACTCGTCTTTCGGTTTCTTCATTAGAAACAAAGGGGAAGACTCATTTGGGGGATTATTTGGAGTCTCTCGCCCCAGTCATATCGGGCGGTTCTCTTTCAACTACCCTCTGCTCTTCTTTCCTTCTGTTGCTTCTCGCTTTGCTGGCTTGGCGTGAATTGAGGACTCTACCATCAACGGTGAAGTGAGTATCGTCATCATTCTTGGCGCAGGCAGACGAGTTGGAGAAGGCAGGGTGAAACCGTTTTGGAAAGCGGAAGAGAGAAGAAAGAAGAAAGAAAAGAGAGAGAGATCAGGAGAACAGTGTTCAGCCTTCATCTGGTTGGTACCCGTTGCCATTCTTTTGTCGAGAGGGATCTCGAGAAAAAAAAAACGGCTGGGCCTGACTGCATTGGGTTTTCCTTTTCGTTCCCGTGATTCAAGACCCTCTTTACTACGCACCTCCCTCCATCACTATCACCTCCTTCGGTCACAGAGCACACGTAAAAAAAAATCTTGTCCCCACCCTCCACTATCACCACCACCGAGCGCAGCCCGGCACACCGAACCGACGACGGATAGCTTGCTTGACTTAGATATACCCTTCTGTGCGTGAAAGAGAAGCAGCATCCACCTGCCTTTCTTTCGCGCGAAATCACATCATCTGCGCAGTCGGACATCGTCGGAAGCATTGAAGCAGTTCGTCCAGACAACCACCATGACTGGTAAGCCCACAATCCCTCCTCTGTACCCTCACTTCTACTCCTCTATGCCCTTTAGCGCTCACGCGCTTTGTTCACCGCCGCCGATCCGGAGAAAAGCTGACATTATCTCGGAACCACCAGACCCGCGACGCAGCGCGCGCTCCACGAAGGGTGTCAACAGCCGCCTCTCAGAAATCAACGTACTCGAGACCGCGTCGCCGACACCTGCAAAACGCCGGAAATCCACGCCGAAAAACTCCACATCCGCGTCCGAGTCGCCGAGCAGAGAAGATGGTGATGTGGAGGGAAAGCCAGACGACATCATCCGATGCGTGTGTGGCGCTAGCGAGGAGGACGAGGACGACGATCGCATGATGATTCAGTGTGAGGGCTGCGACGCGTGGCAACATACCCAGTGTATGGGAATTCCGAAGAAAAAAATACCTAAGCAATACTTCTGTGAGGTTTGTAGCCCTGATCGGCATGAATTTCTGCTTGAGCAGATGGCGCTGGGCGAGAAGCCGTGGGAGAAGAAGGGTGGTATGAGGAAAAGAGCGCCGGCGAAGCAGAAGGAAGCCGCTGCTACTCCGGTGAAACCGAAGGAAACGACTCCCAAGCAGAAAGAAGCAACCAAAGAAGCAGCACCAAAACAAAAAGAGGTCACCCCGAAACTGAAAGAAGCCACTCCTGCGCGTGGCAAGAGAGGAGCATCTACGACGACCGAAAAGTCAAAAGCCGCACCTGTAGCTCCCGCTCCGCCTCCGCCTCCTCCGACAACGACGACGACTCCAAGAACCACGTCACGCTCTCGCACGGCGAGCAACAAGGCTGCTACGGAAACCCCTAAAGTCACTGCTCCACCAGCAACGCCTAGAACTGCTGCAATTTCCGAGAAAGCTGCTCCAGCCTCGGCCTCTCCGCCAACGGCTGAGTCGGTTGAGGATGAAGTGGTGCAGGATGTGGAGGCATCAGTGAGTAAGGAGAAGTCAAGGAAGAAAAATGGCGAAGATGTCCCAATGGAAGATGTGAAACCGGTCAATGACGATAAGATGGACATCGATGAACCGGAATCTGAAGTTCCTGTCGTAGAATCGTCGGAGGAGGCGCTTGACCGTACAGACCGTGATGCCACTATCCCGGCGGAAGACATGCCCCCTCCACCTGCTCCACCACTACCCCCTCATACGTTTGTAGAAGCAAAACCCAACAAGTCGCTGCCCCACATTGTCACCGATACCGCAGCACAAAGACCCAAGAACAAAAAGGATGGAAGCGACACTGTCATGACCCCAAAGACACCCAAATCGGCGAAGCGCAAATCAAGCGCCGATTCGGACAGTGAATACAAAGGAGACGATGATAAGGTAAGCAAGCTGCACTCCGGCTCACTAATTCAGTTAACCAGGAGCTAACATGCCATGGAACAGCCCGTCGAGAAGAAGCAGCGTCGGGGATCGATAGTCGCCCATTCACCTGAAGTGACCACGCCAAAGACGCCCCACCCGGCAGACCGGAGAAAGTCCTCTTCGGCCGCGGTCAGGTCATCCCCAGCATCAAAATTGGACTACACGCCACAGACGGAGCTTGTCGAGAAGATTGAGGACCTACGGAATTCTCACCGCCAGAAAGTCGTGATGTATATGAAAACGTGCATGTCGGAGCATGCGAAACGCTTGGTCGACGACAAGAAGATTACGTTACAGCCAGAATCAACCGTCGACTCGTTGTGCGAAAACCGAGCACTCCAGATTGAGCACCATGTTTACTTGAACCACAACACAGACGGCACACTCCCTGGCGAGTATTCCAAGCGGGCAAGGACTATCTCATCCAACCTCAAGAGCAATGCTGCTCTGAGCGACGAAATTCTGGGAGGAAGGCTCAGTTGTGAGAGGCTGGCGCACATGACGACAGAAGAGATGGCATCTCAGGAATTGAAGGATCTGACCCAACAGGTCCGCATGGAGTCTGAGAAGCATAATACGCTGATCAACGAGACGGGCCCCAGGATCAGAAGGACTCATAAAGGCGAGGAGCTTGTGAACGAGGAAATGCCCGCCCAGTCCGGTCAAGACACTCTTCTCGACACCGGTGCTGTTGTTTCCCAGCGCCCGGAGCCCATCGACGATCTAACGCCTGCTCCTCCCGCAGGGTCCGATACGCCCATGGGGTCCCAGTCTCCAAAGCAACCTGCTGATGCTTCCATCAGCCCTCCCCCTGGTACTTCGGAAACGCCGCGTTCCCCGAGTCAAACATTACCAGTTGAAGGACCTACGGCCGAGAAAGACAAAAAGAAGAAGGATAACCGGTCGTTCAATATTGAGACTGTCTGGAGCCATGTCGAGTCGCCGGATACAGAGAGGAGACCGACGCGCCCACCGCCAGCTCAGATGCTGCAGCGCATCACGCCTACCGACAGTAAGATCGATAAGGATATCGACAATATGTTGAGGGATGATGATGCCGGAACACCACCGTACTCTCCCCACAGCTATAACGATCCTTATTCGCCGAAACCGGATCTAGACGATAATACTGTGTGGCGTGGGCTGATAGAGATGAGCTTCATCGGAAAGTTCAATGCCACAGCATCTTTGATAGGTGGACCGGAACGCATTGGAGACATGCCATGGCTTGAGCTACTGGCTCCCGTCATTGACATCGACGGCAGGATTAAGCACGCACGCGCGACCGAGTACCTGTGCGGGCAGAGGTTCTCGAAGTCAAGCACAATGATTCTCGCTTCCCTCAAGCCGGAGCACTTGGCCAGCCAGACGTCATTCGATAAACTATTCGAATATTTCAGTCTTAAGCAGCGATATGGAGTGGTCAGCAAGCGCGGCGAAAAGTGGATGAAGGACCTGTATGTCATTCCCTTGGACGTCGGTGAGCCGCTACCAGACTGGTTCGGCGTTGTCGATCCCCAATGCAAGATTCCGGAGAACAGGAGTTCCAAGATGGTGGTGCTCGCCTGCGTGGTTATCAGGGGGCTCGTTCCGGGTTATGTTGAGAATGGCCAGGCACGCGGCAGCTTCTCGATGCCGAGTACTCCAAGCGCCCCGCAGTTCGCCACCCCCCAGCAGCCAATGCCCTCGCCATTCCCATCTGGAAACATGACCCACCGCCCGCAGCCAACCCACCAAGCGTTCTCGCCGGCAACAGCTGCTCCTCCGCAGATGCATCCACACTACGCCAACAATCAGCACTCAAACATGCAAGTACAGTATGGTTACCCCCCACAGCAGCCCATGAATCTACCGCCATTACAGCAGTATCCTCCTCCTCCACCGCTGCAGCCCACGACCTACGTCCCCACTCACGCCATGACTCGCGAGTTGATCCAGATCATTCCGAGGCTGAGCGAGATACAGGCACGTGCGATTGATAAGCTGCTTCTCGACAACCCTTCGTTACAGACCAATCCAGACGTGTTGGCCAGAGAGGTCGAGAAGGTCCTTGGCGCCGTTACCGCCTGAAAAGCGGCTTTTTCGTACTCTTTTCTTTTCTTTCCATTTCCTTGATGTTCCTTTGATCGGTGGGGAATTGATATCATGGGCGTTTAGTGCTTTTTTTTTCTTTCTGTATTGTTTCTTTATATTGCGACTTGATTTCCTTTGGGATTCCGTTCCGTGTGTAGTGATCCTTGCACGAAGCCGGTGGCGGGGGTGCTTCGGATTTGATGTGATTGTCTCACGGTTGGAGGGGGGGCAATAGGTACCAAAGCTGCATGGGTTATGTAACGTCCATCCATACATGAATGGACAGTACTGGTGATATTGCTTGGGTTTCTCGGTAGTTTGCTTTGTTTGCCTTGAATTGCATGATGTATCTTTTGCCTGAACTGTATGCTTGAGAGATGAACGGGATAATTGAAGAGGTACGTTGCTACTATTGCATCCTGGAGATTGCTCGTCAGAGACCGTTCCTCCCTGTCGCCTTCTCCGCTTTGCGGACACACTTCTTGTGTCGGTTGGCCTCAGCGAACAAGGACACGGACTTGTGAGGTCGAGGACCCGAGGCATCGAACATAAGATCGCGAGATTCGGAGGGGCACTCTACTACAACCGTGCCGATTGCCCTCTACCTAGTAGTTGGTGTGCGGGCGGATTAAAAAGAAACATGAGTTTCGAATGCCCTTGCAAGGGCCCATCGTTCCTATTGGACACATCCATCACATGAGTCAGGCAGCACGTAGTCCCTGTCGTTGCACGAGCTTGTAAGTTGTATGTAGGGTAGCTCCAGCAGCAGCTTCAAAACGCCGCACACTCGCACATCACGCAGATACATACCAGCACCCAAAGCCTCAGCCGCCATGGGAGTCCCACCCCCCTCCGACTCCAAACGCCTCGACTCTCTCGGGCCCAAGCAGCAGCACGACGACGACTACCACGTCACGCACGACGCCACCACCTCCTCGTCGTCGTCAGCGCCGCTCCTCTCCAGCTACGATGCAGCCCCGGACGTCGACGGCGACGAGGAGCCACCAGCATACAGCGACATGGGCGAGGAGCCGCCCGTGTTCACGCCGTACGTAGCACGGCAGCACGTCCTGAGCAACGGCAAGGTGATCTCGCACGACGCGCACCTCAACCGCGACGTCGAGGCGCTCTACCAGTTCCTAGTATTGCAGGCGACGCAGCCACCGCAGCCGCGTCTGCGCGTCGCCGGCTCCCACTCCGTGCGCTCCACGGTCCGCGAGAACGGCAAGGACCGCACTACCACTAGTACCGCTACAGACTTCGACATCACGTTCGACCTGGCGAGTTTTGTGGCCGCCGCGGGCGGCGAGCTAGTCGCTGTCGGCCCCGGAGAGCGCCGGAGGCGCGGCGGGAGGAATCGTGCGGTCGCTACCCAGGCGGAGGTCGAGGCTGCGATGGACGTGCGTGATCGCTGCGAGGAGTATATCCGCTGCCCGGCGGCGCTCAAGGAGTTTACGCTGCGGAAGAGGCTGTGCGGGTTTGATGAGGAGGTGCTCCGCTTCCATGTCGAGGCCATGGTCCGCAGTACAAACTACCGCGGGAATATACGTGTCTCCTTCCCCATCGAGAACCGCAGCGTCGTGCTGGCCCCCGGGAATGTCGTCTGTCGCATACGATATGGCTGGGCGCGATGGATCCTTTACCTCTCGTTCCTGTGGCTGATCACCTGGCCTGTGCTGTGGCTGCTCACGAAGCGATGGGACGTCGTCGATGCTATATATCATGTCGAGCCGGGCGCGGAGAGAGAGTGGGTCGATCGCTGGGGCTGGGTGCTGACCCGCCTCGTGCGGCAGAAGCGGCAGCAGGGGGAGCCGCTCTCAGTGCCGCATCTGAGGTGGATCGAGTGCCACGAGCTCGCGCAGAGCGAGAGGATGGAGTCGAGACGGAGGCAGAGCGGGGTTTTTGGGTTCCTTAGGGGCATCGGTGAGATCACTGAGGCCATGGGCGGCGGGTGGGGCGCCGATGAGTGGTAGTGATGCTCGTTTACCGCGCTTTGCTTGGGTGGGTGTGTTCCGTGAATGCGACCTACCGTAAACGGGTGTTTTTGCTTTGTTTTTGATTCCTTGGAGTTGTGGGGAGGGGAGTGGATTTGTTTGGTCAATGCGAGCTGCAATGAATCTTCATCGTGAATACTTCATAAAACATTTACACTCTAGTTGCCATTCACAGCGAAGGGTAGTTACTAGTACAGGACAATGTGACCCTGACGGACCAATTGTTCTTTGGTCCTGGCGTTGAGCTCAATGGTTTTGCACTCGCGTCGCCGCCATGCATTCTCGCCTCCCGCCTCCAGCATCATCATTCTTCACTTCGCGGGAAATCCGAGTCGCAGAGATTTCTTTTTCACACTCCCATTCGCGCACCCTGAGCACCCTGAGCACCCTGAGCACCCTGAGCACCCTGAGCACCCTGAACATCCAGGTACCTAGCGTACCGTAGTGAGTGGCTGAGTGTTGCTGGGCACATAGGTTGTGGTTGGGTGCGCGCGTGCGCCATGCTTCCCTTTTCTCCTGTTTGGTTTGCATCTTGGAAGTTCGCATAGGTAAGTAGTAGGTACGTCGTGGCTGGTAATGGTTGGGTGGGCGGGCAGGCGGGACGGATCGTGCACTCCTTGAGGCGAGTTGAATTGAAGTAAGTGAGAGGGTATGCGACGGAGGATTACTAGTAGTTACTAGGTAGTAGTTATTGCTACTTACTTAAGCTATAGGTAGTGCAATGACGGTATCCAGTCATAAGCACAGTCCAGCCTCGAGGTGTATTCGTGCCATCTTGCCACAAAGCAGATCATGGGGGAGGGGGGAGGACTGGAATAAAACAACAGACCACACTTCATCCCGATCCGCCCCACCTCGTCCCGCCCCGCTCCACCCTGTCCCGCGCCACCCAGTCCCGCCCAACGAAAGCTCCGTCCTGCGCCATGCCGCCCGACGAAAGCTCCAACCGAGTGCTAGTACATGACGCCATATCACCCCTCTTCCCCCAGATAGCCCATCCTATCCTATCCGCACCCCATTCGCAGCTCTTGGGTATATCACTGTAGCACTGTAGCGCTCTGCGACGCCCCCGCAGCCCGCACTAGTTATATGGCCCCGCCGCCGCGCCGGCAGATATCCCCTCCCCCTCCACCCACGCCGCCGAGTAAACCACGCCGAAAAACCACGCACCACGCCTCATCACGCCACATCGAACTACTCTCATTCACAATCTACTCCCTCCCACTCCCACTCCCACTCCCACTCCCACTGCCCCCACTCCCCAATCTACCCATCTCTATTCAATCTGCCAATCTGCCTCCCATCTCTGTGAAACACAACTTACAGATTACCGCCTACAGCATACGTCTTACGGCGGCCCGAGCCGTTCGTACTTTTGGGTATGTAGGTAGGCTTTGTTTGACAGCTGTCAGATCTCGCGAGGCCTGGGATCTGTCTGGTGTCTATCTCTGTCTACACCGGTGAGGGCCGTGAATGCACGTAACTGACTGGGCCAGATAAACTGAGCCAGATGTCGATATCGATATCGAGGGAGCCTCTGTCGTGTCTGTACATACGTTGAGTGCTACATCACATCCCGCACATCACATCAGATCATGACGAACAGATCATGAGGACCGGAATATCCACTGTATTAACATTCCCAGTTCCCAGTTCCAGTTCCGCGTTCCCACCGTCCACAGTCCACAGTCCACAGTCCACAGTCCACAGTCCACAGGCCACAACAGCCATATCTATCCCCATCATTCCCACACCCGGTCCGGTATCCAAACCCCACCAGCTATCCCAAAACCCATCCCCATCATCATCATCCGCAACCCCATCCAAAGGAAGCAAAAAACACCGATCCATCTATTGACAATAACAAAAGAAAACGAGTATGTAAGTAGAGATTCAAACTCATCGCCCGCCTCATCGCCGTCGCTGCCCCCATCCGTATATAAACATAATTCTATCAAACAATCCAAGAAAAAACAATCAATCAAAAAAAACACCCCCTCGCGCCCCGCCGGTACGCCATAATCAAGAAACGAAAATAATCAAGAAACGAAAATAATCAAGAAACGAAAATAATCAAGAAACGAAAATAATCAAGAAACGAAAATAATCAAGAAACAAAGAAATGAAATAAAACGCCTACCCCCTCAGCCCCTCGAGCAGATTCCCCAGACTATGTAGATGATGACTACTATGGCTGCGTCTCTGGATGCCACCGGCGCTGGTACTGCTCAAATCGCCAGTAGTATTCCTCGCCATCATTCTCGGGCGGGACGAGAACATGTGACCCATCCCCGGCGGGGAGTTCTGCGGGCTAGCGGGAGCGCTGCGAACGCTCATAGCGTGGGGGGTGGCATCGCACTGGTCATAGAGCGGCAGGGTGGACTCGGTGCAGAGGTTCCTGGTTCCCGTGCGCACGGCGGTGGTGTAGCTGGGGACGCGGGAGAGGTCCTCCATCGCCGGGGGGGCGAGGAGGGGCGGCGTGGGCGTGCGGGACTGCGGCGTGGAGGTGTCCGCGTCTGAGGGGGGGCCGCGATCGCTGGCGCTGCTGCCTACTGTCCACCGGCGCGAGGAGGCGTCCGGGAGCCGGATCGGCTCCACGTGTCCGCCGACCAGGGAGCCGAGGTTGTCGGAGGACGGGTTGCGCGAGAGCGGCATGGGTGTGTTGGCGCCGGATGGGAGCGGCGTGTCGAAGGAATCGTGCCGCACGTTCTCATACAGGCGGTCGAGGTAGTGTTCGTCGTAGCGAGGGGGGGCGTTGGCCAGCGTGTCCGTGCTCGTCTCCGGCGCATCCGACGGAATCCGGTTCGTGTCGTCCATGAGGTAATTGGGCGAGATGAACAGCATGACCGGCAGCGAGGCGCGCAGCTCTGACATGTGCCCGTCGGGGTTGTGCAGCTGTATTGTGAACTTGAGCCTACTCACATGTCAGTCCGGTCCTCCCGATCCGCGGAACTAGGATACTCACTTGTGTCTAATCTTGATCGACGGCACCTCGCAATCCTGCACGCAGGCGTTCAGGCTCTTTGGCAGCACTATGCGGTCGTGCATGACCCACTTGCCGAGCTCCTCCTCGCTGTCCTCCTCCATCGCTCCCGAGTCGAAGGTTTGGGTGACGATGTGGCGCGTGTCGACCTTCTGACTCGTTTTCGGCGCACATGTGAGAGTGTGGATTTCCTTGAGCGCGCAGACCACCTTGCCGATGGTGAGTCCCTTCAGCAGCGGCACCAGCACGATATCGACCGGTATGCACGTGCCAAAGACGACGGCTTTGCTGGGTATGCTGATCGAGTACTGGACCTTCTCCGGCCACAGGTTCTCGACCGACATGGTCTGGGTGAGCTCCAGCGAGTTCGGTCCGAGGGTGCGAATGATCCTCAGATGCTGCGCGCTGGTCAGCCTCGGCGCCCACACGCTCGCGCTCGTCCCCGAGAGAGAAACATACCTTCTTCGCCGTGATATCGTGACTAAACTTTCCCCTCGAGATCCTCGCCTTGAGTCTGTAGACGACATGCGTGCTCCCCAGTCCCTCGACACTCTCGGGCAGCTCGCCCGCAAGAGGCAGCTGAAACGGATACTCGTAGTTGCCGGGCATGACGGTGAAGTTCGTGTGTCCGTTGCTCTCCAGGAAGTTCCACTTCTTCTCGTAAAAGACCTCCTCGTGTTTTATCGTCCGCGACGGATTCGACATGAGGCCAGCGACGGGCGGCGGTTGCCTCTCACTCCAACTACCAAAAACCGTGTTAGCCCTGTTCCCCGCGCAGCGACCAGCACCACCAGCACCATCACCAGCACCACCACCACCGCAATCAGAAATACTCACTGTAACCTCCTCACACCCTGCAGCACCAGCGATATCCCTCGGATCGCAACCGAGTCGCGAATGCACAGGGCGACGAGTCCCTTGAGCATGGCGCCATTACTCTCCTCGGCAAGACCGCGGAACACCACCACGTCTTCGTCCAACCTGCGATTCCGTCAGCCTCCATCCAAGCAACCACTTCTTTTCTCCGCGCGCGCGCGCGCATGCATACCGAATCTCGATGAACGGTATGTCGTGTGTCGGGCCGCGCTGTATGAACGGCATCGTTTTGTGCTGGTTATGGTTTTTTTTTTTTTTTTTTTGGGGGGGGGGGGTTTGTTTCGCTGATTCCGTGCTGGTTGTGGGTGGTGACTCCCAAAATGTCGAGCGCGGGCTATGGATGTATTGCGGCGTCGCGATCAGTCCTATGTGTATGTACGCCTGTGTACTCGGTGTCGTCGGTTCGTTGGCAGTGCTTGTGTGACGCAATCGGAAGATTTCGGTGGGGTGGTGCTAACTGGTAGCTGCTGTGTAGGTTCCTGAGGTGTGGCGTGGGGGGGTTGGGTTGGGAGGGGGCGTGGGGCGGAGGGATGCAGCAAAGTCGCCGTTCGAGGGTGTTTTCGCAGGATATATATCTGTCTGGACGAGAGAAGAAGGTTCTGGCGGAGGAGAAAGGGGAGGGTAGAAGAGCAAAAGAGCGAGAGAGCGCGGTGGTGAAGTACTCGCAGTTTGAAGGCAGCCACTCCTGAGGAATTATGTACGGATATGTATGGGCGGGAATTCGCTCGGAGTTCTAGAAAGAAAAACGAGCCTTGCCTGCCCTGCCCGCCTGCCTGCCTCTGCCCTGGCGGTGCTGCTGGTGGCAGATCCTAGGCGAGAGGCAGAGAGACAGAGAGCACCGGACCAACCAGGTAGATACATCTCAGTAGAGCAAGGCCGGCTCTCGAAGGCAGAAAAGATAGCGGGAGCTCTGCCGATAGGACACGACTCACGACGACACGAGAAGGGGACGCCGATGGCCAGTGGTCGGTCGCTCTCCTCGGCCCAGCCCGTGCTTGCCAGGGGCGTTGTTGGTGTCTGCGTCTCGACTCTCGGTAGCCATGTCGTGCTTCACAAGTTCACATGGGACGGATAAGCCGGTTTTGGAAACACGACCGTGCAACTTGTGGTGTGTAGCCTGCAGATAGCGATATCGTGCTCGTCCAAGCTCGTGGACGATGTTGGAACGTGGGGCTCGGGACACTGGTATCGTGAGTCGCGAGCACGGAATCCGGCCAGCCACGATGCGAGGGGAGAGCCAAGGCCAGTCGCATTCAGTTCCTGCAATCGTCGCCAGATCCCCTCGCCTTCCCCGGCGGCAGTGTGTACAGTGTGTACTTGGCACATACTCGACCGCATCCTCCCTCCTGCTTCCGTGCGGAGCCACGCACGTCGCAGGCAGCCTGAGCCTGAGCCCCAGTACACACTCCATGTATCTACCACAGGTCCGCAGCGACGCCTCCAAAGCCACTCTCCCTTCGCTCCCGCCTGCACGCCCATCTACGAGCCGTTTCATGCCCGTGCGCTGACCACACTCCCTACATACCTCCCTCTCTACAGTCTGCAGCCCCTCACCCAGCTCTCCCACCCTGGAAGTTGCACGCAGTCCCCCACCTCGCACGCAGTCCCCCACCTCGCACGCAGTCCCCCCCACGTCGGACGGTACAACCGGGACCTACCGGCAAAACACACGTGTGTGCGAGTGCGTCCGTAATCGGCATCTCCTACCTACACCCACCTACTCATACCTACGGTACCCCTCCTCCACTCCTCCTCCAGGCCCTCCTCCTCGTCTCGGTGGTGGGGTGAGTACCATCCGACTCCGGCAGTGAGCTCGCCGCTGCGCGCTTCGACGCTCGCCCGACAAAGTGCTTTGGGGAGGTAGAATAGCAGACCACCATCGCCGTCGCACCATGGCAATCATATCTGGCATGACATCTCTGGTTCTCTGGCATGACACCGGAGGATGGAATAGAGTGTGTATATGTATGATAGAGTAGAGGACGGTAGATGGTAGATATAGTAGAGGACGGTAGAGTACCCAGGGTACATGAATGAAGACAGCTGCGAGGGTACTCTACGTACTCGAGCACTCAACCGTGGAGTAGGTACTGCCGTGCCCACTGCCTCTGCCACTGTCTCCCTCGGCCAACCCGTACATTCATACTACGACAGTACATACGATGCAGGTAAGGAGTAAGTGCTGAGGCATGCATGTAGAGTACTTGGGAAGTTGGGCACCTGTCAGGCCGCCATCCAGTTTCCAGTGTCCAGTGTCCCCCCGCTTCGTCTCGCCGCTCCGGCTAAATTCCTCAGTGTCTAGATGCTCACTACAGTACTCACAACCTAGGTACTCTACATACCTGAGTACCCAAGTACATACTCTTACCTTACATACATGTCCAGCGTGTATGTAGTCCCGTCTTTTCAGCAGCGATGTGGGTGTCTCCGTCGACACCGAGACAGACAGCCAACGTGCTGTTCCAGCTGAAGAAGCAGAACGCACGCAAGGGTCCACTCCCACAGTCCCACACCGCACGCGCCAGCGCTAAGGAAAAAAGTTTATCCGACCGTTGAAGTAAGGCTTCCAGCTTCTAGAATTTGCCTCACCTCATCGGCCCAGCCTGCCGAGCCCAACCCATCCCAGCGCAGGGCAAGCGAAACGGAAAAAAATTATATAGGGATGGCTGGGCGTGAATGTATGAGAGCTTTTCTTTTCTTGCGGCCTCTGGCCGGCGATGAGCGGATTCTTCATACATCTGATGGAAGGAAGCCCTGGCTGAAACGAGAGGCTCGAGAGCTGCTGCTACTACTATTACTACTACTACTACTACTACTACTACTACTACTACTACTACTACTACTACTGAAGTATGGAAAGAAAGAAGAAGAAAAAAAAGGAAAAGAAAAAAAAAAGAGAAGGGAAGAAAACCCCTCTCTCCTCGCTTCATCGCTTCATCGTGGCCGGCCGGCCCCTTAGCACTTAGCACACGGGCATCGCCTCCAACCCCGAGCCAGAGCCAGAGCCAGAGCCAGAGCCAGAGCCAGAGCCAGAGCCAGAAACAGCAACGCACTCCACTCCGCTCCGGACTCCGAAGCGGTACCGGTACCTATCGGAGTGACAAATAGTGCTTTCACATCAAACGCATCAAACGCATCAAACAAATCCACAACAACATCGCCAACACAGACGAAAAAGCAGAGTAAAAGCAGAGTAAAAGCAATAGACAGCCAGCCCAATGTTTTCTTCAAACCGCCCAGTCCGAGCCCATCCATCCAAACAAACAAACTAAACAACCCACCGTCGGACAAACTAAACAATCCACCTATGCCACGGTGCGGCACCACATGATATCCATCAACTCCCCCCCTCAGCCGAGAGCGTAACATCGCTGCCCGTCCGATCCTTGTCAAGTACCTGCGGCGGTCGGTTCCAGGTTTTCAAATGTCCTGTTGATCGGCGCATCCCTGTCAGTCTCGGCCCGCGAAAATCTCAACAGGCAAAAAAAAAAAAAAAAAAAAAGAGATGTCGTCGGAGAAAGAAAAGGTCATGATGACTCAATATCGCGTGCTAGCCTTGGCCCTGGTCCACACACACGTGGGATATACGGTAGGTCGCCACAAGCAAAGCAATTTTGCAGACCCACACGGAAACAACAAGAGGGGGAGGAAGAAGAAGACGCCAAGCAAGGAAAGGACAAGAAAAGGTGGCGCTCACCATCGACACACGTCGTTATGATCGCCTCCTCGCGGAAAATTAACTGGCTCAACGGGCACGCATCGATAACCTTGGACTGAAAATAGACGTCAGTCAGTCTAGCCTTACGCGAAGGGATTCCCCTTTTGCTTCTAGAACACAGAGATAAGGAAGGATGACGCACCATGATGGGCGGCAGAACTGCCGTTTGGGCGCGTGCATCTACGCCGTGCACTGTTGGTCTGTCGATTTCGTCCAGCACCGAAGCTGCGATGTTGGAGTTTGATCTCAGCCGCAACGACTGGCTCTCGCCGCGCACTCGCCCCGTCATTCCGGCAGGTGCGTACGTGGGCGAGCTCGACATGCTACCGCGGTGGTGCTGCGCCACGGCCTGCGAGGGTTAGACGGTCAGCGTCAGCAAACTAGCGCCTCCAGCGCGCGCGCTCTTCGGCGGCAGGAAAAAAATCGACAGGCGGGCCGTACCGCTTTGGGTTTGTGTAACATCCCGACGCTGAAATCCCACAGCAGCAGCCTGCAGTCGTTGCCTACGCTGCCGAACCGATACGTGCGGTCATCACAGCGCCAGGGATCGAAAGCGACGCCCGACACCCACGAGTGGTGCCCCTCTCCTCGTGCAACGATTCGTCGCTCAGCGAATGACCATATCGAGACCAGGTCGTCCTGCCCGCCGGCCACGATGTATCGCCCGTCGGGAGACCAGCACACGCACATTAGGCCGCCATAGTAGCTGCAGTAAACGTCCAACAACCTGTGCCGATAAGAAAAACTCCGTTCCACTAGTTACGGGATGGAAGACGACCCACTTTTCTTTGACGAAGTTGAGAACTCGCAGGCTCTCGTCCTCTGAAACAACTGCCAGATGCTCACAGTCCGGGGAGAATGCAAAAGCCGTTATGGGCCCCTTGGCTACCGACCAGTAGCACAACGGGTTTGTCTTCTGGTTCGTTGACTTGACCGACTTTCTCACCCCGAAGAAGCCCATAAAGCTGGCTGGAGATGCCCCGTTCGCGTATGCATTGCTATCCGAAACATCCTCGGGCATAAATGGCGCGTCTTCTTTCTCTCGATCGTAGACGACCAAGCTACCGTCGTTGTGGGCAGCCAGGAACAAATTTTCTGACCCCGGCAACCACTTGATTTCGGTGACTGCATGCGAGTTTATCGTGCCCTACGAGGTTGGTGACCGGAAGAGAATTAGCTCGATCGATGGCTTTATCTCCCTGCAACAAATCTATTTTTTTGACCCCCTGCGGTGCAGAAAGTGTATAAGACCAACACGATGGAGAGGGGAAGTTACGTTTTTGTTGATACGGGCGTATTTGTTGGAGATGGGATCAAACCAGATGATATCTCCAGTGGAAAACCCAATGATGACGTCGATCTGATTCACGCTGCGAGTCGCCATGTTGACGTCGTGACAGATCGGGTGAGCTTTCGTAAAGAGAATCTTGGATAAGGGTTCTTGCTGTAGCAAAGAAACACATGAGCCTCGGTCAGAGTGACGGGCGCCCAGCGGGGAAGTGAAAAACCTTGATGGCCGAGTCCATATCGAGCCAGTTGAATGCTCTGTTGATGTTGGCGAAAGCCATCAGATCCTCCGAGCTCCTCTCGAGCATCCTCTTTGCCATGTGCTCGTGCGGTATGATCCTAGAGACGAACGACGAGTTGCTCTTGGCGATGTTGTTCTTGGGCTTCTTCTTTACGTTCTTCCCGGTCGCCGCCGAAAGCGACGCGTTGCCGTTTCCAAACTTCTCCGGTATGTGCGCCATATCCGAGCTCCTGGTAACAGACGAACCCGACCCGCCCCTACCCGTGGACGACTCCTCGTCGGTTTCCGCTGATACGCTCGATTCGACCCCATCCTGTGTGTCGCGGCTGTTCGCGATCGTGGGATTTCGGTATATATTATTGACCTTTGTGTCGCGGGATTTGATCTGCACCAGAGAGACCCTGGTTCCGGCAGCGATGGGGAGAGGCGCGGTGCTGAGCGGGTTCGGGTTCGTAATCGGGGCTTCGGACGGGTGCGGTGGAGGGGTCGCGAGGTGGATGTCTTCCTTCAGAACATAGGTGCCTAGACACGCGGAAACAACACACACGCAGTCAGCACGGGAGCGATACTAGACACCGACACCGACACCGACACCGATAGCGCAACGCATTACCGACCTTCGCCGACCGAGAACTGGTACTCCGGTCCGGTGGGGTTCTTGATGGTATTGTTCGTCTCTATGATCGGGATCGGGGCGCCGCCGATGCCGCCATAGGGGACGCCGTTCGGATATCTATTCGGCAGCATCGTCAGGGCTAGATCGAGGAGGTGGGAGAACATGTACGAGTGATTGCGCGCGCGGAGCTTCTCACCTGGAGGGAGGAGGCGGTAGGACGAACTGTACGACTGAGGTTCAGCCGCTATCTCTCGTATTCATTCAATGGACTCGATGGGATGCGACCCACCATCGTTAGCTAATCGACTACGTAGGAATTCTATGGCGGTCGTGTGTGATTCGCAAAGCTGCGGGGTCTCAGTCTTGGTGGTGGCAGGTGGTTGTGCAGCAGGTGGCAGCCAGGCTAGGAGGATTGGGCGAAAAAGCAAAGTCTCGAGCACGGGAATGGAGAGGTGGTAGGACAATCGCGTCACGATACTGGAGTGGGCGATAGGATCTTCGACGATGAATGACGAGGCGGCGCAAACGCAAAGAGGGAGAAGGTTAGAGTAGGGTCTGAGTGGTTCTCTGGTGTTGCGAAGGAAGGTAACTGGAGCGTATCCCCGCTAGGCAAAACTCCGGGGTAATGGGGTAATGTGCCTCGAGAATCACGTGGTGGGACGTCCCTCATTCTGTGGCTGGTGGCTCAACTGTGGCTTGGCCGAATGATTGACGAACGGTTGGAAGTATGCATAGATCATCTCACATACCTATGGGCTGAGTGGGGGAGAGAGAGAACATCAATTATTGTCGCATACAGCCGTGGTGAATACGGGTTGGGTCAGATGAGAATAATGTAGGTGTGTAGAGTAAGTGGTAGGCGAGTGCGATACCGTGAATGAATGGCTGCTGACGGCAACCACAGTCTCAGCTGCAATGACCCCTCACAAGCCCACTTGCCGTTAACCTACCTGAGCGCTACCACTTCCCATTCATGTTTCTTCCGCCTTCCCCTATTGAACCTGTCAGACCGATGAGGCGGGAAGTGATGGCTGATCGTCAAGGAAGCCGAAAGACCCGTCGACCGGGTAGGTACTATTTTCCCAACTTTCCAAATAAACTTCTAAACCTGACCACATACAATAGCCAACCTAAAACTCCCCTCTTCTATTCCATCAAGACTAGGTCTACCAGTGGTTTTGTTCGACACATCACAAATGGCATCAAGTATTGTCGTTGATATCACATCGACATACCTACGTAAATCCACGCTGTATCCGCACCAAGAGTACACACTCATGCCCAACAGGAGCCGATCATTAACCCGCACCTGACCATGGAAATGCACCTGAAGAGGAGCTATCCACCCAACAGACGAAGACTTCCAACCCGCTACATACCGACCTACCCAAGCGAACAACTTAAGGTAAGGTAGGTATAGAACTACCGGCTGCAACTTCACTGGCAGCCGTCTCTACCGATTCCTCCATGAGTCGAGAGCGCAAGGTCACCGCGACCAACCCAGCCCCATCCCCGCCCCAGCGTCCTGACCAAAATCCCAAAATCCCAAGCGACGTCACAACTCCCAATCCCAATTAAAGCGAAACCCACAGCCCGCGCAGCCTCCAGATCCCCATATACGCCCATGGAAGGCACACGCTCGCCTCACGCTCCATGTATGTACCGATTGAGCTAGCTAACGACATGCCGCTAGATACGGAGTCTCATCACTCGCACGCACGCACGCACGGGTCACCGGATAATGGTTTATCCGCACTCTCTTCGGCGCGAGCCGGGGACGGCAGAATGATTTTCCTGTAACGTGAATATTCGTCACGGATGACGACGCAATGCTGTAGGTACTCGACCGTATGTATGTGTGAAGTTTGTAGGGAGATTGGGATGGGCGATGGGCGATGGGCGCCGAGCGATGGGCGCTTCACGCGCTCGACGGTTGGTGGCAGGGTGGCTGGATAGTCGCGCCAGGCTAACCAGTTAATGTCGGCTGGTCGGGCCCGCGCACCGGAACGTCCCGGATCATCCGCACCGTCGCGCCGGGAGGATGTCTCGCGCAACCGAGTGCTACGTAAGCCCCCATCACGGGTGATAGATGGAGATGCGAATTCGGGAGATTATATGTACTTACCTGTCGCTTGGCAGACGAGAGCGGTTGTGGTCCTATGTATGCAACGAGACGGGAACTGAGCATACCAGTCCCCGCTTGCAGACAACAGCTTACATACAGGGCATCTCTGAGTGGCTACATCATACCTGGTATATATACCGACGCCTCCAGTAAACCCATTCAGGAGCACCAGCAGACTGTGGGCCGGCTGTACCGTACTCTATCGATGTCACAGGTCCTACCAAGTACTTACCCTGACCCAAAAGGTTCAAACAACGTTCTGGAGTCCTCAAAGCTTTCCACATTCATATGAGCATACAAGTGCTGTTCTCGTCGAGCCTGATGAACAGATAGAAACACACCCAACGACCCCCCAGAGTAGCCTACTATGATGCAACATTCGCACATTCGCGCACAAAGTAATTATGCATAAGCGTTGAAATATCCGCTGACATCTTCCCCTCCACCATCTCATGAGCATTCACAATCTCCTTCCCGCAGGCTGCAGGCTACAGCCCACCATTCAGTATATATGAGCCTTTGTCCCAACCGACCTGACCCCGCCGCCGCCGCCGGCCTTCCCTAAGTTCTCTTCACTCTACAAACCATCTGCACGCGTAATAGTCCGCCGCTAACATCACCACCACCCTCGGAAGGAAGCCATGGTGATCACACAAGCACCAGCTGCCTTGCGGACCCGGACCCGCCGCTTTCGAGTCTTGATCCCCATCCCCGCCGAGTGCCTCGCTCTTTCCTCCATATGAGCCGATTCCCACCTTACATGTGACTGGGATAAACCTCGCAAGCAAGCAGGATTCAGGAAAAACATTCATCCACCACGGCGCCGCCTTGCAGGTTTGGTTGGGATTTTGGATTGCTTTCATATGCCAGTCATCATCAGCAGCAACCCCACATGCTTCGAAACAGTGGTGCTGTGGTGCCGCGGTGCAGTGGACGGCGCAGTGGACGGCGCAGTGGACGGCGCAGTGGACTGTTCAGTGCAGTGCAGTGGAGTGCAGTGGAGGGAGTACTAGCAGAGACCGTGCACTACAGTCCAAGGCCGGCCCATCCGCCCATCCATCCATCCGTCTATCCATCCATTCCCCGCCGCCGCCGCGGGCCGAGGGAGTCATGTAGATGGGTACTTGGTACTTACTTGGTAGCGCACACAAGCACAACCACCACCACAACCACCACAGGTAGGTATTCCACCATACGAGTAAGTGGTGCAAGCCAAAGCGAAGTGGAGGCTAGTGGAGTAAGCCACGCACGGAGTATATAGGTCCTACATAGAGTAGAGTACTAGAGTAGGCTTCCCCACATTCCCACCTGGGACCTAGGCTACTAGCATAGGCTACAACTTCCCCACAACTTCCTCTCCTTCCCCACAACTTGCTCCCGCGTCCCCCCGTCAGCGTCTCGACCTTCCAGTGTCTACGTTCTACCAGTTCCACTAGCAAGCGAGCGAGCGGGCGAGCGCCTGTCGGATCAGATGTCTTTTTTTTTTCGCGGGCGCCCTCGGAACATATCATGCTTGGAAACAATGAAGAAAAAAAAAGAATAGGAAAAAGGCCCCCCCTGCTGGCCGCAGGCCGCAGATACTCGGCTCGTACATATCCCCAACCTCCCCTCTATAAACATACACAAACACACACACATACACAAACACACAAACACACGCACAGATACTTTGTATTCTCCTATCAAAGCCAGTCAGTACGAGTATGTAGAACTTCGTCGGTCAAGAGGTATGTACGAGTACTATCCATAGTCCGTCCCAGCCGCCACCGGCCATTGTTCCATACCTACTTCTCCATCCATCCATCCACCATCCATCCATCCGAGCCCCCCCCCCCCGCCTCCCCATCCCGGCAAAACCTCCGGCATATACGTTCACACCGGCAATCCATAGGTACTCTGAGTATAGTACCTAAGGAAGTAAGGTAAGTATCCAGCTTCACCAATGCAATGCACGGCACGACCGTCGACGGGCACATCACGAAGAAAAAATAGCAATCCTAGGGGTCATCACTGATCATCCAGCAGCAGCAGGATGAGGCGAAACAACTGTAAAAGGAGGTTGGTGGGAGGCAGGATGTTCCCCGTAGAATAGGTAGTAGGTATGGTATGATAGTATGTTATAGAAGAAAGAAGAAAGGCGAAAGAAGAAGAGAGCTTGGGAAAGCCGAAAGACAAAAAAAAGTATGCTGAATAGAAGAAGAAGAAAGATGATGAAGGCGGTAAAGCTACAGTACACATGTTGAGATGAAGAAAAGAAAAGAGAAAGAAAAAAAAAGGCCTCAAAATAAAGACTACCAACAAAAAAAACCTGGGCAGAAAAAAAAAAGACGTTTATACAGATACGACCAACTGTCTGTCGTTTCCCCATTTCCCCCCAAGAAAAGCACAAGAACAATAATAGAAAAAACCCCGCACCATGAGCACAAGAAAATAACCCCCATAAAACATCCGAAAAGTCCCTGTGTCCGATCAACGCTTCCCAAGCTAAACAGACAAGCATAGAGGCAATAAAAAGTGAGAGAAAGCAAAAAAGAAACAAGCATAATAGCAAAAAATACAGGAACAAAAAGCAACAAAAATAAAACATCATCTTTAGAGGACGCACAAGAACCAGACAGACAGACACCACGAACCAACGCCGCAAAAAGCATACCCCAGCCCTAAGCCAAACGCACCCAACATCTTACAACAGGATACTCCCAAGATACCCATACTTCTGCAGCTTCCCTGCGTCCAACCTGTGCTTCCTATGTGCGTATCCACTGTTGTATCCAGCCGGACTCTGATCTCCGATTGCGAGCTCAGCCAAGTGTTGCAGGCTCCCTGTACCGTGTGGCGTCCCGGGCCCAAGGTTCGTGTATCTGCTCTCCACCCGTGTGTGAATGAGGTCCTTGATGGCACGATCCCATCCAACACTATCCTCCCGGGTAGCCAATCCTCTCCGCTTCTTCAGCGCCTCATCCAGCTGCTGGATGCCCCTCCATGCCGCCTCCCGCGTCTCATCGATCTCGGCAAGGTCGACTAGGGTGATCAGTGCTAGTGCCGCAAAATGGTGGTTGAGCGGCGTGATCGGCATCGACGAATGGTCAAGCATTGTCGCCATCCGTAGCGCGGGCTCGAGTAGTTGGCGAGGTTCCGACGACGAATTGTGGCGCAATGTCAACAGCTTAACGTGGTAGTATGCCACGTGTAGCAGGGACAGCGAGCCCCAGACAACCTCGACGCTCTCCCGGAACCGTTCCAATTCACCGCGTAGGAGTCGACAGATGTAGGGGTTCAGTGAAGCCGCCGAAACAATCTCATCAGCAGTTGTGAATGCTTCCGCCAGATGGCCAAGAATACACGATAGGCCTGGCGGCAGTCAGCAAGTGCAGTAGCGATACCGCCAAGGTACTTACGGACGAGATGGAACGGCGTTAAGCCGATCAGCATTTGGTCTTCTGGCAATAACACAACGTTCGAGTCAGGTATGAAGAGTGGACTCGAAGTACTGATGGCGTGCCAGCGATCCAATACGACCAGAACCCACCATGCCCTTCGTCCAAGCTTTTCGTCCGAATCTGGGTCGCCATGTGCGAACCTCTCTCCTACCCGATTGTGGTGCAACTTCAATGAGTAAGCCAGGCCAACAGCACTGCCGACCCACGCCGCTCTAGGCGGTCCACCGTGTTGTCCCCGCATCGTGGCAGGGCCATGGTTGTCGGCTTCAAGAGCCATTAAGATCAGAGTCTGCAGGAACAATAGGTTACTTGATACGGAGGCCCGGGGATCTTGGCTCTCGAACTGTGAAGCCACACATAGCTCGCATGCTCGCCTGGGATTCGCCGACGGTGAGCCGGCTTGGGGAGGGTATGACGGGTTCGAACGGACAGCCGCATATAATGCCTCTAATAACGCCTCTCTGACGGTGATTGAGGCTGCAGCTAGCCTCTGTCGCAGCCGAGGCTTGGAATGGGGGAGCAATGGGAATGTTGGATGAATAAGACTGTAGTACCTGTACGACAAGCCACGTTAGACGTTTCGCCTTTACCCCCACCCGAACAAAATGTCTTGTGACGGGGGAAACGGTGTGACGAGTTGCTTACTGGTCTATTGAATCCTCGTCCCATTCAAAAGTTTTTACTTCCGGTGTCATCGGACTGCTGGCCGAAGGCCTTTGCGAGTCCATGTCATACGGGAAACTAAGGCTGGCCCTACGGTCCTGGAAAGGTCCTTTCCAATAATTCTGCCTGGTGCCATCCGTTGAGATTGATGTGGGTGGATATTGTTGTGGCTGAAGCCTACCAATATCCGAGGCCTGTGACGCCCGGGGATGCAATGGCTGTGGCAATTGCCTTTGCGACTCGTGCTGCAACAACTGACTGCGCTGTTGGTGCTGATGCTGAGTCGCCGGATGAAAGGAATCAATCGAAGGAAGCCTCTCCTGCCTGGAACCCGCCGAACTTGTCTGCGATAGTGGTTGTAAATGAACTCCCTGCTGAAACTCGCTTGATGACGACAACGTTCGCTTTCTAGAAGGTCTCGGTTGAAGTGCCCCGCCTGCCATCGCCGCAGCAGGAGGAGGCGAGGTGGAATCCGACGGGCCCGGACTATGCTCGCTTTCTCCCGGCAGGCCATACGAATGAAGTTCACTACCAGTAGATATTGAGTTCTCCAGTGTGTTTAGCCTGTCCGCCAACTCCTTGATGTATCTATGTGAGAACAGAGTGTCAGCTGTACTGATGCTGCGTCGAGGAGAAGGCTCGATATTGATAATTGAAACTGGAACAGAACAGGAATAACCCTGTCCAGCGCGCTTTGCATTCACTGACCAGACACGACCGCAGTAAACGAAGTGAGGGGACGGGGGGACGGACGGGAGGGAGGGCCAGTTCCTCCAAAGACCGGTTGGACGGGGACGACCAACCTAGCCAAGGAGAAATAATACCCTGTAAACCGGCGGGGAAAATAAGAATCGGGGGGGGGGAAATAAACACAGAGATTATAAGTAAATTAATTAATTACCCTTTACTGGGGCCTCGTTTCATGGGTACTCTGCTGAAGGAGCATTTTGAGCCAACCCGCTTGCAGCTGGAGCACTGTTCAATCCCAGACTCGGAGGATGCATCACAGCGAATCTGCAGTGACATCGTAAAATGTTAGCCCGACAACAACCGATACACGCAAAGAGAGCCCGAAAGCCCAAGAGCCACTGCGCACTGATCGAATTGCAGATGCTGCTCTTCGGCTGACAACAATAGCTGCCGCAACAGGAGTGGACAGGCGATGGAATCCCAGGCGGAACCGACCTTCTTCCTCCGACATTCGTCGCATGCCCGAGAGACTTTTGACCGCTTTCGAGGTGCCGTCAGATCCCCGGACAGAGCATCCTGATTGTCGTTCAGGGCCATTGCGATGGACCCAGGCGACAAAGGTAGCCGCAGATCCATGGCTCCCGCTCCCGCGCCGCCACCTCCTCCTGCTCCTCCGCCGACTGCCGGCGGTGTCCCCGTCATCATCGGAGGTAGGCCCCGGGGGATAGATCTGTCTTGTGCCGGTGATAGAGCGGAGCCCAGGCTGGAAGGCGACAGACGTTGTTGACGGTGGGAAAAGAAGGACGACGAACTTGAGGCGTCGTCGTTGGGCGAGGTGGTGGATTTGTACTGCGAGTTGGACTGGGTCTGGTATTTCTGCGGCGGCGAGGCGTGTGCGATGGAAGAGGAAGTCGGCGAATTGAATCGAAATGGGCTCTTGGGCCCCGAGGAGAGACCTGCGACACCAACAACACCGGAGACAACACCTCCAACATTACCTCCGCCGGTTGGAGCCTGTGAAGGACTAGCAGCAACCTCCGCCGCCATAATATTTCCGGGCAAAAAATGAATTTATGAGCTCCTGCTGGGCTTTAAATCCATTCCCTTGCAGTTTATCGTCGCTGTCGTGGCCCGATGTGTGTGTATGAGAGTGTGTGTGAGAGAGTGTGTGCGCGACGCACGCCTCAATGTTGTTGGGGAGGACGAGGATTAAAGTACGGGGGGCGGGCGTGGATGGCGCCGCGAAAATGGAGAAAATCCGGGGTGCCGAGATGCGGTGGATCTGGGCCCTCCTTACTGTTACTGCGGCAAAAAGACACACGACGGCGACGGGGGTGAGGGGGGGGGGGACGTGCGCCTAAAGTTAACGAGAGGAGGAAGCACCGGGGGTGCGGGATCCAGAGAACTGGGGCGCAAGAGAAAGAGAGACACCGGATAATCAAAGAAAACAAGTCTATGTATATCTACGGCTGTATGTGTGTGTGTCCCCCGATGATGAAAGAAGGCTGGAGGTGACTTGCTTCGGGGGGGTGGGCGGGAGAGCACGCAGCCGGTGTTCGGCTGTGAGCGACGGTTAGGGTCTATTGGGGGGAAATGGACGGATACGGGGCGGCGGGTGGGCAAGGTGGGCAAGGTGGGCAAGGTGGGCAAGGTCGTGAGGGCAGAAAGCGATGCTGGCGAGATGGGACGACGTGAGGCCAGAGTTCGGCGATGCGTGACCAGTGGTCGCGGTTGGAATGATGAGATGTTGGGGGTGAGTAGGCGGGATATTATTCGAGCAGAGGAGAAGGGTGCAAGCCGCTTGGGTGTGGAGGGAAATGCGCGAGTGGTGTGTGGAGCGAGGTCTCCGAGGAGAGGAGATACTACTGTCCCGGACAGCGTTGACTGACAGACAGACGACAGATGACAGACGACAGACGACAGACGACAGACGACGGACGTCCTCACCCGCTCAGTTTGGTTTTCGAAAGACGATGTGCTAGGACGGAGGTGAATAGAGTGTGATGGAGGAGCCAAGGAGCAGCAGCAGCGGCAGCGGGCGGGATCGAAGGAAAACAAACACGAAACCGCAATATGGCAGGCCAGAGATGCGGAAGCGCAGAAGGACGGACGGGGTGAGCCCCTAGGGGGGAGAACAAGGAGGAGCAGGAGCAGGAGCGAGGTTGTGAGTAGGTAATAGCGGTGATCGGGTGGGTCACGCACTTGGAGGAGCGAGCTGTCTTTCGCCGGGTCGCACGTTTTCTCCGGCATAAGTTAAACCCACCCACCGTGGGTTCTGCTCCAAGTTCAGGTTGGTTACGTGCGGGGCAGGGGCTTTCGTTTAGCGGACAGGAGAATTGGCAGGGCAGGCACGTCTTGGGGATTCTCGGGTGTGTGTGTTTTACATATGACTACGGTACATACGGCACTCTTTTGCCCATATGGGTTGTGTAAGTCACAGACATAATCGGAGGAAAAGGAAAGAGAGACACGGGGGGAGGCATTCCGCAGCCAAAGAGAGAGAGAGAGAGAGAGCGGCGATGTGGGCGTTTGATGATTTGCTCGCTAGCCTGTCTGCCTGCCCCCCTTCCCACCCCCCTCTCCCCAGAACCGGAATAAAAGGGGACGCTTGGGCAGGAAAAACGTCGGAGCGAGCGAGCGAGCGGGAATTTTTGGCATGGTTAGGGGAGGGTTTGGTTCGCCTGGTGGGTCACCAGCAGCCCGTCCAAGCACATTGGAAAAAGTTCAACGGTTTTCCGTCTCTGTCCCAAAGGTGACACTGGCCAGTCCGACGAAAGAACGGCCGGCCGTCAGCCAGCCATGGCCAGCGAGACAGACAAAGGCGGCACTCTACCGTGGCACATGCACGGAGAAATCGAGAACTCCCATTTCCCCAGAATTCGGGAAAACCCAAGCCTCCTGTGTCAGGTAGAGTAGAGTAGAGCGAAGACCAAGGAAAGGTGGGGAACAAACCGTCTGGGGTGAAAAGTTGGGGTCGGTCCCGGCATGAATCGAGATGCACAGCGAACACAGGTAGGCACATACCGGCCAGTCTCGAAGAACCCACCCAACCGCATAGGAAGTAGTCAAGGCGAGTAGAGCAACAGCCCGCCATGAAATCTGGCGTGGCTCGCAATTTCGCGCATTTGTTACCGTATTCCAGCGCATTTCGTGGGCAGCATCAGAGATCCCTCTTGGCCGAGGCGATAGTTGGGAGCAGAGTCGGAAGTATGTACGGTATGTGCGGTAGGCATAGCAGCATAGGTACCGGGCAGGACGTCGACGACTCCTCGTATGTAGGCATTCCGAGCGACGGATTCGAAGGGCACGTACAGCCCGGCGGGGGCGGGGGGGGGAGCCGGTGCAACAATCACCGAGGCCAAACACACATACATGCTGACATATGTACACACCTGTTACCGTCGTTTGCCGTGCCACCGCTCCGAGAAAGAGAAAGGTGGAACGAAGACGAAGACACATCACTCGCAACCCTCGCTAACCAATCGACGAAAAAAGTGACCATTCGCGCCGCCGCCGCCGTAACGCGCTCCGGGAAGGCGTCATCATCTCATGTACCTCTGCTACCGTATGCTACCGTATGCTAGTTACCCAGGTCTCCAGCCCGTCGCGACTCGCGATGGGCCCGCCCGGCCCCGAAGTTCGAACTCATGCACCACTGGTGACTGCACATCCGTCAGGTCAACCCTCGCGAGTGAGTCTCACACTGCACATGATCCTCACCACGAGGCACTGGCTCCGCTGCTAAAGCAGAAAGAAAGAAAAAACACGAGCTCGGCCGCGCTCCAGTTGCGAACCGACGGATGATTCTCTTCACTCCTCTTCTCGCCAGCCATGTCCAAGCCCAAGTTGCACAAAAAAAGTAAATCCGCCCCCCCTCTCCCCGCCTCTTCAACATTAGCAACATGCCGAGGGAGAGACGTGGGTAACCAACGCCCCCTAAGTTCCAACTGCTCTAACAAGGGTAAGGTAAAAGACACGGACGTCCGCTCGGTCGGTTCAGACCCGTGAAACTGGGCGTATCATATCTCCGTATGAACCTATGAACATCGACTTCCGACTCTCGACTCTCGAGGGGAACAGGAAAAGGAAAAGCACAAGCCACCGACACCTCCACCACCACCAACAGCTGAGTATGTAGAGCACGGTGACCACCCACGCCGTGTGTCCTGCCCGGGTCACAAAACACGCAACAAAGTCGCCGTCCGGGGGCCAGCGCCAGGTCTCGGAGAAGCCCGGAAGACACAAACAGCAAATTGTCCTGTGTATGTAGCATAGAGTGGATGAGTTTAATCCAACAGGTATTTAACTACAGACTGATGTATCCACCCATCCCCCGCCCCGCGCCATCTAGAGCATGTATCTCTAACGGACGCTCCCGCACCTGACTCGACAATAATGAATGCACCATACGAACGAGCGTTTTCTATCTATCTATCCATCCTTCCTTACTCTATGCCGGTATGATGCCATGGTCGGGTTTCAAGTTCAGCATCACCATCATATGGGCGAATCGTGAACCATCGCCGGAACATTTGGGCTGGTTGATCCTCTAGGCACATACAGTACTCTAGGCACTCTACTCTTCTACTCTAGGTACCTAGCAGTTAGTTAGGTCTGTACAAAGTTGGGTCAGGCAGGGTGATTCACCATCCACCAGCTTGCCTCCTCTCTCTCCCCTCCCCTCCCCCCTCCGGCTTCCCCGCGTTCTCGGCTGAATTCATTTTCCGAAGCCCGGAACCAACCTCCCAAACGTTGCTGAACGCGGAGTAGCTCGGTAGGCAAACAGACAAACCCACCACACGGTCGCTCACGGGCGCTCACGCTCACGCGAGCAGAAAAGATCGGAAAATCGGATGGTTGATCTTTCTGTGGACATAAATTCCCCCCACCACCACCGCCACTACGAAAATGAAAATGAAAAGGGAAAAGAAAATGAAAAGGGAAGGAAAAGGCCCGTATCGACGGGCATCATATAAAAGGGAATGGGAAAGGAAATAGGAATAGGAAAAGAAGCAGTTGATCTGATCAATCTGTCGGCCGCCACGGCCACGGCCGACCGACCGAGGCGCAGCCGCAGCAGCAGCAGTACTCATTCAACCACTCCACTTTGGGAATGTCATATCGGTGTACACTCTCCATAAGTGCGAACCCCCCCAGGGCCCATCCTCCCACCTCCTCCCAAAACACAACCGGCAATCAGCAGCAGCAGCCATGTGCTCGAGAGTGCTCTCCCTCGCTCGCTCATAAATTTTCCGCCCCGCTGAACTACCTAGCGATGTACTGGTGGACAGACCTCGAGGCTCGCTCGCTCAAGAATGAAAGAAAGAAAGTGGGGTCGGTATCAGCCCCAACGCGGAGAAGCCGATTCCCCGCCTATGGCTACCAGCCTATGTACATACCTACCAGTACACCCGAGGAAGTGGGAAGTGGGAAAAGGATTCCAATGGGTGCTCGGCATTTAACCGGGTTTAGCTAGGCAGTGGTGGTTGTGGCAGTGGTGGCAGTGGTGGTGGGCGTTCCTTTATGGATGTAGATATGCATACCAGTTACATATCATGGTCCCAAATCATCCTGAACCTGAAGCGACGAATTTAGATATATAGATCCGATGGGAATTCCTCATAGAGTCCCAGTTCCAACCTTTGCCATATGTATGCCTATATGCCTACATAGGCCGAGAGAAAAGTATTGGGGTACATACATACACACATATTTACATACAACCGCTTCCTGTCACGGCAATCTAGAATCTAGATCCAGACACCACGATTTCCAAAGATTTCCAAAGCGGATGTATGTATGTACGCATCCACGAATGATATATGCACCCTAGGTTCTAACCAACCTGACGGCGCGTTTTGTGGGTGCCCGCTATTCGACAACATATTCGACTATTCAATACTTGGCACGACTAACGATGTATCTGGGACGAGTTCGTCGTGCTTCTATGTAAGTTCTATTTCCCAATCTCGCAACGGGGCAGCAGCAGCAGCAGCCCTAGGAGCCTGGAGTTTGGGGCCTGGAGTCTGGAGCTTGGAGCTTGGAGTCTGAAGCCTGGAGCGTGGTGGAGGATCGGATCATTGGAACCTGGTCAGTGGTCCAGGCAGGTTTGGCGGGCAGTTTTGGCGGGCGGGCGCCGCGCGGGCTCGCTCGGTGTTGCGTTTCTTGGTGTTGGGGATTTTCGCGATCGTGACTTGGCCTTCGTGGATGATGGGAGGGCGAAAGGGTGGTGAGAGTTCATGACGCTGGGGCAGTCCAACCACCAATTTTTTTTTTTAAAAAAAAAAGAATTCGAAGAGTAGAGTAGACGACATACTGGCAAGGCTTGGAAAACGTAATAGAAGAACACTTGATTCTCCTGGGGGGAGGGTATGTTTATCCAGCCAGCCACTCTTCTCTTTTTGAACTGATGTTTACTCAGTTCACGAGTCACGACCTCTGACAGCCCATTGGAAGGCGTCGACATGTTTTGCCGATGCATACGCACTAGTTGGTTACCCCAAAGGCCGCCATGGCGTCTTGTGGGGAGGGGGGGTTCTTCATTGCGGCACAACTTCAACTGGAGGGGAGCGACACGAGTCCTGATCCCGCCCGTGTATCGATCGGAATACTAGTACTCTAGATAGACGGGGAGATGAACGGGCGAGGGCGGGGGGATGAACGGGGGGATGAACGGGAGTACGGTTACTACGGTATCTAGCTAGAGTCCATGGCACACACACACGCGTAGACTCGCAGTCCCGCAGCCCCACTCTCCACTCACCCCGCTCTCTCGCTCTCTCGCTCGCTCTTGCTTCGTCATCTATTCTGCCGCGGGCGCCGCGCCGCGCCGGCTCCTAAGTATGGCTGATGGCTGATGTAGGGATTCCCCGGATGAGTGCAATACCAAGCAACTAGAGTAGCAGCGGAAAGAAACCTTTTTCTTCCATGTGGAAGAGGAAACAAATGTTTGGCTTGGACTCGGGTCGCAGCGCTGGTGGAATAGGTACACAATGGAATCGCAGCGTTGTTCTTCGTTCCGTATGTGTGTAGGTACATAGCGAAGATGGCCGGCCGGCCGGCGTCGAAACGGTCGGAAGGTCGCGTCAATTTCAACGGTCAGAGTCAAAGGGAATCTCGTAAATATCATAGGTAGCCCTCCCTGCGATAGGTAGGATAGGATGGTTAGAACAATCGACGGCTACTATATAGTAGTATGAGTAGTGGTATGTCGGTGAAGCATACATACGAAAGACACCGGGGAGGGGGAGGGGGAGGGGGAGGCCGAGCATGGTCTGTATGGTTATCATCTGAACGTGGTCTGGAGAGGGGTCGGCCAGAAACCGGGCGGGGGAGGGCTCAGGGAGGGGAACGGTCGAGAGAGCCAGCGCCATCCATCAGCAACTGTAACAGCAACAGCAACAGCGCGAAACCAGGCGTATAAATATGCAGCGAAGGCTGCAAAAGAAAGCATATGCTGTGATTATCATCTCTATCTCTCCCTCTTTCTCTCACTCTCTATCACTCTCTCCGTGTTGGTGATACGTAATTGAGGGCGGGAGGGGTTGGAGAGTTTCGGAGACCGATGATGACAAGGAGGGGGAGGAAGGGAGGGAGGGAGGGAGGGAGAGAGGGAGGGAACTCAACGTGGCCGCCAGCACTACTTCTCTACTCTAGATTGCCGAGAGTCTCCAGTCCAGTCCAGTCCAACGTCGCACAGGAACATCCCACTATGGAGTTGGGCCATCGACGGAAGCGAGACGAGACGAGACACACCGCCCATTTCCAGTGCCCACACCCCGCTCTCTCTCCCTCTCCTCCCCCCCCCCCTCTCTCTCTCTCTCTCTCTCGCCAAGCCGACTTTTGCAAAGTTTCTGATCTTTTGGGAGTCGCAACTACATACCATCAACCGACAGTGCTGCCCGCCTGCCCGTCTCGCTGAGCTGGGCTGGGCTGAGATGGATGGATGGAATGGATACGATACGAGATTTCCGATCTGTGCTTGTTTCATTTCCATGATGGATGGATGGATACGATAGATGGGGTACTTACTATGTAAATTAGATAGTAGTTACGGTGGTCCACAGACACAGACAGGCACATGTGGTGTAGAGTACGGTACCTAATCTACTCTACATATCTACATACGTACATACTCTAGATACTCTAGATACATGTAGGGTCTCTGCTCGTACATTGGTACATGCTTTTAGAGTGCTGCCAAGGAAAGGAGAAGGAGAGGAAGGAGAAGAAAGAGAAGAAGAAGGAGAAGGAGAGGGGGGGGGGGGAGGGGGGGAGCAGCAGCAGCAAGCAGCAAGCAGTCAGACAACCTACCTAGCTCGCGAAGAAGAAAAAAAATCGACTGCCTGTTTGGGGAGGCGAACCACCAGTGGGGCGGGCGAACGTGGTCTGAATAAAAGGGTCACGATACGGACCGGGTACTCTAGATAGCATGGAGGGGGGGGGGGTGTTCGCAGTTCGCACTTCCCTCCAGTCTCCTCCACGTATGAGAGCGGCGAGAACGCGTTTGGATTTTTGGGGCGTAACATTTATCCGCGCTGTCAAAGCGGTGGGTGGTGGGTGGTGGTGGGTTGTGGTGTCCCCTGGGGGATACCTAGCCCCTCCCCTCCACTCCCCCCTCCCCTGGGGCCTGCTAGAGTAAAGTAGAGCACGGAACAACTTCTGATTCCTCCGGACGTCTCTCTCGACTGGGGTGGGGGGGCCGGGGGGCTTGTTTTTGTTTTTTGTTACTTGTCGTTTTTGCTTTTTATGGCAACAGCGGTGAAAGTTTTCGGGTTGCGACTTACGACTCCCGGGTTCAGCAGCCGTGGGTCGGGACGGACGGACGACGTGTGTGGGCGCGCGGGCGTCTACGGTAGATACGGGGCTTGCTTACTTGCTTGCCTAGGAGATGGGAGATGAGAGATGTCTGATGTCTGTCGTCGTCGTCGGCGGCGCGTCGCGCCCGCTCACCCGGTTCACCGGCACCAGACTGCGCGACAAAGTTTTCGTGTGTACATACGTTGTATCTAGAAACGCCCCCGCGAGAGGGTAGTGGTGGCGGCGGCGGTGGTGGTCGTGGTGGAGTCCGCACGTAGTTACGGTACGGCAGCCATGCGAGTGAGCCGAGTCGAGTCGAGCACCGCGAGCACACATCACAAATGTAGAGAGATGGAGAGAGGGGTGGAGGGGCTCGGAGGGGCTTCGAGATGATATCGATGTCGTCGATGTCGATGTCGATGCCGATGCAATGCAGGATGCCTGGCAGGCAGGCAGGCAGGCAAGCAAGCAGGGCAGGCAGGGCACAGAGAGTTGGGTTGGGTGAATCGCGGTTCCAGTCTTCCAGAGTGCTTGGGGGAAATCGACACAGATCGGAAGTGCGTGCGTGTGTGCGGGAAAGTGGGAAAGTATAGTAAAAAATGTCTTGATCGCCAATTTGCGGAAGAACCCAACATCCATCCGGTACTCTATCGGTCCGTAGGCAGGCAGGCAGGCTCAGTCTGGTGTGTAACAATCCACCGTATGTATGTAGATACTGTAGATATGAAGATACGTACATGCGTAGACTCCAGAGTAGAGTAGAGTAGAGTACCCAGAGTGCTTGGGATGTGGGAAGTGGACCTTGGGAGGTGGTGCGCACTGCGTGTAGAGTGGCTAAGTATAGATAGAACTCCCCCCCTCCGTCCGTCCGCCCGCCCGCCCGTCCCCCCTCCCCCTACCGACTCTACTCTACTCTACTCTACATAAGCACTCTACCTCAGCTCCACATACGGCCAGTCACGAAACATCACTCAAGATAAGTACCCAGGTACGTACTCGACCAAGAGGCGAGTTTAGTTATCGTCTTACTCTCCTTATGTAAGAAATTAATGTGCAGATTTCCGCCCCCTACGTACACATCTACACACATACATACCCAAGCAGTTAGCAGCAGTGGGGGGGCGCTGCCGCTGCTATATACTAGTATCTAGTGTAGGATATAGATATAGATATATCGGATCCGTTCGCGGCGGCCAGGGATGATTGAAGGATTTTCTCCGTCCGATGGAGGAGGCGAACACACCCACCCTATCTATCCACCGTATGCACGACGGTATCTCCTCTTCTCTTCTCTAGGTAGAGCCCACACACCCTGAATAGAATAGAATAGAATAGAGTACCCGCCGCCGCCGGGTGCTTCAGGAAACGAAAGTGTTTCCATCCATCCATCCATCCAGCCAGCCATCAGTCCTGTTTTGCCATGACACGACACGACTCGAATGCCTAGATTGATAGCTTGGAAGTTGGATTTGGGTTCTCGGGGACGGAGTGAGATCTCGACTGAGTCCGCTTTTTTTCTTTCCGGGTTGCGGTTTTGCTCGGCGTGCCGCGTGCATGCCACATTTCATATAGGTAGGCAGGTAGGTTCATAGGGAGATTCTTCAGATGAAATGGTGAATTGGGTGAGAGGCGGTGGCTAGGTATGTATGTAAGTTGGTAGGTATGTAGGTGGGTGATGGGTACTTAACTTACTTACTCAGGTGTTAGAAGGGGGGAAGGCCGGGGGGCACTGGATAGTCGTATGTAATCGTAGTCGTAGCCGTGGCCGTAGTCGTTTTGAAACTAGGATTTGTGGTGATGTTCGCATGGATGCACAACACACACACAGCTGTACCTAAGCAAGTCCCCAAGTACCCAAGCAGTTACCCAAGCAACCAAGTGCCTACCCACCTAAGCAGGTACTTACTACTCTACATACTCGCCCACTTCCGAAGGAACAATCCCACATCCCCGCTTTTCTTTCGCCCATGGGCATTTGAACTTTCCGTTCCCCGTTCCGCGCGAGGACAGCCAGGACAGCTCTCCGTCTCTCCGTTTTGGAGGAGCAGATGCGTTTGCCTTCCAACAGCGGTCAAGTTGGCATGAGTTGTAAAGCGCAGATCCAGCGGCGCCGTCGTCGTCGTCGCCGCTGGATCTCCTCACTTGGAGTTTACTAAAACAAATCCAGTACGGTACCGTACATCCTACGGGTACTATTATGGTACGTACTACGTCCTGTTGGGCGTGGGGAGAGCTAGGACCAAATTTCCCACTGGACCACTGGTACCATACATACATGCGGGGTGTTTGGTTTGAGTACCTAGTGGTGCGGTGCCGCAGGTCAGGTCAACCACCACCCCCCTTCAATCGACCGCTGGCTGGCTGGCTGGCACAGCCCTGCCCACACGATACATACCATTCATAGATAGATAGACGAAGGGAGCTTAAAGAAGCTTGTCTTGTCTGGTGAAAAATCCTTGCCCCTAGCGAACGCCGTGCTTTACATCCATACATGCCCTCTGCGCCGCGGAAATGAATTGGGGGGAGGGAGGGGGGTTTGGGGCTTGGGGCTTTGGATTAACACATCATACGGTATGTATAGTACTCCGCTCGAAGCCGAGAGCAGGCAGGCCCCATCCCCATTTCCCCCATCGACGGCGGCGACGGCATGGCAGAGTGGGAGAGGGGCGACGCTCGAATGATTCGAACTCGGAAGAAACACGGACATGACAAGTCATGACCCACTCCACCTCCACCTCCACCACCTCCACCACAGTTGCTCTACCAAAGCAAGTACTTGCATACTACATACTACATACATTGCTTTGTTGGGCGGGGAGGGAAGTGTTGGTGCAGTTGCAGACTTGCAGTCAACGTCGTCGTCGTAACCCCGTAGACTACTCTGGTTAGCTATCTGTCGCCGTGCGTGCCCACTGGGCAACGCCTGTTTCCTGTAGGCTACGTTTTACGCTGGGATTTTTTTCCTACTGTTTTTTTCTTTTCTTTTCTTTTCTTTTCCTTTCTTTTCTTCTTTCTTTCGCACCTTGACTTTTTTTCACGTTACTTTCAGGCCGTGGGGAGAGGGAGAGGGAGACTGCGGGCTCAACATCCTCGTTCCCTCTCTCCACCCCCCATCCATCCATCCATCGTTCCATCCATCCATCCCTTCATGTCGGTGGGCTCCCTCGTTTGACTGCTTTCGTGGTTGGTGAGGCCGTGGGGACTTTATGGCTGTGCCGTTTAGGGAAGGGAAGAGGGGTGTGGGTGCCATCCTGCAGACCACCACACAGGTCTGGCATCTGTGTTAACTGGTTGCAGCAGCTGCGCTTCCTGAAGGCTCTGGCGGCCCTTGATGATTGACCAGTTATGTACGAAAGCCATCGCACAATACCTATGGGCGTGATATGATCATAGCTATGGGGAGGCATGGGCATGGGCATGGGCATGGGCATGCTTGGGCATGGTATACTCTAGGGTACCACAGATGCGTTGACTGACTGACTCCGAAAGAAAGAAGAGTTGGCATCCATTCCCGTCGGTGAGTTCCGGGGTGGTGGAGAGGTGGAGGTGGAGGTGGAGGTGGAGGTGGAGGTGGAGGTGGAGGTGGTGTGCCGAAACCTTGAAGTTAAGTAAAGAAGGATAGATGGCCGACCTCAGCAGAGGAAGAGAAAGCAGAAGCCAGCAGAGGCACCGTACATAGAGTACATCTTACCTGCGCAGTCGAAGCAAGTCGCAGCAGAAGCAGAAGCCGAAGTCGAACTGTCGAAGTCGAAGCACGAAAAGCGAGAGGAAACAGGACCATCAGCATCAGCAGCAGCATTGAGCATTAGCAGCATTTAGCAGAATCAGCATCAGCATCAGCAGCAGCATCAGCATCAGCATCAGCACCGGCACCACCACCCAGCAGCGCCAGCACCCAGCACCCAGCACCCAGCACCCAGCACGAGCATCAACGTCAGCGTAGTTACTCTGGGCATCCCTGCGCAAGCCCGAGATTCCGTGGTTGCTTGCTGAGAGCCAGAGCGACAGGCGCTCGCTCGCTCGCTCCAACTGCACGGCAGCGTTAAAACTCTTTCCACCCCCGCCTCGCTATTTCCTCTCCTCTCCATCCTTTTTCCCATTCTTCCCGCATCACCAGGACACCACCACCATTCGCTTATTTTGGAGTCCACTCGGTCTTCCGTGTGAACGCTTCGAAAGCCGGCGCCGAGTACGGGCCGTGCAAAAAGGCAGGGGGGCCTCTCTTACCACACTTCCCAGAACAGACGCATACGCACCTACAGACAAAACAAATTCGCTCCGAATTTCCATATCTATAGTTCCTCTTCTCTCTCCCGCTCGCACGCTCGCTCGCTCGATCGGCTCCGCAGTTCTCCTCTCTGTCTCCTCTGCTCTTCCTCCCCTCCCTCCGACAAGCACACGAGAACCTGCTCCCATCTATCGCTATCCGATCGTTTCTTAGACGGTATCCTGCCGCGCGCGCAGCAGTTCGATCCTCGAAGACTCTCCCGGACGCTTCCCTCGCTCATCCGCCGCCCCACCGTCGTTTCGCATACACCCGGATCTGACCCCCTCGCAGACCGATCCATATCAGCCTGTGATTGCAGCAGCACCACCAAGCAGTAGCAATAGCAGCAACAGCAACAGCAGCAGCAGCAGCAGCAGCAGCAGCAGCAGCAGCAGCAGCAGCAGCAGCAGCAGTAGCACCGGCAGCAATAGCCAGCAGCCAGCAGCCAGCAGCCAGAAGCGCATCAGCAGCCGGCCCCCCCTCACCACCCCCCAGTACCACCGAAATCACCACCACCACTACCACCACCACTACCACCGCCGCCACGGTTTTCGCAGAGTACCTGCCTACGCTGCAATAAACAGCGGTTGCTTCCAGAGTGTTGGGCTATCTATCCCGCGCTTACTTGGGCTCGATCTCGAACCGGACTCGACACCGTTGCGACTCAGTTCAGTCCACCCTGCAGCTCTTAAGAAACCAGGAAACCAAAGCAAGCCACCAGCCAGCAATCAAAGAGCCCTGCCAGTCAGCCAGTCGGTCAGCCCGGGTGTCAAACTCAAGCTCGTCAGCAGCCAACGGCCTTGGAAGCCCTCCCCCCTCTTCCATCCGCTCTACAACAACACCTCCGCTTGAAAACCCCCATCAACCTTCCCCCGCTCGGTGACTGTCCTGTCCTGTCGGGGTGTGGTCTTCGTTCTTTGTTGTTGCCGCTTCGTCCGTTCACTCGCTCAACATGATTATCGAAGGCGTTAAGATGGCCTGCGAGGCCTGCATTCGCGGCCACCGGGTAAGCGGTTGCAATCATCACGGTCAGTCTGCTTCTCCACTTCCTTTTTTTTCTTTCTTTTTCTTCATCGTCATCTCCCCCCTCCCCTCCCCCCCAATTCCGCCTCATCACGCCCTATTTTTGTGCTTTTATAAAAAAAAAATCCATTTTTTCCATCAACGCCACGCTTCCCCTCCCCCCGCCGCGAGAGAGAATTTTCGGGTGGCGACGTTGTGTAGTCCGAGTTCGGCCGTTGCCGCAAGTCTTGCACTTTCTCGAGGCTGACAAAAATTTGCAACCTCCACAGATCGTAAACTATTACCCATCGCCAAGAAGGGTCGCCCAGTCTCTCAATGCAACCACTGTCGTTCGATGCGGAAGTCCCGCTCTGCTCACGTCAAATGCGACTGCGGTGAACGGATCGCGGCGCTGAAGGAGGCTGCGAAAAACGGCATCAGACCCGCCGCTCTGTCTACAGTCGGGGGAGAGAACACTGTCGGATGTGCCGGCGGCGCTATCGGAGGCGCCATAGTGGGCGGGCCAGGAGGATCGCACACGGGGGTAGCTGTCGCGGCGGCGCCTTTAGGTGATGATTCCAAAAGTGAGCTCGCGTGGCTTCCTGGTTGACGATCTTTGCCCCTTTCAATCTCGGAGTGCTAAGACGTTCCTCTTTTTTCTCTCAAGGTGTTTCAATCTCATGCTCGTGCTCCCTCGGCGGCCATTGCACATGTGCACTGAAGAAGGAACCGCAGCTTCTCGATGCCGTGCCTGAATTCTCGGAGCCACCGGCGTCCTGTGGGATTCCCGCACCGGAAGTCCGCACGAAGCCACGGTTGCAGATGACACACTCGGAAAGCTCACTCACCATGTTCGCCAACGGACACCACAAACCCACGCACAAGCATCACAGCAGTGTTCATGGGTCCTCGCCGTACAGTATCCCGACGGTAGGGCACTCGGGCCACACGTTTGGCGAGCACAACGGATGCACTAAGGCACCGGGATCGGGACCACCGTCCACGTCGTCGCAGAAGTCATCTCGACGTATCAAGTCGGAGCAGTCGTCGCCGGACCTGCGCACATATCCGGCCCTTCAGATGACTAACACCGGCATCACGCCGCTGGAGTTGACTCCACGCCCACCACGACCGGCAAAGCCCGCATTGAATCGCACGGCATCGGGACGCATCCAGACAGGTCTGAGTGTGAACACGAATCACCAATCGTTCTCGACGCTTCATGATTTCTCGAGCCAGGAAGTGCTCCCATCGGCCGACTCGGAACACGGCTACTTCTCAGCAGGGCTGTATCCCCCCCAGTCCGCCGGATGGCCTCCGTCGTTCTCGCACTACGATAGCTCCACCTCCTTTGAGGATTCATTGGCCGAGCCTACGATGGATCTGGAAACATTTCTGAGATTGCATGCCCCACCCGCATTGACCAATTCAACATCGGGTGACGAACGGGAAGACATGGGCTTTGGCGGTCCGAGTCCACCGTACAACTTTGGCAACGGAACAATGTCGTCCAACTCGTCGGACCACGCCGAGTCGGACCAGTATCACATCAGTGCAGCATCATCGTACGTGGGATTACCGCAGATGGCAGCAGACATGGCACAGGTCAGCAACGGAGGCTTCGACGTCGGCGAATTCGACCGATTGCTGGTTTCTTCGGCCGCGCTTCCTTCCGCCTCGGGGATCGACTCCTTCGAAGCAGGGATGGTCGCTGGCGTGGACGGTCTGTTCGATGCAGGGGATCTGGGTCTCGGTGGTTACGGCAGCTCGGCCAGTTTCTCGGAGCTGAGCATGAGCTCGGACCACCTCTCGATGGCGTCCAAGGCGATGGATTCGGGGTCCATGGTATCACCACCTGCGATTCCACCAACAGAGGATGAAGGATATCTGTGGATGGCTCCGTGGTCGGGTGCGAATGGCCCTTTGTAGATGAGGGGAGAATGTTACTTTTTGTCCATTTACCCCTTTCTGGCTTTTTTGTCTTCCCATTCGTGTGGTTCTTTGCGAGTCTTGTTTGACATGGAGTTGGGATTGATTATGTTGTGCTGTGGGTTCAACACTACGCTCTATATTCTACTTCATGTGTTGGGGGAGGAGAGAGAGTGTGGGGATGACCTCGATTGAGGGGATTGAGCTACCGGCTGTGCGGGAACAGTTGTATAGAAAGACGGTTCGGTGTGTGTTGTGCCATGATTGGATTGAGGGTTCTCTCTATTTCTCTCTCTGTGTCTGTCTCTATCCCACTCTCACTCTCATAGTGGTGTATCGATACCTGTACCTGTGCGAATCCTGCCCTCCCTCCCTCTTCCCAACTTTCTACAGTCTTCCCCCCCCCCCCCCCCCCATCCATCCATCCAATGCTACTATACTGCTACCACATATAGAACGGGGGTTTTGTTTTTTCTTTTCAGTCAGCGCTTGCTTTTGCTTTTGCTTTTTTATTTTTATATGGGTTGTGTTTTCGGGGTTTGGTTGACAGGTGTTTTTTGTTTTTTCTTCCTCTTTCTCCCCGTTTTTTTCTCTCTCCCCGTCTTCTTTCTTTCTTTCTTGCTTTCCGTGTGTGTGGTATCTAGGAGGAGGATATACCAGCACGAATTTTTTCGAAAGTACATATCATACATACGGTTTTTTCTTTTCTGCTTCTGCTACGAGGATAGGGGGGATTTGGTGGGAGGGGGGGGGGGGGGTTACGTGCGTGCGTGCGTGCGTGGTGCATCTGTAGACTGCTTTGACTTGATTCGACTTTGACTTGGACTTGGAGGACGGGAAGACGGCGGGGACGGCGGCGAGGGAGGAGGGCAGAGGGGGGGAGGAATGGGGGGTATGGATGTGTGGTGGATGTCTAGTGGATGTGGTGGATGTGGTGGATGTATCTATGTATCTAGCTAGCCTTCACAAGATGAACTCTTTTTTTTCCCTCGCCTTCGGACAAGCAACAGCACAGGTAGAAGCAGACAATTGCAATTGCACTCTCATCTCGCGAGTCGCGAGTCCCGTGAAGAGACTTTTCCCGGGGGTACGTAGCGTATCTACCGCTCGGTGTGTGGACACTGGAGGAACGTTGTTCCAGATCCACAGATGCGTGGATGCGTGATGCGTGGATACGTGATGCGTGATGCGTGATGCGTCGGCGTGGGCGTGGGCGTGGTGCGTGGGGGTGGGGGTGCGGACCGGGGGTGGAATGGACCGGGGTGGACCGGGGTGGAACTGGGGGGGACGACGATATTACCCCATCACTGACGCCTGTCGCCGGCGGGTGTGGGGTTTGGAACTTTGAGATTTGGGGTTTGGAGTTTGGAGTTTGCGGTTGGAGTTTGGGCTTTGGCTCGGGAGGGAGTCGGGAGTCGGGAGTCGGGATACGCGGAGGTGGTGGCGGAGGTGGAGGTGGAGGTGGAGGTCTTCAGAAGGCACGTGATGCGCGGCCGCCGCCGCAGGCAGGTGATTGGGCACGTGCGGGAGCGGGAGTGGCAGTGGGAGGCGGCTTTACATCCCGTTGGGCTGTCGAGCGGTCACGTGAGCCCCGAGCCCCGAGCCCCGAGCCCCGAGCCTCCCGTGCCCCCGTGCCCCCGTGCCCCCGTGCCCCCGTGCCCGCCGGTCTCCCGGTCTCCTAGTTGGGGCAGTGGCGGTAGGGGGCGGTAGGGGGGCGGTATGTAGGGGACGATCCCGCTTCTGGCGCTGCTCGTGTGTACGTAAGTACCCTCCCTTCCTCCAAAGAGCTGGAGCTGTAAGGACTGTATATACGCCGTACGGTACATGCGGTACTGCGCAGGACTGCACGGGACCGCCGCCGGCCGCTGTCTCTTCTCTTCTCGTCTCTTCTCGTCTCGTCTCGTCGAGTGCCAGGCCGGGAGTGGGAGATCCGTTTGCTGTGGCCAATTCCATCCACAGCCTTGGCACAGGTACTGAACCATTCCGGCGCCTGACGTTCGACGTTCGACGTTCAACGTTTCCCAGGGCTCAGGAGTGCAGTGGAGTGGGATAGACTTTTTTCTTCTCTTCCGGTGCTCTACATACCGTCGAGTACATGCCGTAGAGTACATGACGGTTCCGAACGCCGTGTTCGGACGGTGCACGACGGCCGATGCTTGCCGCTCCCAGCAGCAGTAGTTGGCAGGAGGAGCAGGAGCAGGAAAGGCATAGGCACAGGCAGATTGGTTTCAGATCTAGACCGCCGGTCGCCTGTCGCCGGTCGCCGAGTCCATCCCCGGGGACCCCGGGGGCGAGGCGGGGAGTTTCGTGCGTGGGCTTGGGCGTGGGCTTAGGCGTGGGCGGATCTACGCCACTGTACTATATCTACCTACGCTACCGTATCTAGGATTTACATGTACATGTATGATGTATCTAGATTCCAGATGAAGGATCGTGGGGGACCTCTCCTAGGGGCGGCCACGGCGGCGGCGGAAAGGGGAAGGGGAAGGGGAAGGAATGGTGTCATCTGACGAACCTGCAGTGTCCGGACGAGATTTTCCGCTCTATGATGTACGTACGTGCGCATCTCTGCACCCCGCAATTCAATCTTGTATTCCTTCATGTATGTATCATGTATGTACGGAGGAGGAACGAAACTTCACTGACGCCAGCGTCCCCCCCAGAGGTGTGCAGTGCAGCTCAGCGTTGCAAGTGGATGGATGGACAAATGGACAAATGGACAAATGGCCTGGACGAGCCCCGCCCATACATACACCCCACCCTATACACCCCACACACCACACACCACACACCATATCTACCACACCACACCACACCACACTACACCGCACAGCTCCGCACCCTGCTGGTCAAAAACCTTAAATCCCTCCCTCGCACGCAAAAAGCACTGCGCCGCCGCCGGTCCATACACCACACACGCACACACACACACCAGACACACATACGTACTCATCGCCATGTAGGTATGTATGTGTATTGTACATATGTATGAAGAAAAGGTTCGAGCCGGGTTAAGCGCGGCTTCTGGCTGGGTGGACTGGGACTGGGCCGGATACTCTACCTACCATGTATATCTAACCATGTACATACATTACCTATACCTGTAACCTAGGCAAGTAGGCGGGCGGGTTGGCAACTGGTCCACGAACGCACGAACGCACGCACGCACCGTGCACGTACGCAGCGAGTAGGTATATGTATACCTAGCTCTCAGGTGTGCGGTGTGCGGTGTGCAGTGTACGGTGTGTATGTATGTAAGTGTGAGTGTGAGTGTGTGTGCGGTGTGGGGTGCAGTACTATTGTTACCTACGGCACTGCCTACTGGTGGAGGAGACGGGGGGAGAAAGACCAATCCGGAATTCGGCGTTGAGCTGGCCGCCGCTGCTGCTTCTGCTTCGGCGAAGTGCCAATGCCAGTGCCAGCGTTGCGTGCTGTATGTAGAGTAGCAGCTGTACTGTACCCCAGATTTTGTTTTTTCCGGAGCTTTTTTTTCTTTTTCCGTTTTTTCTTTTTCCGGTATTTTTTTCTCTCCGTGGGACGGTGGAAGCGTGGGAGCGTGCAACGTAACTGACTAACTGTGCTTTTGAGCTCCGGTAGGGATGTGATGTGATGGCTCTGGTATTTTTTTGTGTGGAATCATAGGATTCGACAGGTTTTGGCGGACGTGATGGATGGCTCGACGATGCTTTTCTCTGCACACTTTAGGTCTGTTCGGGTGCCAGTGTGCTGCAGCTCCAGAATGCGGGGTGCATACTCAGATACTCTGTGTACCCTCCTCTTCCTCCCACACTACTACCTACTCTAGTACTTACTGGCCTACTACCAGTAGTGGTCGCGCTCACCCTTATGTGTCAGAGGCAGGCCAGGTGCGTACATCACAGGTAATAAGCAAGTAGGCAGGCAGGCAGGCAGGCAGGCAGGCAGGCAGGCAGGCAGGCAGGCAGGCAGGCAGGCAAGTAAGTAGGCTCCACTACATAGGTCTCCACTCATCATGAACCATCGTCGGGTGCGTCAGTGGCACTGGCAAGCACGATACAATGTACATACCCAACAATAGTAACAAGTAACCAACTACATATCGCCGGCAGACAGGCGTGCGGCGTGCGGCGTGCCACCCATTGCACCCAAGGGCCAACAGACACAGAATGCCCGCCTACATAACTGCCTATTAACTGCCTACCTACCAAGTATGCCATCGTATCTAGGTTCCGTGCATACTTACATATGTAGTGTACGCTGCACCCCATATTCTGCAACTGCAACTGCAAATGCACACTGCACGACGAGATCCGGTCCCGTTTACAACCCCACGACTGCGAGCGAGCGAGAGAACGGGTACGGTATAGGCACCCGACGCGGTGTGTGTGTGTGTGTGTATGTGTATGTGTGTGTGTGTGGACGGTGGGTGGGTGGTGGGTGAATATACTTCTCGGCAACGACGGACGATCAGGTGGTTCTCCCCCCCGCTGTGTGGGTGAGTGAGCTCTGAGACATCCCGACGAATCACTCGCCACATCCACCACATCCACCACCACCGCCGCCGCCGCGAGCGACCGGGACGTACGTCCACGTAGGTCGGTGTGTGCACTGTGGTGTGGGAATGGAGAGTGGGTATGTACTCTACGGTATAGTATTCCTCTCCTGGCTGGGTCCTCTCCTGGCTGTTGTTGGGGGACGGGGGAGGGGCAACGAACGAATGGGCCCGCCCGACAGACCGGTCAGATGATGACTGGCCGGTGAGGTGAGCCTGTTCGTCAAGGACGGATGGGATGCAAGAACACCTCAGCCCAGCAGTTGCCGGGAGGGGCGAGTTGTTGGCACTCCATGATCCATCTCGCCGGCGTCGGCGGCGGCGACGGCGGCGGATCGGCGGAATACTTTCTCCTTTCTCCATCCTACATCCCCAATCCTCCATCCTACTGTACGGTGCTACCGTATACATCCATGGCAACGCAGCGGCCGCCTTGAACCTTCGTTGGACGTTGCTTCCGACCGTCTCCAGTAGCAATCCAGTAGTATGTCGTCGAGTCGAGTGCATGAGCAGCGCACGTGTCCGATACCTACTCTAGAGTCTATCCATCCCCGCGCCGTCAGCAACCTTCGTCCGGACGAGCTGATCCGACCGACCGGCGGCGTTTCCGTACACTCAGGTGCACTCAGGTGCAAGTGCACTTACGTATCCGCAGCTCTGCGTGGCCTGTTTCGCCTGTAGGTGGGTAGTTAGTTTGTTAGTTAGATACAGAAGGGAGGATCTTGCATTGCATGCGAGCGAGGACGATACGTACGTACATACCGGTATGTATGGCTCTGCCGACATGGTTTGCTGAGGCAGCCATGATACCTATTCTAGAGTACTAGGTACTGGGATAGCTCCACGGAGGTAGTTACGCACGTGTGTTTGGCCCGCGAAATCTTCCTGCAACATCTACCAGCGGGCGGCGAGTGAGAGAGAGAGAGCCAGCACGACTTCTACCGACGTACGTGGGTAGCTGCTCCCTACTCTAAAAGCACACTCCCCCCTCCCCCCCCCGATTCTAGACTGTACGATCGCCCGGGTCGGTACCTGCTTCTCCCAGGCTTGCCCCGTATATCTCCTCCGTTCGCTCGTTCGTTCGTTGAGCGGGACGAGACGAGAAGCGGGACGGCAGTTGGGTTGGTGGTGCGGTGTGTGTGTGTGTGGTGTGTGTGTGTGGTGCGTGTGGTGTGGTGTGTGTGGTGTGGTGGCTTGCATATTGCATATTGTGGGGTGCAGCAGCAGCAGCGGTGGATTGACTGGACAGACTAGGCAGACGACATACGGGCTGGCTGGCTGACGTGTGCCACGGCTGCTGCTTCTGCTACTGTGAATTCCTTTGTTTTCCTTTGTTTTCCTTTGTTTTCCTTTTGGCGTTTTCCTTTTTTGCGTTTTTGCTCTCGTTTTCACTGCGCCGGGCCACTCCAGAGATCGAATTGCCAATTGCGAACTGTGGATTTGCAAGAAACTGCACAACCGGGTGCACGTATGCATCACACCTGGATTGAGTGGCCAGGAAGGCAACTTCGAACGTGACGGACGGCATGGCATGGCGACGAGGGAGGGTTGATGGGGGAATTCAATTCCACATCCGCATCCACATCCGCATCTGCATCCTCTGTATGTGTGTACTCGTAGAGTCCTAGACGTCGCTGGCGTGGATGTAGACGGTCCGTTTGTTTGGTCGGCCGGTCCTCGACCGGCCTTCCAACCTACATTACGTTCACATACGTATGTACCACCCTGACCATCCTCTCGTCGGCCGGCGATGTAGCTTCGAAGTACCCCGTCCCCAAGGACCAAAGGACAGTGCAGTGCATCGTCGTACGGTAGTCATCTCGGACTTGACCCCGAAACTGGAGTAATAGAGGACTTGGTGGCTACGTCTGTGACCCCCAGCCAGCCTTAGACCATGATTCATTCCCGGCGGCCCGGCCCACCTGCCACGCCCGCCTGCCCTCCCCTCCACCCGCTGTGATGTGATGTGATGTGATGCGATGTGACGCGATGTGATGCGACCCAAGGGCTCGTACGTAATCCCCAGCGGAGGAATATCTAGTGGATGAGCGTCTAGCCCCGTTGTTTGTTTGTTTTTTGTTCGCAGAGGGTTTGGAACGGCGGGGACGAGGGGGTCTGGAACTGTGACGGGAAGATGATGTAAATCCTGACGCCGCTATGTACGTTGCTCATCAGGAGGGGAGGAGAGGGGTTGGATCGAGTGATGTCAACGCGCTGTAGCGCGGCGGCTGTGTAGGTACTAGTTATAGTAAGATGCAGGGAGCAGAGGGCGGGGACGAAAGCTGTGCGTTGTGGAGGACGCTCCAGTCCGGTCCAGTCCGGGAGAGACCCCGTGGGGTGGGGGAGGGAGAGTAGTGGGCGCAAACTAGAATATAGTACCGACCGCGAGTGACGTGGAGTGAGACGGAGGACCCCCCCACGTATGTAAAGTTGTAAAGCAATGCTGGAAGTCCAGGTGGGGGCGGCGTATTGCCCGGCTGCTCCAGCTTGGCAACGACTGAAACCCGCTCGCTCTCGGGACTAGGCGTGTGGAGTACCGGTACCAAACCGGGCCGACCTGAGGCCTGCGGTGCGCCGAGCAGGCTGTCCATGGCCCTCCGCTACCTGGCTGCCTGTACCAACAATGAGCTGAAGACTGAAGGGAGCAAGACTGCAACCAGTCCCACCGCTGCGCGCGGAACACCTGGTACGGTACATAATGTACATACCTCTCGCGGCCGACCGCTTTTGCAGAGGTCCGGGAAACCGAGGAGCGGTCGGGGGTGTGCCGCGGGCGGGCATACAGGCTGTCGAGTGCGAGGTACCGTATCCGAATCCGTGGACGGCACGGTGACGAGCGCAAGCAACGGTGGAAAGGTGGAAAGGTGGAACGGCTACTGCGGTGCGCGGATCAGCAGGCTAGACACCTCGGAAGCAAAAAGATAGGTAGGCCCGAAACTAAGTTGTCGTTTGCTAGAGGTTGGATAAACACGCGTTCCCGTTCGGGGATCACGGTAAGTACATACAATAGTAACGCAGCCCTGGAAGGGAAACGGCGAAATTGAGGGATGATGGAGAAGTTGAGGTTGTATTCAACTTCGAAGAGCCTCATATTGCTGTCCTCCGCTGCCTACAACGTTCAGTGCCACCCGATTCGGCTAGTCCGGCTCTCACCACCATTCCGACCCACCGATCCGACTAGTCCCTCCTCCCATATCTTATCCGATCCCTCATCTATCCTACTCATGCTCCTCTCATGGATACGGCTCAGAAACGTAATACACCCTCTCCGAGACATCGCCATGACTACCCAAACGCATATTCATTGATCCCGCCGCGAATCCGGAAGAGCCACTACTTGAGTGCACCAAGCGCCGAGGCGTCCACGGAGATATGTACTGCATGTATATACACGTCCCGAATGTCCTCGGCAGATTCTCTCCAGAGCGTAAGCCCACGGAGATGATAGGTAGGAGCTCACGCGTTGAGATAACTAATACGAGCTGCTCGCTGGGATACCCTTCCGATTCGATGAACAAAATCAGCGCGGGATGCGCACAAGGGTAAGAAAGTGGCCGAAACCTCGGCTTTCAATCGAGCTAGCAGATCCCCCGCACCCGCACCCCGCCTTTGGTATTTCCGGTTCCCAGCGAGTCCTAGACGTGTATGGTAGGTTCATATCATCCCTCGGCCCGTGGCTCGTTTCCGGACAACGTATCCATCGAAAAACGGAATTTCAAACGCTGATCGTCACTCCAATTGGCCAGCCCAGCCACCCGCAGTGATTGGATGGGTCCCTTCTCTGTGAGCTCACATTAATGATCTACAGTAGTTTCCAGAGTTCGTAATGTCCCTTTCGTGCGAGTGTACTATTAGTAGTGACGAACGTTCCGGACGATACGATTCGAACCAACTTGTGACCCATTGTGAGCTCAGTCATGAGCTCATCTTTTTTTCCTAATGTCCGAGAAGCTTCAGAACATCTTCATCTTGGCAGTCAAGTGTTCTATAATACATACCATAAGTTGACCTTTTCTGGTCCCCTTCGAAATCATACATACTTTAAACGTCATTTTATGAGCTCCAAATGGAAAGGACTTGTGGGAAATATCCTCAAGAGTTTAACATTTTGACGACACTTCTCTCCCCAGCAACACCCAGATCGACGCCGGAATCATCTTCTGCTATCGAGATATGTGAATTTTGGCTAGGTAGATCAAACCTTGGTCGCAGCCTTGTGGTTTATTGAATTTTGGAGTCACCTACGTTCAGAAATGCCCCGGAGCGACGCCCCGACACAGCGTTTTCTACGATGAGATCTCTTGAATAAGACTTCAACAATGAAAATGCCGCATCAGAATGAGCATGCATTTGTTTAATCAATGATTGTATGGAAATGAGCATTGCGTCGAGGGCAACGACGGTGTTTTTGTGCCGTGCCGGGTGATGTCTGAGGGGGACGGGTGTGGTTGCCCATGGCGGTCGTCGTGGGAATGGCAGCTGCGACTTCGGGAATGGCCTATGCAGCTCATACTTGTTACCTGTAATAAATGAGTGTTTGAGATAATGCCACAACTCGATCTTTGAGCCTGTCGTTTCCTCCTCTTAGTTTATTTGTCATTCTCCTGTATCTTTTTTCTCATGTCGAGTGATCTTACTTGAGTCTTGACTAATGTGCCAGTCGACCGGCTGAGTAGCTGAGCCGGTTCATCGGCCTGTCTAGTGTATGAGACCTTTAGTTATTGCTGATGCGCAAAACAGCTTTTGACGAGCGATTTGAGGACACGAGTGATGGCGGCAGTTACCGAGAAATCACGTGTTAATAAAGTTTTAGAGTACGCGAAGCGAGAATAGCATTTATCCCTGCCAGGCCGTGGACCTCAAATCCTTTTGGCTACGGCCACGGTGGTCGACTGATTGATTGAGTTTTTCTCTGTCGATCCATCTTGGTGTAGACGGTATCTCTTGGAAGATGCTTGATGGCAAGCTCAATGGCATTTGGGTTCCTTGAGAGCTAGGTGCGTAGCTAGGTCCAGGTACCTCACCCCGCCTCCGCTTATAACCGAACGCGCCGGCGTCTGATCATGTGTCCCTGTAGGGTACCTCTCTCCCCAGCTCGCGGAACTCCCTTTCTCCCTCCTTCCAAGAAAGCATTCCTCAATTCCCTCCAACAACGATGAGCCGTCTCCACATAAACAATGCCCGCCTCCTCCCACTCCAAAGGCGAACTTTCACTGCCTCCGCCCTTGCCCGCGGCATCCGCCAGGCACCAGACTCGGACACGGTCCGGTTCCCTGGCGCGGTAGAATCCCGCTTCACGAACGAACTCACCTTCCATCGGCCGCAGGATGTCCCGGCAATGCCCACATATCGGTATATCAATGCTGAGGGTGTAGTCGTCGATAACAAGGTGCAGCTCGGCATTGATCGGGAGAAGGCGAGGAAGATGTATATGGATATGGTCACCACTTCTGTTTTGGACCTGATTATGTCGGTTCCCCCTTTCCCCCGGAAGAAGATGTGGCGATGCGGATGCTGACGGTAATAGGTTTGATTCCCAGCGGCAGGGGAGGATTTCGTTCTATATGGTCTCTGCAGGAGAAGAGGGCATCTCGGTTGGCTCGGCGGCGGCGCTGGATCCCGACGATGTGATTTATTCGCAGTACCGGGAGCAGGGCGCGTTGATGTATAGAGGATACACACTAGACGAAGTATTCCTGTTCCTCCTTCCCCGATTACTACCTGCTAACAAAGACCTAGTTCATGAACCAGCTCTTTGCCAACAAGCACGATTATGGCAAAGGCCGCAACATGCCGATTCATTACATGAGCGAACGTCTGCACCTGGTACGGCCTGTCTTCCCCTGCCTCTCCCAACCATACTAAGACTTCGCCAGCACCCAATTTCCTCCACCCTTGCCACGCAAATCCCCCACGCCGTCGGTGCCGCCTACGCCATGAAGCTCGAAAACTCCAGTAATATAGTCGTCTGCTACTTTGGTGAGGGTGCGGCCTCCGAAGGCGACTTCCACGCGGCCCTGAATATAGCGGCAACCCGTGACTGCCCGGTAGTCTTCATCTGCCGCAACAACGGGTACGCCATTTCCACTCCGACGTTGGAACAGTACAAAGGCGATGGCATTGCCTCCCGCGGTATGGGCTACGGAATCGAAACCATCCGTGTGGACGGAAACGACATAATGGCAGTATATGCAGCTACGCAGGCGGCGCGCAAGATCGCTTCCGAGTCGCAGAAACCAGTGCTCATCGAAGCAATGTCATACCGTGTCTCCCACCACTCCACATCCGACGACTCGTTCGCTTACCGCGCCAAAGTCGACGTTGAGGAGTGGAAGCGTAGAGACAATCCCATCACGCGCTTCCGAAAGTGGCTCGAGGTGAAGAAGTGGTGGAGCACGGATGAGGAAACAGAATTTAGGACGCAGGTGAGAAAGGACGTGCTCAAGGCTTTCGCGAAGGCAGAGAAGGAGAAGAAACCGCCGGTAAAGGATATATTCACGGATGTGTTCAAGGAGACCACGCCGGAGTTGCTCGAGCAGCAAGAGGAGCTGAGGAGAGTGTTGGATGCATATCCGGATGAGTATGAGCTTGGCGACTTTGAGGGAGGAAGAAGCGGTACATGAGGGGCGGGCTGTACTGAGTGAAGTAGAGTGTTGGAATGTAGATATTATTCCCTACTGTAGCGAGACTTTGCGTATGTGCTGAATATTACACATCTATTTAATGCCGCTCTCCCGTGTTAGTGCATTCGTCTGAACATCCGCGGGGACGAAGGGAGGCGGAATCAGCAGCGATACTGATCTGGTGGGGGGAAATACCACCTTGGTACATACCATGCCAGACAAATCGCGACCCGACAGGCCGACAACTTTTTAGAAATGCTAGTCATCGCGTGTTAGGGAGTCGCCAAGAGCACGAAACGGAGGAGTGAAAAGCACAGTTTTGCAGTTACCTATGCTATAGGGTGTTGATGGGGCATTTTTATTTCGCGAGACGGAAATCCAACGAGACGTGGGGGGATGCGAACGTGAAATCATGACCCACATGAGTGCCTATTGATGCTTTTGCTGTGCTGTGTCTGCGTCATGATCTTCTTTGATCTTCTAGGTATTCATTCATATTTTCGCTGGGCTGGATTTCTTACTTGGAGACTTATAAGCCCGTGGATTCCCACGACTCATTCACGGTGAGGCCGTTAGTTACATGCCAATGCTCCAGCGGACCAGCGCACTTCTTCTCGGATCTTTCAACAGAATGAAAGTTGAAATGGAAAACAAAACCAGGGTTTATAAAGGTGACGAAAGAAACCCATGCGTGCCATTGCCTCTAGCTGTTGAAAGGACTCGTAGAAGTGATCACTGGAACGATGGAGATGGAGAGAAGTGAAGTGGTATGTTCAGGCCTAGGAGCTACCGGTACAAGAGAGAGTGTGTGTGAAAGTGAGAAAGAAAAACGAACTTGGACCCGCTACCGCACCGAATGTTCCAAGCACCCACCACCGGTCTTCTGAACGGCTAGTGGACTACTCACAGGAACACACTCGTTCCCACACTTGCCTCCCCATCCATCCCATCCAACCGCTCCTCCGACTGCCCCCCTCGCCGATCGCCGCCCACGCCAGCGTGCCACAAATCCACGCACCCCACACTGCAACGCCGTCTCCACCAGCTTCCAATTAACAATAACAGTGATGCTCACAATCATACATACTCGGTCGCCACCGGCCCACCGCCGCTGATTATAACCGTGGCCCCTACCTCTCCCGTGTGTACGGAAAGGAGAGAAACCCAAGTAGAAACTCCCATCCGATGGCAGTAGGTAACAACAGTTACTACCAGATATTCCCAAGGAGAACCAAAGAAGTGCATGTAAAGCAAGGCGAAGCTGCCGCTTTGAGATGTCCTGTAAGCTGCAATGTCCCATTCAATATCCCATTCACATTCAGCACGAGTGCCTGCAATTTCCGTTCGCTCACCCAGCTCAATCGACTGCAGGGTTCCATTCAATATCCCATTCACATTAGCACGATTGTCTGCAACGTCCTATTCACTCACCCACGTTCTCCGGCGAGTCGGATAGCCATAGTACAGGTAGGCCACTGTATGTTCTGGGGTTCTCCCCGGACATCTCCTGGCGAAGCAGATGAGCAACCACGCTCGAACTTCGAACTGGAAAATACAGCTAGCGACCACAATGAGACGTGCAATATTTCTCCACACACCACAATACGGTACCTTTCCCGGTTCCTGGCAGCCTTCGAGATTTGATACGGTATCCCGGTGTCTTTGCTGTGGTGCTAGTGGGAGACAGCCACTGCAGAGTTTCCTCGAGCTCCTGGTCGATCGGCGACTCGGCGGCCTTTAGGCTTCAGCTGGAGTTCTTGAACGCCGACGGGAAATCTTTTTCGATGTTCGTTGTCGACTTGGATACCAGATCGAACCAGCGCAACTCTCATCGCATCCAGCTTTGACGTCTGGGCTGGCGGTATAACCGACCGCCTGAGGATTCGCCGCAAGGCCTTCGATACTTAGATAGACGTCCTTGCGCGCCTTCCGGTGGAGTTCCTTCGAAGGTCGAAAGTAATGGACCTTTAATACCGCCCTTGGAGCGGTCCAGATTCCACACTGAGGTGAGATGGGTAATGGGCACACACCCGTTATCGGCGGCGAGAGAAACCTCGAAGGTTTGAGCCTTGAGTATAGCGATGCAGGTTGTCGAGTCGACTGTCCGCCTGCGTTCCTTCTGTTCGGTTCAGAGGCCGGGGCCAGGGCCACCCGATGCGCTCCCTTAACTACTGCCCCGAACCAGACGCCTCTCCAACTTGCTGTACTCTTGCACTCCTGTATAGAATTTTGGTATCGCCCCTAATCACGGAGTGGACTCAGAGGACCGAAACCGACTCAAAGCAGCTGGGACCGGCTTCGCTGCGGAGAACTACGACGGATTGCTCCACCACAGCACCGAGAGCTTAGATCTGCAACCCTGGTGTATATAGTCACAGAGCTTCCTCTTCACTCGGGACATCGCTGACATGCTGACACTGCCCGCGCATTCGTGCCGTAACTCGGCGAGCTCGTTTGCGAGACCTACTGGGGGACGGCGAGGCCAGTGGCGATGGCGAAAGGGATCTAGGTGCCGTATGGTTTTGAGGATCTCCGAGCAGGCCGCGCGGGGCCACTATGTATGTAACCACCCTGCATGACGCGGAGAGTCGCAGCCAATGACTGGCTTGACTGCGACACGAGCCTCATCCGCCGCGCCTTGATATGGCATGCACGTACCTGATCGGCGCAAACAAGCAATCCGGATCCTGCTGGGATGAGGACAATGGAGCCGAGTGACTACATGCCATTATTGCTGAAGAGGTCGGCGCAAACCCTCGTGGAAAAATATTATCCCAGTTGGCTCCCGGAATTCGCTGGCGAGGTCTCGTCTTCATTGCATTGTCGGATAGGGATCCTGCGGGCCCAAAAGGTCTCTCGCACGTGCCGTCGCGTAGCCGTTTCATCTGTAGTTCGGTCAGTAGGTAGTTTTGTAGCATAGGTCGGTCGGAAGCGATGGTACATACCTCATACTACTATGTTGGTCGATGCAGACAACCGTCGATTCCTTGCTGCTCTAGCCTCTAGGTAAGTATCCTTCATTACCGTCTAGCACCGCTCGGTACTGACGGTTATCGCGTACGGACATGTGGCAGTTGGGGTCTCCGTTAAGAATGATACGTTGTTTGTTGCTCTAGGTGAATAGATAGAGTACATACCATTCGGTACCGTCCAGCAGTGCCTAGTGCTGATCGCTATCACGACGAAGCTTCCGTCGTGGCATCGATAGCTGCCGCGCTTACCAGTATATACGGTGCCGACAATCACGCAGACGTGAGTGGGCAACGGCTTTTGAGATACAACTACGACCTGGTAGTTATCGTATTCGGAACAGACTCACAGGATGCTTACCCACTGACTCTGCTTCAACTCGATCGAACAATATTTCAGTAACTAATCGATTCCATTAGGATACGCCTTCTTGCTAACGAAATTCCCCAGCCAGCATCTTTCCAAACCGTTCACTCCTGTCACAAAAGTAGATGCATAGTAAATCACTCGCATAATCACCGAAGCGCCTTCAGGGAAAAGAAAAAAAGAAAAAAGAGTACGTAAGATTCTTACAAAGCGTGATCCGGCCCCTCCATGCCATCTTTCTTCTCCTCTTCTTTTCCAGAGGATGGCCTCCGGTTTAGCAGCGCGCGACACAACCGAACGTAATGGAGAACATTCAACCCAACGGCGCCAACGACCCCCTGCGCTTCTTCTTCTTCATCCAATGACCCCACCCCCGCGAGCGCTCGCGGTCGAACACGCATCGCCTTTACGCCATCGAGCCCCTGGTCGAGCTCCCCGCGGCGGCGGCCGAGGCGGCGACGGCAGCGGCGGTGGCGACGGCAGCGTCCTCGTCCGCTCTGTTCCCGCCGAACCTTACCTCGGCCCACAGGTTGAATTCGGGAAACTCCTTCGCCAACACGGCATGGACGCCCCTACAGATGGCCGAGAACTTGTCCTCCACGTCGGGGACCTCCTCGAATCCGCGCGCCTCCGGCACCAGCGCTACGCTCGGGTAGCGGGATGCTAGCCGCTCGACCGCGGTGTTGACTCGATCTACCGGGATTAGTCGCGGCGACGGCGAGAGGGATGGGGGGAGGAGGGGGGTTACTCGGTGCAACTATCGGTGCGTCGGGCTGTCGCGCCACGTACTGGATGTGCTGTGGCCCCCGTGTGACGTCTTTCAGGTGCCGGCGCAGATTGTCGCTGCGATTGAAGCTGCTAGAACACCCCGGGATCGGGCAGTACCACGTCTTCGGGGGCCGCAGTTGGCGGTGGGCAGGAACTGGGGATGCGGGCGCCGGGGGGCGGGCGATGAGGTCGTTCTTGATGCGGGCGTGGTTGGAGAGGACGCTATGCATCGGAGACGCGTTAGCGAGGCGCGGACGTGGGGGGAGGGCGGGGGAGGGGTTGCTACATGTCGCCAGGGTTGGTGTCAAGGTATCGTCCGCCTTGCAGTTCGACGCGGTAAGAAGTGCCGAGATGTGAGATTGACGTGGTTGCGCGGGCTGCCGCGCCGCCAATGATGAAATCGATCTCGTCGGGTGTCAGGACTGCATGCTGGAGCACGACGAGGCCGTCGATGACAAATTCCTGCCTAGCAGCTGCCAGATCCACGTCGATCGGGATTGAGTGTGTGGCCGAGGTCAATCGAAAGGTTACTGTCGACATGGCGCGGTATGTATTGGGGAATATGGTGGTGATTGTGATGGTAACGATGAGAGATTGCGGTTTTAAAGAGCGGATCTCAAAGCTTCTATGTGCCCCCCTTCGTTCACTCTCCGCTACCGTCCTTCACTACAAACTTGGCGCGGATGGAGGGGAGGGGGGGGGGGGGGGAGGAATTGCACTCTCTGACGTGCAGTTTTGGGGGTCATTGGACATTGATTCTGCCACGAAATATTGTGTGCAAAAAGCCTCAACCCCACCATCGATCGTATCGTGGCCGCGACCGTTTGCAATCGGGTGCATGTATGTGTGTGTGGGGACACTGTGGACAATCCCTTGCTTCGTAGACTTCACCTCGGCCTTGTTTTCGCTGGCTGGTTTAGCTACTTAGCCGCAGGCCTTGTCTGCTATGCTAGACGCCACCGCCTCCTTCTCCCCGGGACACAGCCGAGATCCCGCGGCCATCCAGAGAGAAATCCAAACATGAAAACGATTATGCATCACGGATGTAAACTACCTATCTCTTGTTCAGCGCGATGTCAATCGCGCTTGACAAATATGCCACAACTTTTTCCGGCGGTGAATTGGCCTCCGTCCCTCCCTCCGCATCTTCCACTCTCCGTCTCCTCCTCCTCTGGGGTGGGCGGCAGTCCAGTCGGTGAACCGTCAGGACTATCCAAGGAGAGGCGCAGCTGCACATCGCATTCGCGGATTCTCCATGCTAATCCTCCACCCAACTGCTCCCTTGCTTCGTAATAATCACAAGACGCAGCCTCAATCGCAATCGAGAAGCCGTTGTTGTGTAACGGAGGCTTGGGGCGTGCGATAAGTGGAGGCCAAACCAAACACAGCCATGTATCACTCTCGCTGTCATCGGTCCGTCATTGTTGACATTGGAGAAGAAGCTGGTTCGACCGTTGTGCTGGGGGGCGGGGGGGACGGAGAGTGGAAGAGTGGGGAGAGTGGGGAGAGCGCGAGAAGTGCGATAAGTGCGAGCGTACGAGCGTGCGCTCATCGTTGACGAGGAGCGTATAGAAAGAAAGAATGAAAGAGAAAAAAAAGCGCTCGCGAGTCGCGGAGCGGCGGCCAGCAGACAACCGCTCAGTCCGTTTATTCTTAACGCACGAATACAGAGCGGCCAGCTGTCTTAGCGCACGGATACGGGGCGGCCAGCTGGCCAGGCTTGATCAAAGATCCGCGCATTTGTGTCGATTGCCGAGCAAGCATTGCCATCTGGTGGACTGTGGGTGGTTGCGGGTTGGTGGGGCTGGCCGCTGGCGCCTGAGTCGCTCACAGGTGCCTCTGGGGCACCATCGTACTGGTGTCATTTCTCACAAAAATACGCACAGCGATCCCCAGCGACCAATGGCGAAAGACATGCCGGCCCCGGCTCGCGCCAACTCCGGCCAAATCTAGAACCGGATCCCACACACCTGTGCCCACACGCCAAATCCGAGCGCAGGATCGTCCGCTAGCTCAGGCACGGTGAGACACCGAGTTTGAAGCTTGAATGTGCCCTAGGTAATAGTATAGGCACCGAATCCTTATATTATTACTCTTTCGGTATCCCCAATCCGTTATTACGTATGTAATTGAATCACTCGTGCAACTTCAGGTGTGGAGTATATAGCTCTTTTCTGCCGACTTTCCTTTCCGGGGGGGAGGGGGGAGGGGGTGCAGTACCTATCGAACTGCGTCGTGTTTGGGCATTATGGGGGGTGTCGGTTTCAGTTTCGGTGTTGGTGTCGATGTGCGCATGAGCGGTGGGGCGGCAGGTTCCATTACGCGCGTAACTGAGGAAAGAGTCCTCGTGTGTATTGTACATATGAGTCTTCAACTCCGTCATAAAAAATCCTCTGGTCGGAGAAGCCCCCTCCCCCCCGTTTCTGCACCCTCACACCGCAGAATTGTCACCGGCCGGAGAGAGGGACGTAGGGAGTTGGTCATAGCAGTTTCGTTCCAGTGTTGCACGGACGCTTGATCCACATGTATGCACAGTCACCGAGTACCTGCTATACTCGCTAGGGAGTATGGGCCTAAGAACAAACGTACGATTCCGACTTTACCTGAGTGGATGAGTGGGTGAATGATTGAATGGTTGAGTGACTGAGCACTCCGGTTTCCTTGCGAACTGCCCGCGAGTGCGTTCATGTTCGGGAAGGCTGGGAGGAGACGCAACCTGACACAGAGAAAAGCAGTATCTCTTTGAGGCTGCGACTCGCTCACCGGCCAGCCAGCCGGTTCGGCGGATTCGGTCTTGGCAGCAAGCCCTCCGAACGCCGACGGTAGATATTGTCACAAGGCTGTGGACTCTGGAGAATCCGCCCCGCCGCTTCGGATGGTGAGCCGCTCTCGGGTCACAGCGGATCGGGAGGAGGCAGGGCGTATGTATGTACTTTACATACATACGATGTGCATTGCATCTGCAGTATGTGATCAACAGCTGCAATATGGAAATGAAGGATGCGGGAGATGGCGGCGCAATGTGAGGAAGAAGGGAGGGAGGTGGGGAGGCGGGGAAGGCAGTGGGCTGTTTCGTAGGTACGTATTAAGAGACCCAAAAACGTGATGAGACAAAGAATGGGTGATCAATTGTGTGCGTATTTGTGATATGAACAAAAGCAAGAACAAGATAAGAACAAGTTTTAATGTTTACCCTCCTCTTCGAGGCTGATCCGGGTCACACCACTCCGCCTCCACGGTCTGCTCTCACCTCCCCACCAGTTCCGATACACACGGAGGCGCCTCTACCCCGCTCTCCCTCAATACTAGGTATATATGTACTCGATTAGGGGCGAGACAGCCGGCATGGATCGAACGATACCTAACTCGGTACGCACGCACAAGTTCGAAGTTGGCTCAAGATGAGAGGGCTGAGGATAGGCGGATAAAAGCGTTTATTGGTTCACCCGAAGATGAAACACTACCGGCCGAGGGCAAACGGGTTACGGGTCGCCAGAGCAAGCATGGAGGAGATGTGCAGTGTGGTGGCATGCATGTGCCTGCGGTCACGGGGCTGGCAACCACACCATGCCCTCCCCTGAGATGCTTGTGGCGTGCGGGGTCGTGCGGGTTACGTGGAGACAGCTGGTGGTCCGTGCGGTTCTCTTTTGGTTTCGGTTTCAGTTTAATCATTGCTTGTTGCGGATCTGTTTGTGTTGATGCACGCCGCGATGATGCATTGTGTAACGAGTGATGTATACTACATAGGAAATAAGCCCTCCAGCGAATAAGCGTCATCTACATACGCAGTCATGGAGTCGCCGGAGAAACTGCAATTGGAGAAGCTGCAATGGCGTGAGAAGGGTAGTGACGATCCAAAAAAAAGGATGCGAGAGTGCGTACACGCACCTGTGCGGAGCAGAATGAGGAGGCGCCCCCTCGCCGTTTGTTGGCAACCGCGAGCCAAACAGTGACACGACACACGAGCGGTGACTGAGCAGCTAGCTCGGTCGGGCAGGAGATCCGCGTCTTTTGCGCGATTGCAAGGCAATTGATAGGCTGTGGTTATGGCGGGGTTCCCTGTTGGCGCCCCCAGTCGAGCTCTCACTCTCTACACGGTGCATCCCGCTCGTGATCAAGCTTGACGATGCATACCTGCATACTAATGGTCTTGACAGATTCCGCAGCAAAAGTGAGCGTACTATACATACCTCATACATACATCATACAAACATAGGTACAGTACATACACCGCCAGCCTCCGAATCCTTCCGACTCCCCTCCTCTTTGAAAGTCTAGAACGGCGCGACCCATAGGGCCATAGCCCCCGCACAAATCGGCGCAGGGTTGTTCGCCGACTGTCGACAAAGGACATGGACGGGCCAGCCGTCTGGGACCAAAAGCTTGAATTCGAACCAGGCAGCCATCCCTACATATTGTTGGGAACTCCTGTAACCGATGGAAAAACACCCCCGACTTTCACACCTATCTCATCCCACAAAACCACAAAAGAAAATCAAAGGACGTTATTTTCGGATAGATAAGGGTGTCTAGAATCATAGAATGACGAGTTTTGGATTTTAGAAGACGTGGTTGATTTTCTTTTGAATTTAGAAAACGGTAATTTTGGTGGGGCGCTCCCCAATGTTTTTGCTAAAAACATCTCAAAAATCGCTACTTATTACCCGTTTTGTAATTAATTCGACTTTTCCACGAATCTCCCACCCCATTGACTCAAGGAGTCCCCAACCTACATACATGACATACCTACCGGTATTCTAACGACTACATACGCCCAGCAGCAGTGAAGATGACGCGTGATTTGTGTGTGTGTGCCCACAGCCACTACTACTAATCGTACTGTTATGAAAGCTGTAACACGGGACACGGTGTGAATTCCGTTACATACCGGTACCAGCAGAGCACCATAGGGAGTATATACCGGTAAATAAATACATATCAAGAACGTGACTCCGCGTCAAGCCCAGTTGCAGACGCCCCATTCCGCACGTGTCATCGACCGGAGGCCCGGAGCCTGAGGGGCACGTAGAGATTTATTATTAGACCTACTCAACTGCTACTGCGGACGACCACGTCTCAACCGTGCAGCAGCAACGGGGCCCGGACAGGAGCGAAGATTTGCAAGGTTTCTTTCAAGCACGCTCGCTGCGCCCCTTGGAGATTTCGCCCTATCCGACAGGAAACTAGCTACTTGCATACCGATGCTTTCGCGACGAGGCCGTGGTTACCTGCCTACCGACTTAATTTTTGCCTTATCCAAACTTCCAAAGTGGCGTGCCGTGTATGCTCTCTTTTGCCTGACCCGCAACTTGTAAGACGGTAAGCCGACGTCAACTCAAGGCGCCGGACGGGGGTGTCAGACTCGTGGGCAGCAGGCTGAAGCGAAAGGAATAGAGGAACCGCAAATGTGTGTAGGATGTGCATGCAGTTACCGGTATGTGCAGTACCGACGGTTGAGAACTTGAGAGGTGGACACTGGAAAGAGGAAGAATGGAAAGTGAGTGGACCCGCGGCTGCCATCCTTCCCGAATAGAGTACATAGTAGTAGTAGTAGCAGTAGTAATAGTAGTAGTAATAGTAGTAGTAGCAGTAGCAGTAGATAGTACCTTCTCTAGAGTAGTTCTGCAGCTACTCTACTGCCAGATGGGCTACCTACTATACTCTACACCCTGGCGTTGAAACTTGGGACTAACTATCTACTGCAGTGATCGGAGGCAGCAGGCAGCATAGAGTACATTATGTGTGTACTCTCCACAATGAGGCCGGTTGTCCCATGTAGGTAGACACACAACGGGCATCCTCGCTTCACAGCAGGCAACGGAATGATGAATCTGGGAGGAATGGGCGGAGGAATGGGCGGAATCTCGGAGCCTGGAGGAATGGAATGCGGATGGCCTCGATGCACCAACTCTGCAGCACTCTTGCAGAGCGATCGCTTTCACTGCCAGACCACCCTCGTCATCTGGATCACCCTCACTGCCATCAACATTAACGTTCCTTCGGTGGGGCGGGACTTGGTGAAACCCGAACCAACCCCCACCTAAATGTCCCAACGTCCCGAGTTCCGTCGACGGCCACATACTTCGAGTTCTCGCCTACGCCAGAAAATCACTACCGGAATGTACACTGCTCGGTTCAAGGTTGGGCGTTCACGTGGAGATGTGCTGCACATTCCATCCCACTCTTTTCGCAAGTACCCTGCCTGCCTGTTTGCAGCTGGGGCGGAGGGAGCGAGTTCTCGGCCATGCTAAGAGTCATCGCATGATGTATGTTATCGAGAAGTGGTGCTCAACCAAACCAAACCAAACCAAACCAGCCACAGGAAGCCGCCCGGTCACTCTAAACTCTTCCAAGCCTTAGCCAAACCGGAGGGGTGGGGGGGGGGGGGGGGGTACCGGACTGCATCACGAGTCACGACACTTGTTTTAGCATGCGGCCCGCATTTTTGGCCAAAGCAGATTCCGTAGTACGGTAGTACATGCTTCACGGATCGATGACGATCGTTTCGTTTCGCTTCGTAAGGGAAAGCCCTTAGCTGAAATGGGCGGAGTTTAGGGAGTAGAGTGTGACGCAGAGTAGAGCAGGACTGGGGCTGGGGAAGATCTGGATTTCGCCGGGGGAGGCCCGGGAGGGGGGGTTTGGCTGGCGAGGTGCGTCGCAGAGCGCATTACCGAAAGCCCGAAAGCCGGAAAACGTGCAAAATCGCACATTTCGCCGAAAATTGAAATCAAACACATCTCGTACATCTCGTACATCGAGCACGTCGAGCACATCGAGCACGTCAAGCACATCGAGCACGTCGAGCACATCGAGCACATTGGCTACGTAACTACTACATAAGTTTGATGCGTCGATTCGCTGTGGTAGGTAGAGGAACGGAGCTGCTGCCTTCTTCCCCGTTCCCCGTTCCCTGCACTGTCCGTCCGTCCGCCCCTCCATCTCCGAGGGGGTGACTGTGACTGTGAGCCCAACTCCCCGAGCACTTTCGAAGTAAATAAAACCTTTTAGGCTTTGCCCGAGACATTGACCGGGCACAGTCGATAAGATTAGGAGAATGAGCTGGAATTCAAGACAGTGACGCGGGGCCGAACGGTGTGAAACACACGAGTTAAGACTCGTCATCCCTTCGCTTCCCGGATCGTCCCTTGCGGTTAGTTACTCTACACCGTTTTGCGACCACCCCGAGGGAAGGAGTGCCGAGTATGATACGAGATTTGCCGCCGGCACCTCGCGCTTCGCGTAACTCGCCGGATCCTCCTAGTAACGAGCGACCCCGAGGATGCAAGGAACTGCCACACGTGTAGAGTATGTACCTACACAGCCTAGCAGCGGTCGTATGTTTTTCTTTTCTTTTTCGAGCAGTTCAGTAACCAGTGCGGTGCGGTCGGTGGGTGGCACATACCACACTCCGAAACCCGGGAAGATCCCGAGCGCGCGAGCTCTAGAGTGCACCACAGCGACGGCGCTGCGATCTAACCTCTAGATGCGCGGAAGCAGCTTTCCAGACCGCCATTACTCACTCACTGCCACTGCCACTGTCACACTCATCGTTAACTGCCCTCGCCCTCACCGCCGTCGTCGTTAGCGGCGACGTCATTTTCCACCCATTTTTCACGAGAGCGCCGAAGGCTGAAAGCTGAAGCCAACAAAAAGCTCGACGGGTACCTACCTAGGTCGGCCGAACTGGCGGCGGACACCCCGGATGGACACGGAGCACCTACTAGTACCGTAGTATGCTTCCCATTCCTTTTGGCTTACTACACGGATTTCGGGGGATATACCGAGAGTCGCGCGGTCTCCGGCAGGGGGGTGGGGCATTTCCCGACTCCCCACCGAATAGATGACTACTGGGGTAGGCAGCCGCCTAGGTACATACCGTGGTATTGGAGATGGAAAAAACGACCGGTGGGTCACAAAACACCGAGGGAGTGGTAAGACTCGCCGAATCGCCAACTTGGTGATCTATGTTTGCTAGTAGGTAGGTAGGCCACCCACTCCACCCAGCCTCTGCACTGACAGCTAGCATTTCATACGTACTCTACTCTACATACAAACCGACTAAGGATCTCTGCAAGCAGCTCGCAATTCATGGTCACTGGTCATTACGGAGCTTCCCTAGTGCGGCAGTGCCCACCACCAATAAGTCACGGTTTCACGCAGTTCGCCCTAGACCAGTGAAATATGGTAATCCGTAAATCTCGCTTGCCTGCCTGCACCACTTTGCCTCCAAAGCTGGAGGTCGGCGGGCACTCGAGAATCGAGATAGGCCACTTGTAACGAGCTCACAGAGGACGAGACCATCCCCATCCCCTTCCTCTTCCCTTCGGGCTCCCCAATCGAGATAGGCCACTTGCAACGAGCTCACAGAGGACGAGACCATCCCCATCCCCTTCCTCTTCCCTTCGGGCTCCCCAATCGATCGTTATCCATGCCTACAGGCTGCTTGGGCTGTGTATGGCAAATCGCTCACGGGACCCATATTCTTGTCGATGTGCCTACTATAGAGCTGCGGCATGCCTACCTACTCACTACCTACTCCCAACCAACCGGTCGTGAGCTCCGGTAGGGAACAGGAATGAATGCCCCGTCAGCCAGTCCGCAGGACAGAAAAGCACATCCGTCGTCTGCGAAAAGACGCCTGACGATCGGATTCCCACAGCCTGGCCTTTCGAATCGAATTGCTGTGCTTCCGTCCTGTCTCCCGGGTGGGGCGCAGGCGTGACACAAAAGACGATAGACACAAAGGAAGGCTATAACCAACAGCGCCAAGAGCAGCCTCGGCGTGCAGATGCGTGCCTTCGTGAATTCAACATGTGTCATGCAGTGCAGTGCAGTGCAATTCGCCAAATCATCGGGAAACAGCGTCCTAGTAGGTGCGTAGTTACGTGCGCTCGAGCTGGGGCTCGTGTTCGGGACCCAGGTAGGTAGGTATGTAGCTAAGGTAGAGGTTCTGCCAAGTATGAAGAGAACACGCGGGGTTTGGATGAGGTCGCGGTAATTGCTGGGCTTGCTAGAGCAGTATGTATGCTTGTCAGCTTGTTGGCTTGCTCTTCTTGCTGACTTACTTACCGACATCATACCTGCTTGCTACTTAGTCGGCGTTTCAGATTGCTCTCCTCTCTGCTGTGTGTATCGCTAGATATGCCGGGACGCCGCGAGGCTCCGAATCCCTGAGGGACTGGTCGAGCCCCCGCGGTCCCTACCTGATCTGGATGGCTGTTGGTTCGACGTTTTGGTCGGCGCGGGGTATCAGACGTATGTAGGATGTTGCACTCCGCAAGTAGCGATAACTGTTGAGGCCGGCAGGAGGAGGAGGGATGATAAGTCTCGGCGGTGAGCGGTGGTAAGGCAGTAGGCAGGCCACAACTGCTAAACGTGCCGCTTGTTCGCGGCCTGCAGGTGGATACGGCCCTCACCGATCATTCTTCCTTGCCGAGCAGTGCCGACGGACTTCGGTATTGTCCCATGAGGGGATGGCAGTTGGTTGTAGGATGTAACACAAGCGACGAGGGGAAAGAAGAAAAAAAGGAGGAAAAGAGGAGGAAAAAAAGGCAAAGAAAAACATTCAGGGTACTCTAGGTAGATGGGAGCCGCAGGAAGGAAGGAAAGGAGCGAGCCAGTCATCTTCACCTAGTGCCGAAGCTCGTGTCACAGTTCTTCTCGGCCCTTGGCCCATCGGCTTCCGAGTTCATGGAAAACCGCTCTCCCCCAGTTCTGTCAGAAATATCCACCATAATCGGGGTTCAAACCCAGATCAGGGATACGCCTTCCGAGGCACCCGGAGCACGACCTAGACCCGTGGCCCGGCATCACGCCCATCCATAATGCCTCAAAAAAAAGGCCCCTTAGGGCTAGATTTGAAGAGCCGGATATCTATCGTGATTCGCGGAGAGCTAGGTAGTTACATGCATTCCCCTCCCTTTCCCATAGTTTCTGCCGGTATGTAGGAACGTGGTGTACGCGGTCTCGGTTCTGCTACGGTAGGTACGTATATGGTGAGCGATGATGAAGTCGTAGACAACCATGTTTAACCTTGCTTAATCCTTCCCGTGTAGTTACCTATACCGGTAATTCATACCGGTAGTTCATACCGGTACATAGTAACGCAGAGTGGATACGGGTACTCTACTCTAGTTCCCGCTCGTTAGTTGATCCCGCAAATCCAAAACCTAGTGGCATCCGCGGGCCCTAGTTAGACAACGTGGATGGTGAATTAACGAGAAATTATGGGGAAACCCAGCTTGAAACGACTAAGGTGCAAACCCGGCTTGCATGTATACCGGTGGTGGGGCTGTGCGCATAGAGTAATCCACAATTGTGTCTGAAGAGGATAGTTACGACGTCGCCCATGTGATAGGGTTGTGGTATGGAGGTATGTATGTACGGCACCTATGGATCCAAGTGAAGCCCGAATGTCAGGATGGCAACCACTCGTCGACATATTCCGTGCGTCAAGCCCAATCGTCTTGCAAGGTTGAGGGGAGGGTGGATCCTGTGCAGCCCTTGGGTGGATCTATGATCATCAGCAACTGAGAACTGCTATGGCAAGGCATGACGGCCCATGCATCATTGAGTCGAGACCGTAGGTATGTATATTGACTATGGGGCTTCAGGCTCTATCTACCTACGCAGCCAGCTACTCAATAAAGTGGATTCAGGTGGCATCTGGCCATCGTGAGCAGTGAGCACTGTACATGGATTGCTATTGCCGGAATTTGTTCGGAAAACAGGTTTGTCAGCGTCACCGTGCACGATAGCCGCCGGCCTTCTGTTCCCAAACCTACCGGTACTCTATATGTTGAGAAAGGAGTCACGAACAGAGAACTCAAGCATTCTAACGAACACAGGCGGTAGTTATGCAGGTATGGTACTAGATCATCAACTTGCTGTTCGCAAGAAAGCATGCATGTCGCCGAGTGATTGGGGTGGAATTCGTACGTAGATATTATCATACATGCTATCATCATCGTTCCATAATTTTTCACAGCCTTGTCCACTTGTCTCGTGGCGGATGATCCGAGGAAACCGTCCTCTTTGCCTTTTGCTCATGCCCAACCGTAGGCCGGAGACGGTGTGGGTATGTGCGTTTGATGGAAACTTCCGGCCGTGGGAGGCGGTGCGAACGGAAACATTCACATACGAGCGAGGAATAATGAGGGAGTGTGTGTGTGCTGGCTGCAGTCACAGCCACACCTGTGACTCCCAGCACAACGGACGCTCGCTCCGGACGACCGACAATGAGGATTCCAATCGTGAGTGAATGTGCTGAATAGTCTTCCAGCATTCGCACAGCTGTACACATCAGAAATGAGGCGAAGCGAATCACGGATGGGATCAAAATAAGGCGCGTATGATCTTCCCGACGACGGCCGACGTACTCGTTGCGCTTAGAACTGAGTGTGAATCCAACCACCCAGCCATTGGGTCGAAGGAATCCCACCAACTAGAGGAATAGCGTGTGTCCATCCCGAAGGACGCTCTGCAGGAAGGTACCTAGCGGGGGGGCTTCTAGCGCTTTACTATTAGAGATGGAGCACCTGAATGGGTTGGGGACGATGGTGTTGGGGACGATGGTGTTGGGGACGATGGTGTTGGGGACGATGGTGTTGGGGACGATGGTGTTGGGGACGATGGTGTTGGGGATGATGGGGTTGGGGACGATAGTTACTCTCACTATTCTTTGGCCGCAGGGTGCGATGACAGCCGGGTAACCATCTTTCCATGGATCAAGAGCTCATGCGGGCAGATCGGGCATCTCCCCCGCTTGCCCCCTATTTACCTAGCTATCTCGATGGTAGCATCTTAGAACGCTTACGATGAGCTGCCGACAAATACTACTAGCAACGGCAGCAGTAACATCATCACCGACAACAACGACAGCGGTAATCAGCAGAACCACCGACCACCGACAGCAGTTCGGCAGTCCAGCGATCCAATAGCCTAGCAACCCAGCAACGTCACCGTAGCATCAGCAGCAGCAGCGGCAACGCCAGAACGAGCAACACTGGCAATACCAGCACTTGTTTCACAGTGCCACATCGACAGCAGCGGCGGGCCAGCAGCAGCAGCAGTACCAGCAGCAGCCGAAGTCGCGTTCATGTTAATTTTGCCCCAACGTGCAGCCCGTCAACCCGTATCACTGGTTACAAGCGCAAGGCCCTCGGAGACCCCCCGGAGAAGCTCGCCGGCGATATCCCTCGTGCCAAGCTCAGCAACACCATCTTCAACGAGGTTGTCGGTCCTTTCGTGTTGGTTCTGATCACCCTGGTTCCATACCTGTTCATCAACGCGCAGACCGGGTTGAGAAAGGAGAATGACGGCAACGACCCATCTGAATGGAGAAAGCGTTGCGCACAACGAGAGAAACCCGAACATGCCTGACCCCATCTTCGCCGCCACAGCCCGGACCGAACCTGAGTCGACCTTGGGTTGCGCACACGGCACATTACCACACCCAGGACGTCGCCCCTCCGCTTCTTTGGCATAGAATCCATATCCAGAGGTGAACAGTGAGAAGGTTGCATAAATGGTAGGCTTCCCCCCTCCTCGACACACTTCTTTTTACTTTTACTCCTCACTTCACATTTTTGAAACGGCGCATCACCCTCTTCGCCATACACTGGTCCTGAAATCCCTCCGTCGTCGCTGAGTTCTTCGCTACCGTCCCAAAACCTCAAACCTCAAACCCGGCCGACATCAATGGCTACCCCACAGCGCACCGGTGCAGATGGATCGTCGCGTCGTGACGATGGTGCTCATATCCGTGCTGGCGGTCATGGATCTTCGCGGCGTCGCGCAGCTCCTGGCTCGTCCGTTCGCAGCGGTGGTAATGGATCGTCGGTTCACCCCAATGGTGCTCCACAATTCTATGGTCGCACCGAGGACCGCACATCCTCCGACCGTTACGCCACAGCTTCTGGAGCATATGGCCCTGCCGATGATTTTGAATCGTCGCATCGTCCCTCGACTTCTCGCGCTTCCGGTCGCAATGGCGGTGATTCATCATCGACTCGCTACGATGGTGTGTCGTCGCATCGTCACCCCACTCATAACGCTTCGGGTCGCAATGGCGATGGTTCATCGCTTCGCTATGATGGTGCCCATGAATCCTCTCGTCAAACCGAGTACCGCACATCCTCCGACCGTTACGCCACAGCTTCTGGAGCATATGGCCCTGCCGATGATTTTGAATCGTCGCATCGTCCCTCGACTTCTCGCGCTTCCGGTCGAAATGGCGGTGACTCATCATCGACTCGCTACGATGGTGCCCATGAATCCCGTGGTCGTACCGGTGGCTATCCATCCTCCGGTCGGAACGTCTTCGCTGCCGACGTGTATGATCGAGCCAGTGATCGTGGACGTTCGAGTCGTCACGCCAGATCTGGGTCCTCTCGTCGCCGTGATGTGTCTGCACCTGGTCGCCCGGCCCTCCCTCCTGCTGCTCCTCTTGCAAATCCTCCCCAACAGGTGAGAGGTGTACATATACCCGGCTGGCGCGAGCGAGTATATGTCCCAGGCTTTCGCCCCTCCGACAACAAAGGCAAAGAAGCCGCGAGGAAGTTCGATAGTCAATTTGGCTCGACAGGGTAGACGCTCTAGGTGTGTGCCATGCAGAGGGTTATGGTGTTGGAGTTCGAGGGTAGGGTGTGGGTGTCGGTCTGCGCTATCGCCATCGCCATCACTGTCGCCGGTCATCGATGATTGATGAGGTGTTCTTTTGGGGTTCGTGGCTTTCGCAGGCTGTTTGATGTATTCTAAATCGACGACGGGGCGTTCGAAGAGCTTGCTTTCAGCGTTGTGCTTTCTGTTTTGGAATTATGTAGCGATGTCATTTTTCCTTTGGGGTTTGTCGGATGTTGTTTCTATTGTGTTGGGTTGCATGCATGTCTCCGACGGTTGGTACCTCGCGATTCTCTCATTCGATTTTTTTGGTGTTTAAGAATGGTCTCGTGGCCGTCCAAACGTGTCTGATATTCTCGTCCTTTCTGTTTTGGATTATGCCTTGGGTTCTTTTTTCTTTTCGTGTTTGTTTCTATTGTATTCATCTTTTATCGATGTCGCCGATATCTAAATCCATTCAATCATCTGATCATCAGGCCCGAAGCTGTGATGGGGAAGAAAAAAAGGTAAACTGGCACAGCACTCCCATATGCGCATGTATTGCACGTAGAGTGGATTTCCTTCCGAGGGAGGATCAAATCAGGCAGAAAAACTACCATTCAAGCCGCTGCCACTGCAGATGTGCGGCGTGTGCTTGGCTAGGAAGACCAGACGGGGGAGCGACCTAGAGTAGAGTATGTGCACACGGTCACAACTAAGCCCCCACACTGATTCAAATCTTGGATTTAAGGCGGGGATCCATGAGGGTTAGGGTCGGGTAGACTTGTGCTCTGCTGTACTCGAGAACTTCGTCGAGACGAACTCCGGGAAGGCTGCAGCAAAGCTGGCAGGTACGTAGGTGCGTAGCAACCGTAAGGCGTTACGAACACCGCCGAATAGGAGAGGTTGCATGGTCTCGCTCGCAAAGTGAGCTGGCGCGGAAATTGAGAGCTCTGCGATCGCTAAGTTTCTCAAGTCTCTGCTGATCGTTGGTTGAGGTGGGGCAAAATTCGATACATTCCATCGCAAGCCGCAACTCCTGTATTCGAGGTGATCACCTTCAGTGTAACCTGGACAAGCACTGCGATCACACTCGGGCCACGCCTAGAAATCAGTGACTGCAACCAGCTCCAACGCTCTCCGCTCCCTCCCTCCCCCAACGTGCTCCCTCCCCCGACACACGTCGACACACCTAACAGAAATCCGGGCCCGGCGCCGCACCAGCACACAGCGACACCCGTTTGCTTAGCAGTTGTATCATCCCTCCGCGCATACTTCGACCACTCCCCCCAACAAATCTGAATCCCGTGCGCACAACACAAGTAGACCGCGCACTTTTGGGAAGTTGCCCGCCCGGCACCCATCCAGCAAAAACAATGAGCGGAAAATTATCACCCACCCTTGATCATCACTCAACGCTGCCCTGGGTGCCAACCTGACTGGCCCTGGTTGGGGACCTGGGGTCATTCTGCTGACACCGTACCCAGCCCGTAGCACCCAGCTCCTGCTCCCTACGCCACGGAACCTGGCGTGTAGAGGCGAAGCAAAATCGTGGTGAGAGATTTGGCTTGCGTATAAAATGCTCGACCCTCGACAGTTCTTGGTTGTGCCCATCTCGTCCAGCTTCGCTACTCTCCCCACCACCACCCATCATCAGTACAAGAGGGTTGTTGTTTCCTCATCTCTTCCATTGCGACCGCAAACGCTCATCGCCTCTTCCTCTTCCTCTTCATCGCCGCCCCGCACACACTTCTCATCTCTTCTCGCTCCTGAGCCCGAGTCCATCGCCTCTTCGTCATCGTCGAATTAGGTTGTCGCTACCAACCTCCCGCCAAACACAAGTCGACCACTCTTAACTCTCAACTGCAACCGACTTCATCGAAATGCCTTCCTCGACCCGTCCCGATGCGGCTGCGCAGTCCGGTCACGCCGCCAGCCGACCCACCGGTGTGTCCGTGGAAGGCTGGCGCCAGCGCGTGCCCGTCCCGGGGTACAACCAACCCGGCAACCACGCCGACCAGTCATTGAGGGACTTCGATCTCAAATTCCAGTCGCCGAAGAAGTAGTGTTTATCTGGTTCGATTTTCGCCTCGGTTCTTTATTTCTTTCTCGGCTGTCATGTCATCATCTCGGTGCATCGGTTGGGTTGGGTTCGACAGTGCTTTTTTCTATTGTCGTTAGAGGTCTGGTTAGAAGGGAAGGGGTTGCTGGTGTCATTTGTCATTATGTTGTCTCTTTTCGGTCGGTGTTGTATTGCAGCTTTGATGTGTATTTGTACGATGCCGTGTGCTCGGTTTTTCTCTATCGTGTATTTTCTTTTCGCGGTGGATATGTAATCTGGATCTGAGTCGCGTCTTGTTGTATTCCCTTTTCTGCCGTGGATATGTAATATGGTTCTCAGTCGCGTCTTGTTGTACGCCACGCGTCCTCCTCGATGTATCGTTGTTTTGAATGTCACAAGCTCAATGTCTGACACTGATGAGCCAATCGTGCAACTCAAATGCCGCCCTAATTGCATGGTTAACACTCATCGAGGGGATTGGGGCCAATGATCGTCCCTGAGTGCGCTGGAGGAGGGAAAAAAGTAGACGTACAGAATTGAAGCAGATATTCGGTCAATTGAGGCACCCACTGTCGTCCATGAGGAAAAGTTGGATACCCCATATGTATGACTCCCGCAGGCGCGGGAGGACAGAGTTGTTATCGTGCGTGTGACAGTCACAATACTCTATAGGGGTAGGGTTAGGGATTCTAGTGGTCGAGAGTTGCATAAACCTTCGACTCCTCCCTGGTCCATGGTAGGTATCAGAACAACATTGTGCCATTCACACTCATACGGGGCCGGGGAAGGCCGAAGTGTGATAATTGATACCGCAAAATCTCCAGTCTTCCTGCGGCATCCTCATCGGCCTACTTTAGTATAGCGGATCTGTCGCCTGTGAGAGGAATGGAGACGGTCGCGAGAGGAATGATGCCTGGTAGCTTGTCACCAAATAGCTTCAAAGGCATCGTTGTCGTCGGTAGGGATAACGCCATCCTCGGCTACGGTATGCACTGTTCATCGGGCGTGCTCCAATGTCGAGGAAGCGGGTAGTGGAAAGGATCTCTGGACGAGAGAATGTATTGCGAATTGTGGTACCTATACTGGTTTGCCGTTGTTAAATTCAGTCGTCGTTCCCTTTGCTTCCTCATTCCCTTTCCTTCTATTCCCTTTCCTTTCGCTCCCTTTCCTATCTTTCCCTTTCCGTAGTTGCCTCATATCCGGCATAGTTCATTCGTGGCAACAAGTTCGTCTTTTTCCGTGGACCGTGGCTATATATACTGATTCGAATTCCGCTCATGGGCCTTCTCTCCGTTCCTTCCCATTGACCTCCCCTCCAAGGCCATCCATTTCCCCAGCGTCCACTCTGATATTATGCGTGGCGATCCATCATCAAAGAGGCTAGACTCCTCCCGCCTTCTCCAAAGCCCCCCTAAAACGCCGCATCCGCACTCGACAATCTTCCGCTCGCAGTGATACTGAATCGCTCCGGTGATCCCTCCCTCCTTCCTTCCTTCCTTTCCTCAGCTCCCCTTCCGACTCCAGCCTTCGGAAGGCTGAGTGATAAGGTGTATTTCATCGAAATGGCAGTGACAGGGTGATTCCTCTGACATGGCCGAGTGACAGGAGCGTTTTCCAAAAAGCGTGTGGAGTCAACTGCGGTCGACTGAGGACGGACTACCTACCTAGGTAGTCTAACCGAGCACTGGACTAGACGGGCTGACCCTCGACAGTCGAAAGAATTTGCTGGACTGGACTGGACCGAACGACGGCAGTCCGCGCCGTCTGGGCTGCAGTCCGGACTGGACTGAGGAATACGGACTCCGAGTGAGCCGCCGTGAGTGCAACGTAGGTCATGGCAGCTTTCAACCGGTTAGTTAGAGCTGGGAACCATCAGTATGAAATATGATTATGCTGTGCCAGGGAGGCCGATGAGTCGACATACATACATACCACAAAAATAACCGGCGGGTATGCGATACAGCTTACAAGCGAAACTGCCCGCTCCCACCCCCGCTGACCAATATTCGTTGGAGCCTGAATGAGTCGAGTAGACCGGGTGAAGCGGAAACTATACATCAGTGATGGGGAAGTTGAGATTCACAGATGTGGAAGTCGAGATGCAGAGATGGAGAGAAGTTGTGTCAGGTTGTGTGAGATGGCTGCGATGAGTGGGATGAGCGGGATGAGCGGGGATGGGCGGGATGATGTGATCTATGAGTCAAGATTACAGTGTCTCCGCTCGTGACTACAACTCCGCAGCATGCAGATTCGCCCCCCCCCCCTGAGGAAAGTGTTTCAACATACGATGGGAAGCCTGCCTGGCGTTGACATCCTCGGTGAACATCCTTTCCACGGCCTCCTGAAGGCCACGCGGTTGGTGTTTCGGACGTTTCAGTCATGTTAGGCGACCAAACTGCTTGCCTTCAACTGGACCGAGGATCCAAGACTGACTGCAAGGACCAAAGTCCCGAATCGGCGAGCCATGGCGATGGAATTGATACTCGTTTTTCGAAGTGGTGAGCAAAATCCATCGTTTTCGGTGGCGATGCGAACGCCCCCCGTGTCGAAACAGATAAAAATCGTAAACTGCGCCCATACGGACGGACGGGGACCGGCCGATATAAGTAAGATGGTCGGACTGCAGCTGCAGCGAGTCACTGTTGTATTCGAGTCTTTCCTCGCCGGATGCTATCCTCAGTTGAGGATCGGTGGCCGAGCCTAAGGCTAAGTCTTCTGACTCAGTCATATCGGCAAGGGCTAACTAGTAAAGTTTTCAAACTCGGTTAACCATCTCGATGCAAATCGGTTCGAAGCAGAGTAGGTAGCCCAAGAGTCGAGATTGCATCGGCTGTTTATATCCATTCTCGAAGCACACAGACGCCAGGCTGTACTCCATCATGGAGATGCCTGCGCACATTCCATACGCTCCTCTTCAGCTGAAGCTTTAAAGCAACATGACTTCGGCACGGTTCAGGCGAAAGGTGTGGCTGCGTACGCCTGAATCAGCTGAACGTCGCCAACGCCAAAAGCTCCATCGCGCTTGTGTAGTCGCCGAACGTTGACGTACGCATTGCGGCGCGGAGGTATGTAGCGGTTGGAATTTGTATGGATGGCGTGGGTGCTGAAGTGTTGATGTCCGAGTTAACTCTCGACGTCGGGCCGGAATTCGAGGGATTCAAGGGATTAGAGCTGACTCGAAGGCTGGGGGGCAGGGAGGATAACGGGGAAGGTGGAATGTTTCCAATAGCGACTGGTTCGAGTAAGGGTTGTTTGATACGGTTAGCAATTTAAGCCGTAGCCGAATAAATGCATTTAAGCTCGTTGTAGGGACGCGAACATGCATGGACGCAAGACGCGTTAATGCCATTGATAGAGGAGGTTAGAGTAAGATGAAGCTCGAAAGCGACAATCGACGCCGCAGTAAGTAGGCAGGCCACTGATGTCGAGCAAACACCGTATGGAGTAAATTTCCGAAATGAAACCTGTTGAAGAGGGCTGAGTTGGCTGAAAACAAGGTGAAGCTTCAAAAGCGCCCCCATGTCGAGATCCGGATGAGCCAGTGATGATTTCATAGATCGATGCAGAGTCGCAACAGAGGCTCGGGGATCGCGTCAGTCGCATGGCCAATGAGCAGGGGAGGGACGCTACACCGAATCGATTATTTGAACTGCAGGCAGGATGGGTACTCTGAGTCTCGGACATTGTGCTTCACCATCGTCAAGATGGCTGTAACTATGCGAATGGTGACGAAATAAGAAAATGCCATCGCACGGCAAATGACGTCGAAAGTAGGTAATTTTTGGGAATATTAAGGCTCGAGAGGGCGGCGACGGGTGTTGCTGGCATGTATGTAACAGAAGCGGATTGCTAGGTTTGATAGGATTTAAAGCACGTCCCAACAGCCCCATCAACCTTAGGAGCCAAGGAACTCTTTATGAAGAGCGCGGAGCTTGGGCGAGCAACGAACACGTACCTACCGCTGTGGACCATATGCATTTTGCATTGTGGAGATGTAGGTCGCTTGGAATTGAGCTCGGATGAAGGTGCAATACGGTAGGTAATAGCTACTGTGCTCCAACGTGCTTGGGTGGCTTAAGCAGTGGGTACTGAATGCACTCACCCAATTTCCAAGTGCCCAGTGCAGTGTTGGGGAAGTGCAAGTTGCTCTTCCTAGCTGACATGCGCATCCAACAGCTCTATCTCCTGTGAATGTCCAGCTAGTGGTTACATCTCCTTTGGCCGGTCTGTTGTGCAATCGACGTTTTCGCTGCCGGTCGACTCAATCGGTTGAACTCTTTTTTGGTAACACACTACTGGTATGGCAAATAATCCTTCACTACATAAATCCCCAACACGGATGGCTGTTTGCAGCATGTACGAGTGCTGTTGTGAAAGTTCTGTCGTTTGCGGTCATGTATGATGATTGGTGGACGGCCTGGATGTTTGCATGTAGGCAGGGAGATGGCATGCGCTGGAGTCGTTTGTTTGTTGGAGAACTGAGTGATGTCCAACCCCCATCAGCATAGAAACCTTTCAGAACAATCTGCACGCAGGAGGGCTGACTACCTTTATATACGCCATCGAAAATCCCGTTCCGACATCTTAGCACATGCCTACGGATACGATGGTTTCCGAGAGTTGGGCATGTTGTCATATTCACATCACCTGTATGTAAGCACAGTTGCGTACACCACGTTGCCGCACACTCGGCATAACTCTACTCGGGGAAATTCAAACTCCGCAGTCGTCGTCGTAGGAATACGTAGGGATTACAACTTAAGACGCCCGTCCGTAGGAAGCCAGCTGTCATCTACTACCTGGCTTCAAGTGTATGCGGACACCTCTTGGTGCGACTGCCACTATTCGTAGTAGATAATACCTATTGCAGTCATTCGGCACGATGGAATTTCTAGAGTAGAATGCAAATCTTCGCTCAAATCGGAGATCCTGGATGAAAAACTGCTGATCAAGGAAAGGCTTCATGTCTAAGAAAAGGCTGCATGTCCGGATACCTAATACCTGCCATGCGCAGCGTGTCATAGGCAATGCTCCGGAGTCACCTAGATACATACTGTCTTAGCATGCGCTCAATTGGTGCGTCCAGAGGCCGTGTATGGGGCGACGTCAAAAGCTGGCCGGATATATCCCTTACCGCAGTGGAGGATTAACGCTGGTACGTATGGCGTCCGCAAGGCGTGATATGTAGTACTTGGTACTTACTCTACCTACCGGAGTTTGGATAAAGAGTTGTATGTAGAGTACGTGGATGTGCACAAGGATAAGCGTAATAATTACGCTGAACCGGGATCCGGGAGACTGGGACGGCTAAGCCCTGGCTCTTCAGGATGCCGATGGTATAGTAAAGTACTAGGTCAAAAGTTTTCGTACGATGGCCGTTTTACACCAAAAAGGCCCATTTTCAAGTAACCAAAACCCACCCTTCACGTGGCGGAAAAAAATCGAGTCTTTCATAGAAGCTTTAGAATCGCAGGATGCATCACATATAAGAAGTCTGACGACTTTTTCTTCGGATTGGTGGCGCATGGTACGGTGTTGTGCACAGGTTGGAGAGTGATTTCAGATTTTGTATGGGGCCCCCATACAAAATTATTGCGTGACAACCAGTTTCAGCACCAACTTCTCTCCCATATGGCATTACTCAACCACCACCAGTTAGAATTATGTGCCGATTTCAATCTAGGCTCTCTACCTGATTTGGAAGACCTTCTAATGGTCCACATACTTTTATACTACCTTATGGTTGCTGTATCTATGGCGGGAAATGACCTACCTCGGTGAAAGGGAAATCCGCCAAGCCACTCTACTTCGCATAAAATAATCCGCCCGGCGAGCTGGAAATCTCATTGAAGCTTTATTAGTATATATTCATGATAAATGCCAATTGTTAGTACTCTCTTAAGTGTGGTTGTTGTGTTATACAGATATATGTCTGTGGTGTGGTGGCGCTTTTGGGGAGGTGTACGAAAACTTTTGACCTGGTACTTTACATAAGGCTTTCGGCATTCGGACAAACCCTAGAAGCCTCATTACCTATGCTTTGGAAGTCGAGCTGGCGACGTCTCTGGGAGCTTCTTCTCTCGCGAGAAGCGCATACGGATCCGCAGACTCGGTATGTGGTGATCTCGCAACTTCGAAACATATTGCCAACAACAAGAATGTTCACGGCAGGAATAATGGCATGTAGAGTACAAACCCACGGAAAAGTATGGACAAACGGCGGCTTGCGTACACAGCCTTGTACGCGCGGTGCTGATATGGCAACACCAAGACACGGATTCGTACCTTTTCTGTATCATTTCCGGTCAGACTGGCCCGTAATAAGTTGTTCGAATAAGTTATAAGCGGAGAGCGGTGTTGATGGTCTCGGCGCTCAGTGCAGACGTTCTACGGTCCCTCACCAAATGATAGCTGATAGCCAGACGAGGCGAGCAGAGATCGCCATGAGGATTCGAATCATGTCACCAGCACAGCGAATCAATTACAAGAGCAGGGCCTAGTGGAGGCCTAGGATACCCGGTGCGTATATCGTTCACCGCTCAGGACTAACTACCTAGCACATACACGCCGTTTTCTTCTATGTCCCCCCCCCCCCCCCCCCCCCCCAGCGCCGTTGGCACTTCCCTCTCATTTAGCTTCCTTCCTATTGCCATTATCTACCCGTCTCCGTCTCCCTGACTACTCCGTCGAAGTATGAGGGAAAAGAACAAACGAATCATCGCCTCCACAGTAATCTCCAGAATTAATAACACCGTACCGGGTTGCCAAACAGTCGTCCTCCCCACTACCGCTAGTCCGATGGTGCATCATATATCGGGAAACTAGGTATCGAGCTGATGCCTAAGAACGGTAGGATCCCCGAGGGTGTTGGCTGGGCCTCATAGTCATAGCCTGGCGGGCGCCTATCATCGATGATCGATGGACGGTGACTCAAGCTCCTCTCGAAAGCCGGTGCCCTGGACTGAATTGCTGTGGTTGGAGATCATAGCTGGAGGTATTTAGCCCACCAAGTGAAATGAAGTGCAGAGGAGAGCTGACGACGGCGAGGAGCAGTGTGAACTCCAAGGAAGGGGCTCGGCGTCTTGCGCATGGACCACGACGAACCACGACAATGGCATTTCACCAATCCCGCCTTCGATCCAGATACGCGCCAATCATCGGGCCCCCGGCCTCGACAGCTACGTAAACCCCCGAGACGACGATTCCTTCCGAGTACCATGCCGTGTCCGCCAGACTGGCTATGTTGAGAATAGAACATACCGAGTGGGTGAATTTTGGGGAAGAGGACGGCTACCACGCGCCGCTACAGCGCAAAACGGACAACTCGAGCCTCTTCGGAGGCTGACTTGCAAAGATTGCGAGGGCAGAGGGAACCGGACTGGCATTTCTGTTTCTGGGGTTTGGTAGTGGTGAAATTTCTTTGTCAAATCCTTTATTGTGGATACAGACCTCTACCGGCCATAACGTTAAGGTTATGCTGTATGAAATACCAGTCACTCAATCAAATGAAGTGCGGATGACTACCAGAAAGCCTAAAGCAAGGCTCGGCCCTAACTAATGCTTTGGCGGAGGATATCATCCAGCGTTTGAGGTGAACACGAAGGATGAAACTGGGAGCCTACAGCGCAAAGTAGTGCAATCTACTCTACGGCCGCAGTTTACTGTGACTGGAATGTAGGTTTCATGGAGTCGAGAACCGATTATGCTTCTGCGTTACGGTGGAGGGAATTAGAGATCCAAAGTTTGAAGGTCTAGCACACTCTAAAGACGAAGAGAGGAGGAGCAGCGCACTTCTCAAGCAAGTAGGATCTGCGATATCGTAGAGGTGGATTACGATAGGACCTCTTCGGCGTCCGGCGTGTGCATACGTGGCCAGAGAGGGTGCACATAACTTGCATAGATATTATTGGGCAAGAGCAAAAGTGTTTTTTTGTCTAGTCATTACTTGATTGTGACTCATCTAGACCATGGTAATACACACGCTGTTTCCTTGTCCACCATCTAGACCCGACCGAAGTCGGCGGTCCGTTGTCGGTTCCCCTACCGTCCGCCCTAGCCTTTCCCCCAATATACATGTAGAGCGCACCAAGAAAATAAAGCTAGGGAAAGAAAGTGTCCGCTCGCCAAACCTTCGCCTCCCTGCCTTTTCGTCAGAAGATGACACGAGGGAGGGGTGGGGAGGAACAGCAGGGATGACCCGGCTCCTCGACCTCACCACCCTCCTTCTCCTCTCGCCTCATCTCCACCTGTCTTTCCTCTCGCTCCCTCAGCTCCCATTCCGACACCCTACTGGCTGCGTCTTCCTCAGCAACCTCCGGGATGCGCCTGTTCACGTCATGGTGACGAGAAAGTCCAGGATTGATTGGCTGGCTACATCGCTCGTCTACGAAAAGGTCTCAGACCTCGAAGCGATCCTTGCCCTTCCCGGTCTTCTTCCGAACCGCCGCCCACAGAATCTTCTATCATACCGGCTCTTCGACTTGGGAGAGCACTCGAAGAGTCGAAGTAGTGCTCCTGGCTCTGCAAACGCAGTAACACAGTTCTGGACGGACTCCGAGCTGCCCGAGCACAAAGACAAGAAACTCGCTGAGCGGACGGCAATCGAGTGGTTTCACAGATGTGGATACTCATGGAAAGACCTTCGGGAAGGCATGTACAAGGACGGCCACGAACGGCCCGATGTGGTGGCTTATCGGAACGAAGTTTTCCTTCCCCAGCTCGCACAGCTCGAACCCACCTTTGTCCAGTTCGAACTGTTACCAGCGACGGATTCTCTGCCGGAACGTATCTCAGGAAACCCCCTACGGCACCGCTACCCCCGGCTATCCGCCCGCGTGTTCCCGTTACCCACGACGAATGCACCTTCAACTCTACCGATAGTAGACGAGTGATTGATGGTGAAGCTGGGGTGGACGACGATCATATCCCGTTTTTCAACAAAGGACGGGGTTATGGTATGATGGTTTCGGAACACTTGACACCTGATGGTGATACATTCCGGGAATGTACTCAAATCCGGGATTTTGGGAAGGAAGGCTATTGGACTTGTGATGACATGATCGCTCAGCTCAAGGATCTGACGATTCTCTCTTTCGAACAGCGGTATTCTGATCATCAAGCGAGTTTCTTCTTCGATAACGCCACCAATCATGCTGCCTATGCAGAAGACGTACTCCGCGCGGAACGACTCAACCTTGGACCTCGTGGTACGCAGCCTCTTCTGCGATCAGGATGCAACCTACGGACACAACAGCCACAATCCATGCAAGAATCTCGCTGGGCGTGAGGTACTCAGAAATCACGATACCCTAACCTCGTCCTTTGTTGAATACCGGTATATAGAGTGCGTCTTCTGCATAGGCAGCATGATTGGTGGCGTTATCGAAGAAGAAAACCGCTTGATGTTGCGGATATCTCGAGCGGAGTAGCTGTATCCTGAGACGAACTATTATCAGATGTTGAGGAGCGTGGAGGTCGGAGGCTACTGGAGTATATCTTTTTTTTTCTTCCCTGATTCTGGACATGGCCCAAAGAATTCATGCGCTACTGGTGGTGTCTGGATCGGCGGCCCATAGGTATTGCGGATGGTTGTTGAACAGCTGAGTTCCGGGTGCGAAAAGTTGTTCATACTCTAACCGAGTAGGTACATGTAACCACTAAATTCAAGAGAGTTTGGTGCACTAGAGAATAATTTCCACAGCGTTTCTATCGTTCAGTCCGTCTGTCCTGGACCTTGGACGAAGACGGACGGCGTGCCTACCGCCCGTCCGAGCCCTACGACCTGACGGGCGCCAGTCGACGGCCGTCCGCTGCGAAGCCTTGGGCAAAAACCTGATTTCGAGCGTGTACCTTAGGCTCTCAAGTCCGGATACTACTCCTTCTCACAGCAACAGCGTGAGGAAGACTTGGCAATTTTGTGCGCTGTACTGGCCAACGGTAGTTGATCCCCACACAAAACATATCATTATATCTCACTCGCGTATCTGCAAACGGCTAGTGTATGCCCTTATTGGGACGAGTGATAAGAATATGATCACGTGACGGGGACCGACCCGTCCGTCCCAGGCTCGGACCGTCCGCCGTTTTAGCCGGCTGCTAGCTGGCCTGAAATTGGAGCCGCAAATCGATGGCCTTTCTTGACCGCACGCACCATAGGTGTGTGGAAGGCACGTGAAAATCTACTAGTAGCTTTGGAGAGCGAAGCATATTCATATCTACGGAACTCTACTTTCCTCTAGACACGGGGACGTGTAAAGAGGCGAGAAGCAACAGGTACTTACCTATGTACCACCTTGTACTGTACAGTATACAGTAGATAGTGACATAGCCTCGTTCGGATATGGATATGGAACAAGCAACATCGCAGTAGAGTACGTTATCCACGTGCAGCCTCTTTTTCCCTTTCTTTTCGTCATCGGCTGTCTTTTTTTCCCTTCAACTACCGTATCACGCTCGGGGATATCAGTCGATACATCGGGGATTGGAGGGGGGGGCGGAGCAAAGATGGGGCTGGCCGCTGGCGGGAGAACCCGATTGCGTGCGTGTCATGTGGCGTGTGTGTGTAAGTGAAAGTGTGTGAGTGAAAGTATGTGAGTGAGTGCGTGTGAGAGTGTGTGGGTGAAAGTGTGTGAATGAAATAGTATGAGTGAATGTGTGAGGGAGGTGCGGGAACCCTCCATCTCGAAGGATGAGATGCCTTGCAGGCTGCAGCCACATAGTGAACTGCCGTGACTGCTGTAGAGTACGCGACTCTAGCGTAACAGGCTGTGAGATCGTGTAGAGTACCTGAGTATAGTATTGTACATACCACACTATACTCCAGTTACCCACGAACCAGGCCGCTGGAGCCCCTATGTAAAAGGGAAATCTGAAATCTGTATGGCCAGCAGACAGGCAAGTATTACCGGTATGTATAAATACCTAAAGTAACCACTTAATGTACATGTACATACGGGCGCGCAAAGGGAATCCGACCGTATGGGTATCAGTATGGGTCGATCGTGTTGGCCGAGATCAGCCAATTCCGTAGATATCCTATCTGTGGTGTGTACAGTACTCCATAGGTATGATAGGTACGTAGAGCACAGTGAACAATTGCGAACGGTGCTGTACCAACAAATAGTACGATCGGTAGGCAGGCAGGGAGCTGGTGTTACCCCATCAGCCAAGAGAGCTTTATTATAGAGTATTAATGTAGACTTCGCAGTATTTTCTTTTCTTTTCCTTTGCTTTTCTTTTCCTCCTTTTGTCCATCTCGCTTCTCCGGGAGGGCGAGGTGAGCTGAGTCGGAGGAATAGATAACTATGATCGGCCGCAAGATACACTCAAAAAAAAGCCACGAGATGGGAAGGGGGCGGAGCGAAAGGCTTCCATTTTCCCCGAGAGGTCGTGCGGTCTATGTACTCCTCGTGGGAGCCTGGCCATCCAGTGCCATCATCGAAGAGTCAACGATTCGCAGCAACGACATCGTGTGGGAGTGCACACGCCCACAATCATGTTCTCCCCTGTCTATCTTGCACTCAGAGGGTTCGGGCTACTACGGGTATGTATTGGATGCCATTCAAGTTTGTGAGGGTTAAACTCAAATCTCAAACCGAATGGAAAACATGGCGTTGTTGGGCCGTTGGCCACAGCCCACCCCGCCGTTTTGAGGCTCTCCTTAATCCTCCGGTCAACATTCCTGGAAACCGGCAAGGATCTTTGTGTTGAGGATTGAGGATTGGGAATTGAGGATTGGCGAAGGAAGGCACGAGCCATGTGATGGAAGCCTTTGGAAGGACTCGCCTTGTTTCGGAGGCTGAGAATGAGCGGAGCTGACCGTTAGCGGCTTGCAGGGCTAGGTGCATAAGTGCGAAACAAGCAGCCGCCGTCAATTAGTTATCCCGACATCGAATCCGCCCACACATCCCTATTTCGACGACGCGTCGGCAGTGGGCATCAGCGAAATACTCTAGATAGCAAAACATCGTTCACAGTGCACACACAACGATGTGCGCAATAGGCGAAAACTGCTAATTCTGGCTAGCAAAAGGGACTGGGCGGAGCGGAGTGAGCACTGTATGTAGAGTGGAGTACCTTCGAGAAGGAGGAGGACGTGGACATGGAAATGACTCCGTTCCTCAGTGCATCCAGTCATTCATCCACTCGGAAATGCGCCGTTCTCGCACATTGTATGCACTCTACCTAGTTAGACGTGTCATCAGTCCCAAGGGGCCCGTAGGGAGTTGGCAATATTTTCGGCTCGATTCCGCACATCGGGACGTTCGTCCAGGTCCTCTCGAATTTACAATAGGTAAGTGTAAAGAACAACAGATGTGATCGGAGAGGCTGGGCGAGCACTGAGCACTGAGCACTGAGCGCAGAATCGCGACCGCCTACAGTGGTCGACATAGTCCAGTCCCTCCGTCCTGAGCCCTCGGACTGGACTGTATCTTGGCAGTCCAGTCCAGTCCGGACAGCGCTATGTCGAACACTAGAGTATGCGGCCTATGCGCTAATAGTAATTATTGCGTTCGGCCATTCTGTTCGGAACCTATGTATTGCACAAGGCTGGAGATAGGAGAATATGCAGAGCGGAGCGGGGCCGCACCTTTGGAGATCGAGATCTAGATCATCTCAGCGTTCTCCATAGTCCAGTCCAGTTCAGTCAGTCCGGACCTATGGATGGGGCTGGACTCCATACATCCAGTTCGTCCGGAGGTTTCTGTCGCACGGACTACCTAGTCCACCAGTAAGGTCGGACAGGACGGACTGCCAAGACTGGTACAAGGCGACAGAAATCACGATAGAAAGCCCGAGGCGTACTATCGGTGGTTGGAGTGGCGGACGGGAGTCACGGACCGACTACTTTTATCCGGTCCTCTAAAAGGCTCGGACGGGACTGGATTTTAGCAGTCCGCCCCGTCCGGACTGCAGTCTGGATCAGACTATGGAGAACACTGGATCGGCTGGTCAGCGACTCGGCTCGCCCCTTTCTTTCTTTCTTCCTTGCCCGTTCTCCTTACGAGGGGCAGGTAGAGTACATGCGTCATATGTACTCCATGTACATCAAATGGCTGTTGCACGTGACATTGCGACAAGGCTCCATCGCATTTTTCTCGCAAGCCTGGCCAATGGAACGCTGACGTTGCCACGTCAGACGTGCGGGCCGAGAGGAATGATGTGCAGCATGCATTGCAGTAACGAGGAGATGAAACGGGAGTGTGGGATGGTGGGGTATTGGGAAGAATGGAGGAGCAGAAGTGGAGTGTGGTTGCTCCCAACAGGATGAGGGTGGTTCGCAAGCTAGGTTGGCAGCGGAGATTACACATTATCGAGAAGGTAACGTACACTGAGCCCACGCCAGCGGCCAGCCAGAAGACACGGCGTCGCCATAGGTAGTAGCTTCAAGCTCTTCGGAGATGCCGGGCACATATATTGCGTATCCAGATGGATCGTGGCATTGGCTGGTTGGCCGGCGTTCGTGGCAAATTGGCTGACAATCGCAGGATCTCTACGACGACAGTGTGATATGTAAGGCTTTCCTGCTCGATGGTTCCTCTCAATGGCGGTCGGGTTCTGCCGACAGAGGACCCGGGGGGGCTATGCAAGCGGAGGAAGGAAGGGTATAAGACGTTGGTACATAGCCGCTCCTTTATCTGACTGGCCGAGGGCGGCGTGCTGGGGCGGACAGGGATCGATCAAACGTCCAACTCATATTCTTCGTGCCGGTCGGAATGGCATCAAGACCCGCCCCCTGCATAGGTAAGTAGAGTAACGTATTCGTGTTTGCGTTTTGGTGTGTGTAACTAACTCGCCTACGCCACACAATTTGCCACCATGGCGTGACAAAGCGAGGTCAGTCGAGGCTAGGGCTCTGCAGTGCTGTGTGCGACTTCCGACCTTTGTTGGGACGCCGTTCGCGGGAGTTTCGGGTCTGTTGCCTCGCCCAGCGTCTTAGATATCGGCCCGGGTGAGACTCGACACCTAAATAATCTGCGATATGAACGTTAGGGATCCGAACGTACGCTAGTGCTCAAAGCCCCCAGAATTCGCACTTCGCCGGAAAGAGGAGGAGCAGTGGAGTGGAATACGAGCCGTGAGCTCGAAAGCAAATATTTGCAGCGCACTTTGCGAACAGCCAGGATGATATATGGAATATGATTGTGGCGCCTCAACGATCGGTGCCTACATAGGTGACCTGAGGGGACTAGGCACCGACCCAGCTCTTGAAGTCGCTCCGAAGAAAATTACGTGCGTTGTTGTCCTAGTGGCTGTGGCTGTGCATGTTGCCGGTACTCCTCTAGGTAAGCAGGCACCGTGTTGTGCACACAGCACACACAGAAACTGTGCTCAGTGGACCTCAGGACTAAGCGGGCTTGGTGTCTTCCGTTGCATCGTGCTGGCAGGCAAAAACAAATATTTTGAGCAGAAGAGGTCGCGGTTCCAGTGAGAGTGTGCAGCTTTTTCTTTTATTCTTTTTTTCTTCATTCTTCTTTCTTCGTTGCATACCGCCACCCCACACTACTACCGCAGCAGAAGCCGGAGTAGAGCATCAGCAGTATCAGCAGCAGAAACATCGGAAGTCGAAGGAGCAAACATTATCCCCGATTTTGAAGTCGCCTGTAGGGGTCAGCCCGGTCGTTTCGACTTGTACCTCCATCGCGGACGACAACAACAGCAGCGCCAAAAGCCACTAGAAGTGGTCTATCGTCTCTCGTCCGCCCCCAACTTCACATCCACCACGTTGAATATCCGGTTCGGGCGCAAAAAGCGCGCCTTGCGCACATCGCAACAAGCAGGCCGCCCGGACTACCCATTCCGAATTGTATCCCCCATGGACTTGTATCATCCTCCCCCCCCGCGCGCGCACGACAGACCAGGTCCAGAGAGTGACCTAGGGCTTCCCACAGTGCGCACCTCCCAAGCCTCTAACAGCAAAACCCGTTGTGCGAACCAGCTTGGCAGACAGAACAGAGGGAGAACGTAACGGAGAGCGAGGTAGCGTGTGTATATATAAACGGCGTTTCCACTATAAATTAGCTTCAACACCACTACTGCACTTCAAATTAGCATCCTTTGTCAGATTCAACACCGACAGCTTCCAACACCACCACCACTTATCACCACCACTACACCACCGTCGCCATCCACCACCTCCTACTTGACTTCTTTTCCCTCGTGTTTCTCCCTTCTGCTCCGCCACCTCTGCCCCCAGCACCACCACCACCACCACCACTACCAGCGCCGCCTCCTCCCACCGAACAGTGAGTCGTCCACTACCCTTCTCTTTATAATCACTACCATCGTCTCCCCATACTCCTCCCTTTTGTCTTCTCGCCCATCACTTCTTTGTCCTCCACCTGGTGCTAACCCACACTTCGTCGCCGAACCAGACCGTCGCGACAACCCTTCCACACACACAAATCGAACCTCGACCTCGACTCCCACCCCGACCAACTCCCCACCCCAACCGACCACCATGCCCACCAACCCGCCCCCCACCAACCCACCCCCCACCAGCCCGCCCACCACCAACGCGCCTCCACAGGGTGTGTATGTACCCGGCTGGATTGCACGAGTGCCGCTTCCGGGTCACAACGACGCCGGCGACCGCGCTATGGAGCAGTTGAGGGAGTTCGAACGTCGGTACGGGTCGAATACGTGATCCTCCGCCAGTCCAGTTTTGGTTTCGGTCCGTCAGTGCATGCATACTAGAGGATTAGACGGGCGTTATGTGGTGTGTTCTTTGGTGACTGCTGTGTTCTTTGGTGGGTGTTGTGTCCTTTGGCGTGAGGTGTGTTCTTTGGAGGCTACTATGTTCTTTGGTTTCCTTTTGTCCTTTGGTTTCCTTTTGTCCTTTGGTTTCCTTTTGCGCATGTTCTGTTGTCGATATAGGAGGTCTATCGTGTCTCATTTGTATTGTATTTGCATTGTTATCGGAATAGATTATTGTTGCTTCTATGAGGTCAGACGTTAATCCCCCACGCTGCATAAAGTAAGGTGTTCGATAAGGTTAAATGTGCGGCCCCACTCGCCTCCGTCGATCGCAATGGAAACTACCGACACCCAAATAGAAGCGGTGCCTCATGATTGCTCGAGAATTCGCCGAAGGGAAAATAAAGTAGATCGGCGGAATAAAAAAGGTGTGTGTGTGTGCTCGGGCGATTACTTTGCGCCCAGTGCCGGGGAAAGGTTGGATTCCTGCAGCTGGCACTGGCATCAGTGTGTGGGTGTGACAGTCCTTTGGAGCGATATGATGCAAGATCATCGTGATAGGGTAGGGTATGGTGCCAGTAGTTGCATGATCATCTGGCACCATTCGTTCCATGCGGTACGGGTATTTGCTGAATCGTTCCATCGCCGTTCTGCTCGCGGGTCGGCAGATCCGTCCTGTAATTCTGCCTGATTAAACTCGGTACTCGGTTCTTGTCGTTTCCACACAATTTTCGCACTGCAATCACATTTCCTTCGCTGTCGGTGAATAATCCACTCACTCGTCGGTAGCGTTTCTTGCGACCGGCCCGGCCGGTCTGTATCTTCCACCCTCTCTCAGCTGTAGTTAGCTGGCATAGTGTCGCCAGTTCCGGTGCTCGCTCATTTGCCGTTATCCTACAAACTACGCTCCTTCTCCTCTCCGTTGTCTAAGTTTCTTCCATCGTGGAACAATAATTAGCCGTGTACGTATGGTGGATATCGATTTGGTCGTGGATCCCGGCTTGTTGGTCTTGCTTCCCCCTTCCCCCTTCTCGTTCTCCTTCCCCTTCCCCTTCCCTTTCCATCCCCCTCCTTCTCCAGCCCACTCCTATCACCCCACTTTCCCCACAACTTTACTCCGTTCCGCACTGACCGTTCCTCCCGCCCTCCTCCAACTGGCCACATTCATGGTATGCCGTATCGTTTGGTTCGTTGCTGATTCGTTCTTCGCTTCCCTCCTCATCCCACCTCCGCGTGTTCCCTCTTGCCCACCAGCCACCGGCCACCGGCCGTCGCCAACCCCTCTCCCACCCTACCCCCACATGCCCCCAACCTAACCACTCCATACCGTTCCCGCCCATCGGCCCTCCCCTCCCCTCCCCTCACCACCCCTCCCGCCCATATCCACGCTAGCAGCCAGCAATCCGGCCGAGAAATCCAGGCCCATCAAATATCCATCGCCGACGGGCCCATTCGGCTCGCGCATTCGAACGCAGTTGGGTGGAGCCGATACCGATGCCGTCCGGGTGATAATCGATGGACGAGACGCGAACCAGCTTTGAATCTTGCACTCGAGACGACCCAGAGGTAGCCTGTAGGAATGGATGCGGTAGTATTCTCAAGACCGGATCGCGAGAATATACGTCGCAGACGGAGGAAAGCGGTGAGCGCGGTACCTATAGATATTAGAAGTAAGTTGGGGGAGAGGGGGCTTCTCCTAAGTAATATACCGTGTGAAATATACAAACTTCACATGCGACGCGGACTCCCTGCCGTCAGTACATAGTTGGGTGAAGTCTGAAAAGTGGCGTCCCATGAAAACACTTGGTGTCGCAAGAAGGTTCCAAGTTCCAGGTTCCAACCGTTTCAGCCATGCGCCATCCGCCTTCTCGTCCCCAAGAATGCATTAATCGACTCGAGAGTCGAGAGGGTTGTATTCGCCGAGACGGCCGTAAAAATCGAGTTACTTGGTGCCAGAAGGATCTGGAAGTGTTGTTGGCATGTGCCAAAACTCGGACCCGGCCGGTTCTGTGTAGGTTAGCCATCGGCCGGCGGCGGACGGGGTGATACCTCGTGGATGTAATAGTCAGTCTCCGTTGTTTTCCAGAACGCAAATTGCAGACATCGAAAGGTGTCCACAAAGCCGAAGCAATCAGCCGAGCGGACCGACGGGACGAGAACGGTTTTCGAAGTTCCAGTGATAGGTAAAGCACCAGAATCAGAACCAGTGCATCCCGAGGACTCACGCCCGGCTCTTGCGGTCGGTCAGTCTGTCAGTCTGTCGCAAATCCGTGGATACGCAGGCTCAAACGACGAGTGCCGCCCTCCCCCCTCCCCCTCCCGCGCTCCTCCCTTTATACTCTGCCCAAAGCCACAAATAACAAAGGAAGGCTGTTCAGAGTCAGGTCAACTCATCCACGCGCACACTTCCATTCCTGTCCCTCCGTACATAGCTGCAAATTTCGGGGACTTTCGGGGACTTTCGGCGGGGGGTACATCATCTGCCTTATATCAGGCGAAAAACGGGATGCGCGCGTGCACGAGTGCGCCTGATGATGGGGCGAAGGCGCGCAGAGCTGAACGCCGCATGAGCCGCACGGCCGCGCCAAACCCAGCGTGGCTAGGCATCATTCCTCCGCCGCCGCGCGCACGCACGCGTCTATAAACGCGCCGCCAACGTACATACCGAGGCATGTTCTTGGGTGCGCCGGTGTGGCGCGGTGAGTGCGGTGTCGGCCAAAAAATTGCGCACGAAGAGTGAAGATGATGATGAAGTCGCGAGGATTGGTCTCTCGACGGGGCGCGGAGCCGCAGCGATAAATAAAATTTCGATTTCAAGCCGAGGGCTGGAGGCGGCTGGGAGATGTCAAAGCTGAGAGGGATGGTACGATGCGGACTCGACACGGACTGATTCGATTGCGGCCTGTGAAGACAGTCGGTAAGTCCGTAATTAACTCCTTTGAAGATTTGTAATCCGCTCGGAACGGAAAGCCTAACCACACCCGAATGTAAGCCCGTGTCTAGCGCCTTCAAGTGGCGGGCGAACTTGTTCGTACCGTGGGTAGCTGAATCGTGGTTTTGCTGCGGTGTTGATGGGAGTGGAGCTGGACAGGGAGCTCCAGAGTACTAGTAGTGTTGGCGAACCCATGTCCCCGAGGTTGTTCGAAGCCGAAGAAATATCGTGCCCACTTCCCGTAATGGCGCTGAGTACCTAAAGGAGAGAGGCCTGGCGAATTATAGGTTAACCAGGTAGCGTTTGAAACACAATAGAAGATGAACCAAGTTATGTAGGCACTTTGTATCGATAGACGCTGTGTAAAAGTAAAAGTAAAAGTCGGTGATGAGGAGATCTTCTGAGTCGATGCCCCCATGACGAAATTATGACACCTGTTGAATGAGTAGATCAAGGCACACAAGCCAATCACATGTGCCCTAAAGATGCAGACGCAGTATGAACGCGGTTCGCGGGAAACAAAAAATCGGGAGGGCGGTGAAATATGAGTTCAAAGCGGGGTCCGGGATAATCGTGGAGGGATGTGAGATCTGTACCCACATATCGAGCTGAACATTAGCAGCGTAGGCGTAGGATGACTGTGCAGTGTGTGCCACCGGAGGACGACAGCAGCTGTAGTTGTCAGGAGAGCTTATGTAGGTATATAGCTCTAAAGATGAGCACAATACACTGCATAAAAGGGAACCAACAATCTTCCTTACATGTGTATGCACGAAGCCGGCACTGGCATGGGCTATCGCCAACTGCATCTTCAACTTCCGGAACTTTAGTTCGGGCCATGTTCAGCCTACTCGCGGTATAACATCCGTTTTTGGTGCCGGTTCTGTGTACGAAAAGGTTTGCTACAGGCTCCACGAAAAAGAAAGTTTGGTGACACCCTGGCGTTTGCTCACCTTACCACCAACGGCTGTTTGCAGTTGACAGATGCAGACCTCGATGGCACAGGCTTGAGGTATTGCTGGTGCGGGATACAGCCGTTCGCAGCTGCATTTGCCGGTATTTTAGCACCGGTATGGCAGTCGAGATCGAAGAACCAGGTACCTGGATAGAGTGTTCCGAGTGATAGACCATGCACATAAACCGACTTCTCAGACCTGAAAGAGGATGCTCTTCAATATATAGGCCGTCCTCGGAGCCTCATGGCTCCACATCTTTGAGCAGAATAAATGATTGGTTGCCTCAGAAACGCACATCCCATGAATCACCTGTCAAACGGGTGTTACGTGGGCTCATCGAGGCATACCTATCCCGGTGCCGCCCCTCTGGAAAACCGTGCCTTCCCCATGGGCGCAAACAACGAATTCAGGCCATTGCGCTGATATGTCACATATGACCGTGTAACCCATCCGCGCGGTCAGATCTCAAAGAGCTGGGTACTCTTGGCCGCGGAGAATTACTACCTACCTTGTGCTTTACATGTCCACCAATCGGATGACCCACATTCACAGAATTACGATGGAAAGCAGTACGAAAACTTGGGATACGATTTAGTACATGGATAGGATTTTATACACTGTCTATGCCCGCTGCCGATGCCGTGTGCTTACGGACACCCCGGTTCCGTCAGTTCTGGATCGGCCCCGGGACTCGGGCACCGGCCTTCAAGCATCCCGAACGCTAGGGCACCCGGTTTTGTGAAAGCTTTGGAACACTCATTGTTGCTGGGAGGAATAGGGATGTCAAGGTGTACAGGCCTCTTGTGGGCGACCATTACCGGTGAAGATGATCTATATATGTAGGTAGGAGCGCGGTGCGCAAGGAACCGAAATAGACTGCCCGACAGATACGAGAGATGTTTAAATAATGGGCACGACAGCAATTAGTGGATACGAAGGCTGCGCATTCTGGTATGTGACTAGGAGACAATTGGCGAGTAGATACTCCTCCAGGGCTGCATTACTATTTATGTGTACTAGGCCGAGCTGGCATACTAGTTCTGGTGATCACAGTCTGGTATCTGTTCGCCTCGTTCGCTATCGAAAGAGTCAAGGGATCGATCGAACGATGTGTGAGAAAGGTCCTTGCCCCTGCTCAATATGAAGATATATAGCCCACTTGTGCCAAAGTCTCCTCCTGATGATAGAGAAGCCGTTCAATTACGTGTGGAACTTCCCCTTAGTACAACAATTAAAGTGACATTACACGCAGCGATGGGTCCATTCAAAGGCAAAGCACAGGTCCAAAGGAACGAAGTTCACAATCGGGGGAAGCTCGCCTCCGCACCGACCTACACCCTCAATTACAGGCCATTTATCCGCCTCAAACAAGACAGTGGGGTGGAACTGGACGTGTGTAGGGCCATGATCTGATACGGTGGAAAGCTATGATGATCAAACAAACCTTCGCCGGCCGCCTCACACCCAAAAATGATCACTACAGGGGTCGAACCTGTGACCTTGGCGTTGCATACTAGATGTATTAGCACCACGCTCTAACCAACTGAGCTAAGCGACCGTTTGATAATAGGTCCATCGGTGATTGCTGGTGAAGCCCTTTACCAATCGATTCTCAGGAACATCAACCGTTTGACTCGCGAGTACATACATCGTTGTCTCGCATCTTCCTTTCACGCTCCAAAGCAACCCGTAAACCGCCGGTTTTATTCCATTCCATCCTGTATCGTATGTAGCTCAACCAAATGCGCTCTGCAGCGAGTAGTTGATGATCAGCTCATCCGCCGTCTTGAAGCTCTGTAGGATAGTAAGTACCCCCCATCAATGTCAAAAATCCATCAACTCGGGGAGCGGGGGAGGGGCAGGAGGGAGGCGTGAATATACACTCCACAGATTCCCGACATTCTCGTCGAGGGCCGGCATGAAGCTCCAGTTGACGTAGAGCAGCAGGCTCTGCTCGGCGCCCAGTTCTAGCTGCTGGCGCAGGAATACGACCACGTTCTCGAAGCGCTGCGTGGTTTTGATCTTGTACGTGTCCTTGTTGAGCACGGGCGCGTTGCCCATCGCTTTGAACTTCAGCGTCACTGCGCGCGCGCGAGAGGTGTCAGCAAAATTGGGGGCGCGGGGAGGGAGGGGGGCTGTGTAATTGGGGAGGGGGGGTCGGAAACGGACCTTTGGTCGGCTTCGGATGCGACGCGGCGTCCAACGCGAGCTTGCCATCGCGCGGAAGAGCCGTCAGGACCACGGACGCGGTGAGCGTTATCGGCAGGTCGGGCGACACGTCTTCCGGGATCTTTGGGAGGTGCGGCGGCGTTGGCGTCGGGGTCGACATCGTGTGTGGAGGGGCTGGGGTTTGGGGAGCTACCTGAAGCTCTGCCGACGCGTAAAGGTATGGAGGGGTAGAGCAGTGCGCGCCAAGACGCACAATGTATCACTCGGGAGATAGCTCCCACTGGGAAATGCCCCTAGTCGGTCAATTAGATTCCACGCCTATTCAGGCACTGCCGTGCTTGGAACGCAAAGCTGGACACACCCTGGCCGGATATCGAGCTTGTGACCGTGGAAGAGCACAACTGAACGAGAATTGGAAGTTGGAATCCCTCTCGTGGACCCGAGATGCAGCCGCACTGCCCCGGCAATGCTGGCCTACCTTCCCGTACAATATCAATGTCGGCTAGTTAGTACCCAAGCGGTGGATGCTAGGGAGTCAAGCAGCGCGCTATCAGGGATTGATGACGGAGACTACAGACAGAGCCTTCCGAGCTGCCTTTATGGCGTGAGAGGACGTGAAGGTATAGGTATTCATTGAGTCTGCCACTAACTATCGTGTATATTCCTTGGTGCGTTCTACTGTCTACTTTGTTGTGATGTCCAGGCAGAGACGGGAGAAGCGAGGGCGCAACTGTCTACATCCAACCGAGTAGTCATCCGGATAGTCGACGGAATGAGGGGGAGTGTGTGCATGCTGTCATAATCCACTCTAGCTGGGGCTGCATGCAATTAAATGGCCAAAGTTCAACCAGAAAGAAGAAACCTAGAAAAATTTTGAATTCCACGCGAGGGGGTGTCCTGCCTACTGTGACAAATCGACCATAGCTCTGGGCCAATATATGTAACTATGTCTCCGGGCGACTTCAGGAATGCGCCGTGGCCCGTAGGGGGATCACACGCACGGTCCCGGAATCCCAGTGCAGCAGGATACTGGTAGCTCGGGCGGGCCATAGAAGCTTGATCGCAATAGACAAGCCAACGATTGACCATGATGCAACTCAGAATCTACGTTAGTCGTGGACTACGGGGAAACTTACTGGAAAAGGGCAGTTTTCTTTCCACCGGTGTCCTCTGTACGGTAAGCTTCACGATGATTGAAGTTAATTCCTAAGCCATCAAATAAACATCACTCTTGATGGAGCTTATTCGCAGTAACGATAAGAATGCAGCCAGTCTTTGGGGGGAATCAGTGGGTGCAGTGGCGGCTCTGGACGAAGAATTTGATATTTGCAACGCGCTATATACTGAAACTTTGGATCGTCTACGGAAAGTCTCACGTGCGGGTTGTAAAGACGGTCCTTCTCCCAACGGTATGTACTCTAGGCCATTCCTAAGCTTCAAGACGGCAATCTTTTTTCCGTCGTAAGATCATCCACGATGAAAACCCAATCAGCTGGGCAGGACTTAGTCCAAGAAAGTCACCATAAAGCGCCCAAGGGAGGGGCGGAGTGAATCCCCGCATCAGTCACCAACACCATGGCGATGCAGTACTTCACGATGGAGATTCCCGCGCCAGTCACGACGTCGATAAGGCCGACGCGGCCGCCACCCACTCTGCGCGCCAAAGTCAGGCGTGCATGCCACACGTCGTACTCCCCGACACAGCTCGTGCTCCTGCTATTCACGGTGACCGCCATCCTCGTCATCGCCGCCGTCATTCCGTGGACACTCTACTGCGTGTGCGCAACCCGCAAGTTCCAACTGCGCATGTCGGCCTCGCCGCTGGAAACGTACATCAACCCGCGCTCGTCGTTGGCTGCGACTGGCCCCGAGTACTGCAGGCTGTTTAGGGGCCCCACGGGCCTGTACAGCTTGAAGTGTAGAGATGGCGTGGGCCTCGACGCAGTCTATGCCGGCCAGGGAGGTTGCAAGGCGCTTGCTTATGGGCGCGATGAGTGGTGGCAGCCCGGGAGGTGGTGGGTGATTGAGTGCGATGGTCCGGGCGGAAAGGTGCTAGGTGGGATCAAGGGTGGGAAGCCGTGGACGGAATGAGGGATGCGGGAGGGCGCCGGGGAATGGCGGGGTTTGAGTGACACTTGGCTCTGTTATCTCTGTATCTAGGCGTCTGTTATTCGGATCGAAACCGTGTAACGTTGCATCTCCAGCGGTGACGGAGTAAATGTATAGATTCTAGATTCTAAAATTCATGTTTTGCGCCTCCGTCTGCAGAGTCCGTTACGTTATTGTTTCAAGTTGCATTCACTCGCCCCTCTCCGCGCAAGACGTCGGAGAGAGCGAGTCCGTCGATCGCGTTCGATGACAGATAAGTCTTGACTCACCGCTGTATCTTCGTTTCCACTTCCCCGCGATGCACCGCCGTCAAGGAGTCTCACGAAAAACAAGACGATGCACGCACTCCCTCTCCACGCAAGACACATCAGACCACCTCACACCATCCGCACGAGATTCTTCCCCTGTCTCCACTGTTTCATCGGACTGGGCTAGATATGACTCTTCTCTTCTGCAGCTTTCGAACTTCACGCAGACAAGATTTTCACGGCCGTCGGTGCCGATGTCTTAGACACTCCTCTTGCGGCTGCAGTATGGTACGGTGTCTATCTGCACCGTATGGTGCAGCCAAACATGCACTTCCGACGAGAAGATGGTGTTGGGGTACGCATCGACAGCAGCCAACCGTCGCTTCTGAGTTCTGTCGCGTCCACCAACCACAACTCTGAGCGCGGAAACGTAACGCACACTGCACAGCAGTTGCTGACCGCAGGCGCCACCGGACGGCGACCTATTCCTGCCAGATCCGCGCAACGATAGGTGTGTGTACAAAGCCTAGCGATAGGCCCACGGGGAGGGAGCGCTGCATGCTGCTGAACGTCAATGCAGGAACCGGAAAACGCAGCGGCCAGGACTGTGTGTGCAGCGTGAGCGTGCACGAAGTTGGAACCGGAAGGGGGACGATGCCGGATGATGTCTTCCAGACGGGAGGCAGGTCTACCTATACCTTAGTATACCTTACCTAGTAGGTAGTCAGGTGCCGATTGCTATACGAGAAGAAAAAGAAGGGAAGAAAGGCCTCGTCTAGCCGCCGAGGCGCACTTACCTACGATAGACCGACTCCGCCAGGCGTCCACACGAAACTCCAAACGTGTTTCCGATCTTCCCATCCCCAGGCTTCCACGCCGTGCAGAAAAAGTGCCTGACTTTCCGAGCAGCAGCAGCGACGCATGACAGATTAACTAGGTGCATGCCCCGCATGACGCACGCAAATATGGCGAGCGAACGGGTGGGGGCGCTATGAGTACCATTGTGGGCCCACAGCAACCGATCCCGACGCAGCCCGCGTGCGCAGTAACTATAGTGCCTACCGTAGCGCGAGGAGTTCTCCATGGGTTATTGGTGTAGATAGGTAGTTTTTGTATGTATCAGGTACCTATGATACATAGTTGTTCTTGCGTGAGAGCTCACTGGATCACGACCACACGGTCGTGGCAGTGCTACGGTACATCTATATGTGCCTTACCTACGTACCGGGCGATGACTGGATGACTGGATACGATATGAAGCGCACGAACAACTTCCGTCTCATACGAACACGGATCAACGGCAAATCTACAAGCCGGCGAAGCTTTTGTAGTAACAATAAGAAGCCGCCGTCATCTCATCCAACTTCTCACCCATCACCCAGCTCACCCATCGCAATCGAGTACTCACATACAGACAGACAACCCAACCAACCAATAACCGGACTCCGAAAAAAAACAACCAACAGCAACGATGTGTTTCGGATCCTCTAGCAAGAAGGCCAACGATCCCAACAACACCATGTCATATGGCCCCCGCAAGCCACCGGGAAGTACCGCGCAGCCTGCAGCCACACCGAAGAAGAAGAAGCAAAGACGTCGTTACAGTGGCGGCGGCGGCGGTGGGGGAGGTGGTGGTGGTTGGGGCGGTGATAGGTAAGTCCTTTCGTACCCCCCGTGAATTGAGCAGTCGGCTTACTCTCGCATAGCGGCGGAGGAGGAGGTGGAGGAGATGGCGGAGGAGGGGGCGGAGGAGATGGTGGTGGTGGTTGTTAGGGATGCTTGGGATAAGCTGAGGGATCATAGATGGAAGGGGGGGGGGGGGGGGGGGGTGTCTAGATACAGGGTTGCTGCGGGTGTTTGGGATAAATCCTGGTTGTTGTACCTAGAAGTTGCACACGGTTGGAATTTGCTTTTCTCTTAATATGGCTGGCCGTTTGCACAGCCAACAATTGCTGTCTCGTGAGGAGAGGCGGAGAGAACACACATTTCTTGTTGCATACCTGCGGCCTATCTGGACTAGAGTGGGAACTGTGTTGTATGGCGAACAGTGACCACAAACCCGCCTTCCCTGCCAGCTCCGCCTAGATGTATGGATTGATGGAGGGAAAGCCCTGCTCCCACGACTTGTGAGGAGTTCGCATTCCGCTCTCCGGGACGGTCGGATCGCGATCTGGGAACTTACAAGCGGGTGGGTAGGTAGAGTTCCGTATGCGTATCGCACTCATGTTGAGGTCTTCTGCTTCTTCTTCTTCCTCCGCCTCGCACGGCAACCACCGGTACCTAGATCGTCATAGAGTACCGTACCTACTCACTTTGTGGTAGCACCACGTGAGACGAGACCCCCGCCCAAGTTCCAACAGCCCGCATGAATTTTATTTTGCAATTGATTTAATTTTTGCCATCGGCCTCCCCGCCGCCGCCGCCGCTGCCGCGCGCTGATTGACTTGCTGATGCAGTACGGTGCCCCGGTACGGTACACAGCGCACATCGGCTTGTTTCTTTCGAGATTTGCCACCCATATGCAAGTGCCGGCCGGCCAGCCAGCCTCGCCGCGACGGAGCCCTCTCTACGGTCTGCGGTCTGCCCGTGCCGTATGAGTTAGAGTACTATAGGTATCATCACTTCGTCCCCGAGGCTTCAGGGATCAGAGGTTTGATATGTGACGAATCATGACACCTGCCGCCGATAGTGTGCGACTCGCCAGAGGTCCTTACGTCATGACAAGTTTCGCGCAGAATATAGTACTGGTGGGTGCACACGGAGCCATCACTCTATCACTTTGAAAATGTGACGAGAGCACTCTGTTGGTGCGGGCCTGCGGGAGGATCTCCAAGTGCTGGGGAAGTTCCACAGTGCTCTAGGTATCTAACTTCTAGCCAATTACAAGCCAGCGAGAATCGGAGATCATTGGTGTCAGATCTGCCCCGTTACCTACTTTGTTGGAAATCCTGCTAGCGAAATATAGCTAGGGGCATTCAATCCTGGGACGTTCCTCCACAAACACTCTTCCCACTGGCACTGGCACTGACACTCTATTCGCCCCGAATCTAAAGTATGTAGAGTACCTGCGGTAGCTCAATCCTCCATGCTGGTGTAGAGTACCGTATGGTATAACCCGCCTCCTTACGGCTCCCCTACGAATATCATACGTTGAGTAGATGCGGTACCTATGCCAGGCCCTAGCATTTTTGCGCTAGCTCGTTGACACAGGACCATGTCCCCTCATCTCCCACTCGGTGCTCTAGCTCAAGCTCAAGCGCAGAGCTCAAGTGTTGAGCTCTGGATCACCAGGCCGAAAAGTTTCCTGCATGAGGCTTGAGTCAATGGAATACCTACTACATATCATACAGTAGTATAGTTACCTAGGTGTGAAATAGTAGCGCGGGTAAGAGAGAGAAAGCACCGTCATACATAACTGGAGCACCCACCTATCCATTGCATACCTGACAGATACTGGAGATTCCCACAAAAGCCATGGGGGCCCCGGTGGTCTGGCCCCTTAACCGTTCCACGACTCTTCCTTCCTTCCTTCCTTCACCCCCCACCCCACCCCCGGAGAATTACCCCCCCCGGATCTCAAAGGAATTGAGAAGGTTGGTGGCGCACATATGCAGAAGACTTTTGAACAGCATATGTACATATGCAGAAGACTTTTGAACAGCATATGTACATATGCACTCTACTCTACATAGAGTAGAGTGTCTGTTACATATTTTCCCGGCTGCAGGATTCGCCGTTCGGTGCGTGTGCGTGTGCGTGTGCGTGTGCGTGAGGTTTGTTTTTCGATTGATTTGTGGAAAATGGGGGTGGGGGCCGACTTCGACTCTCCGAGGCGTGAAGCCTGACCTACTTGGTAGGTACTTGATACTTGATACTTGGCTGTGTACACTGCACATAGCTTAGATTCGTAATTTGTGTCGAAGAGAGAGACATAGATCCGCCGATGGACGGATGATCAGACGTACACATGAAGTACCTGGTATGTACTCTACTAGTACAGTACCTGACTGATTTTGACAGCCCGAAGAGTCCGGAAACGATTCACCGCACAGCAGAATCTTGACGTACCCGTAAGTTACAGGCCTTGTCGTGTTAGTTAGAACCGGTGGAAATGAGCATCTATGTAATCCCGGAAGAGAGAGGGAGAGAGAGAGAGAGAGAGTAGTGCGCCCCCCGCCGCGCTCCCGCCCCCACCCTCGAGGTGTAGATCATTGCCTACCAAGATCCACAGGTATATACCCATATCCTCTGAAGGCTGAAGCCCACTACTAGTACTCTACCCTAACCGGAATCTACATAGCCATACCGGTATGTCAGGATTGTGAAGGAGCGGCGGTGGCGCGCGCGGAACGGTAGATAACGTATTTGCACTTGGGACCGCATGTAGAATACGAAGTTCGAACCCGTACAGGAACGCGGTGATGTCGGCACGACACGACACGACACGCGGCCGCGCCGCCAGGTTATACTCTACAGGACATACAGGACATACAACGGGAGCTTTGCTCTGCATGCACCGATAGGTACATTCCATACCCACCACTTTGACGATTATTGGGATATCTATGCCGATACGATCGATTTGACGGGGCGGGGGTGGTGGGCGAGGGCAGGGTACCGGTAGATCCAAGTCATCAGATCCTCGGCTGATTTGGGATGGGCACCGTAGTATGTGGTACGGTATGAAGAACGTCTCGTCGAGTTGGAGGGAGAACCTCATCTCACTCCCTCCAAATTGCAGTGTCAAATTATATACAATTGCCGACTTAAACGCACGGATGTATTCGGGTGAATATCTACGTACTTGGGCAAGTGTCGGTGCTTAGTAGTTACTCTCTAATAGAGTTGTGAAAGCACTTGATTCGAGAAGATGTTAGTGTGCTGATGTGGATGATCCTCCGCAACCCCCCCTCCAACTCGTTTTGGGGGCCGGGGACCGTGCACGCCTGCGACTCAGACCAAAATATTGTCTCTGTACTTTTGTATCGATCGAAAAACCAATGGTGGTTGCGTGGGGGTTCATTATTCCTGCGAAAGCTACGAGGTGGCTGGCCCGAACGGCCATCACGAACGGCTGTCCTCCGGGCCAATAACGAAACATCCGCTCACAGTTGACACCCGACATGGTTCATCGGCCTTTTTTGTTGCTGTTATCTCCCTAACACACGCCTTCTCACCGCCAACAGGTCATCCGGCCATGAGAGCCGGGAGATGAAACTGTTGAGGAACAAAAATAAAGGCGGGGGCGGAAACCGAGCGGTGAGGGAGGAGGAAGGCAGCTACCACTGAGTGGAAGTATGGACTAGGTACCTAGGATGTAGCGGAGTCGGAGGCGGTGATTCCACTGTGAAACCCGAAACACTGTTCTCTTGCCGCATTGCAACTGCTAACCACATGTGCATACGACCTTGACGCCTTCGACCCTGCAAACCTAGGGTTAACGTATGTACTGGTACATCTTCACCCAGGTCTCATCTGATGAACGACAGCGGAGCAGCAACGCCTGCCCGCAAAATTGTTCCACCCCAAAATGTTGGTAACGGGTGCTCCGGCGCGTTTCGAACCGACACACTCCAGGAGCATTAGCTAGGGCCCAGAGTTGGTTGAACCGCCGATTCAAACGGTTCGATTCGGACCCGTAATTTCTCTAAATCCGCATTGGATCCGCATATACCTACTTCGTTGTAAGAGCGTGCATGTCAGCGCTGGATGATGGAAAAATGACGAGAAGAGTTGCCAAGCAGACAACACCTCTTCCCTGTCACTAATCAGGACCCTCCGCCTCTTCGCCCGAAAACACAACGCGCCCGCTGCGAAGTACCCCTTTGTTTCACTCGAGTTCTTCTGATGAAGACCAAGAATGACACTTGATTGTATGGACTCAGAAAGCAGGCAGACATCACGCGCATAGCCTAGCCGACCTTCGCAACCCACGCGCAGCCAAAATCCATCAGGAGCTTGAGAACTGCCAGATGTTCGTGAGATCTCAATGGAAATGACACGTGTCGGGGAGAGAGCTTGGAAGGGAGGGAGGTGAGCAAGAAGGAGGGCGAAGAGGAATAGCGAGAAGGTGGAGCGGGGGGAGGGCAGGAGGGTACAAGGCCCTGGGCCTGGGCCAGGACGAGAGCTTTGCCATCCTTTGCTTCCGATAAAAAGAACCCTCCCCCCACAGTGTCTGCTGCCTTCTCTCTTCCCTATTTCCCAGATGCAACCCACTCTCACTCTCATATCCAGCTAGCGAACGCCAACTAAATCCTCAGAGACCCAGCGCTCTTTCCTTCAAGTTCCGGTCCGGGCAGAATTGTCACTCCTTCTCCGCCGTTGTCTTCGCTCCGGGTCCGCATTCTCTCCACGCCGCGAGTCTGAGTGCTAGAGAATCACCAACGTTCCAACTCCGATTATACCGCCGAAAACTTCGACGGCATGTGCAAAGCATATCCGATGGCTGGCGCGTATGTAATCCCGTTATCGATGTCATCTCCGTATGTCGCCTGACGAGTGCAAAGCGTTTCCAACAGCGGGAGCGGTCAAGACATGGGCAATTCCCCCAGCAATAGCGGCAGTAACAATCAAGTGGCCCAATCGAGACCAATCTCTTGTGCCGGTTGGGTTGAGAGGGTCTATGTCGTATGTTGCGAGCGGTCATCAGTGGAACTCAACGCATGCTTGTCTGTCCCAAACGAAATATACGGTCTACCGCCGTCACCTCCATCTTCTACCCCACCTCCTCCGCCACCTCATCCCTCAGCCCCAGGATCCTCTGCCAGCAGCGTTGCGTCCAACTCGATTGCATCTGCTCTTCATCCCCCAACGGCCAAGCGGAAGTTGGCAACACTCGATCCATCCGAGAACCCTCGCAGCCTCAAGAAGGAACGCCATGAATGACGCGGCTTCATGACTGGACCTATGCGATATATCATGACATGATTGGCATTGACTTCGAGTCCAATGGTTGTTCGAGGGCAATTGTTAACGTGTGGCGTACAGCTTTTTCTCTTCGATTCCTTCCTTCCCAATACTTCGTCGTCCCATCGCCGTCGTCCAATAATTTCGGCTTCATCGTCATCCTTTCGCACGCTACCACCGGCCCTCCACACGTTCCCATGCCTCTCTCCCTTCAACGCCGTAAAAACATCACGAAATCATGTTTATTTTCCCCCGCGATCCGACACGCGACATTTTTTCTCTCTTCCACCTCATTTCCGGCTGGCTTTCCGAATTATGTTGTTCGTATCAGTCGTCGTATAATAACTTATGTATAGTTCGTTCGTATCCGTTTGTCGGAAGCTTCTGTCGATGATGTGATACAGATCAACTTCTTTTTTTTCCTCCTCTTGTTCTGCGGCATATGTCCCAAAGCTTTTATTTGTATTTACTTAGAATTTGTAAATACAAATAGATTATCTTCACACTTGAAATGCTGCATGGGAAGCACTCACATTCAGTCCAAGCGACTGTAGAATTTTTCGGTGCGGCTGAGCTGGAGATCCCTTTGATTGCGCTTCATGCAGGAACACACCCGTCAGCACGCACACATTCCTTTGGCGGTTGCCTAGGTACGTAGGCGGCGCCTGCAAAAGTATTTGTGTGTCGCAGCATCCCCTTCCTCCAGGCTCCAAACTTCGGACAGACACTGAACCACCGGCCCCACGACTTTTTTGCTGTCGCTCTGTATCGGACGAACACCACCGAGAGCGCCCTTTTCCCCAGGCGCGAAGCGAAGCCGTGATGTTTATCCCTGTCACCTGGATCTCGACGCTCTAACTGGCCTGTGACAGATCTCCCTATAGTACAGCTATCGAACTGTATTGCGACCGGCCTCTTCGAGAGCAACCGAGAGGAGTCGGTCCGCCGACGGAAAGCGTGAGCTATAAATCGCACTCCCGAACAGGCTCTTCCATGAAAAATATCCGGCTTCTTTGGTCCTTCCTTCGGATTTTGCCGTGGGTAGGCCGATCGGTTGCTACATGCCGGCCCACGTCGCCGCCACCACACCTTCGACGATCGTTCTCGATGATTGCAAAGAAATAACCCGGATCGAACTCGGCGGGAGGAGACGAGAACCATTACTGGATTTGAGGAGGAATCTCGACGTACGCGTTCGCTTCGCGCGTGATGAGGGCAGAAAACTCGACGGTCGGACGACGAGGTCTTTCTTATAGGGCGGCGGGTTCCTCGCCTCCTTCATGCGCACGTCGATCCAGCGAGCATCGCCGCACTAATATCTCGCGCCACCTCCGGCATGGAATTCGGATGGTGGCTACTCAGCTAGTGGAAATCCGCCACGTTAGTTATGACGACTGCCACCTACTATGGAAGAACGTGGACTGTTCATTCCGATTGCCCACGGTCGCCCGCCCAGTCGGAATGTTCCGGCCAAGGATGGAAGGTCGACGATTGGAAGAAGTCGTCGTCGAACTCGCGAATCCACTGTGGCTATGATATGGCTCCGCTCTCATGGTTCATTCTTAGCTCGATCCAGTGATGCCGATCGGACTTCGTGTTGGCTGGGTTGCATGAACTCTATGCCGGATCCGTGCGTCTAGCAGGTTGATGGGGATTCTTTCGGGTCTTTACGGTCAGAAAGTCGCTCCGCGCCAGAACCTAGGGCAGCTCCGGTCTTTATACTCCCACCTGACGCAGGCCTTCCGTGACATGTGCGAGTCTCGAAACTCAAAACCGCATTGCGTTCCGAAGTTGTGCAACTGTGCGGACCCGTTCTTGTTCACCCGTTACACTCGGTGGAGGCAAGGCAAGGTGCACGACTGACTGGCCCCCCACTTTCTTTGGTGGAAGCCTCGAGTCCAAGAACACTGTGTCGCATTCTTAATAGTCTGGTGGTGCACAAACCTCTGGAATAACGCTCGTGGAGATGTGCCCACGTCGCTGCCGGATTACGCATGCTAGCGACTTTGAAATTTCGCGCTCGCTGGAAGTCGAAGCCCCATGGCGTGTCGAGGCGCTAGGTTTCAATGGGACGATGTGATCGCTTTTTTCTGTCCAGCGTCGATGGAATTTTGAATCCGGCCATTCGAAACCCTTCCATCCTATCCAAGATGACCCGATACATGTTCTGTGCTGAGGCTGGGCATCAAAGTCTCCGTCAGACGTTCACGAAAGGATACCGGTAGGGCAGCATCGATCACCGCCACTCACCCGTTCGTCCGTTCAGGTGAAGGGGCTAGAGTGACCGAATCGTTCCCGTCGAGTCGGCGGCAGTAAGCGAGCCTCTTTGTCGAGCGAGATCCGACTGTGGGTGGCGATTTTCGATCCTGCTGGGAACTGCATGCTACAGCGATATTCACTCGCAGGTGAGCACACCCGATCTCTCGTGTTGTGCAGCAACAGTCCGGAAAGCGAGGAGATGGCGCATTCTTAATTGCTGGGGAGTTCGGCAGTTTCGCGGCAATAGTGTTTCCCCCTCGATGCAGCGAACCATTGCAGCTGTTTCGTGTATACGGGGGGGTTCGCCGAGGGAACAGTAGATGCAACTGGTCGACGCATAGGGTGGGTTTCCTTATCCGAATTAATTCTCCGTAGCGTAGGTCGTTCCTGCATGGTACCGGATTGACAAAGTCCCACAAGATGGGTGGGAATCAATTTGCTTCTATATAAGCGCGATCTTCAATGCCTTTTTCTCGGGTGTGATAATGATAAAGGCCCGACCCTGTCAGTTCAGTTCGGTGTAACATCGCAAAGGAATCTCCATGAAACCATTTCGACTTTATCCAATAACAGCCTGCCCCTCGGAAAAATATACGAAACGATCAATCATGATTCAACTCCCAGTATCTTGATAGTCTCATCTCGAGGAGGAGCTCGAAACACAAAATGGCCCCCACGCTATCTGTAAGGCTTCCGTTTCCGTACTGTGATTGGTGGACATTAATGGTAGGGAACACAGGTTAATACCGGCCATGGACACCAAGGTCTCGTGTTTCCAGGAAGCCGACACAAATCAACGGGCCGCGAATGACTAGAAGGGATGCGCATGCTGTCTCCCACGTGGTTAGCGATGGTATCTTCCATGTTTCCGCTGTGTTCCGGAAAAAGTTGTGTGGGCCAATGGTAAGATTCGCATGAGCTGTGTGGCTATGGCTGGGGTGGCCGGACAATGGTGGTGATGGCCGGGCAATGGTGGTAGTGGCAGAGGTGGAGGTGGACTGTCGAACAACCGTCCCTCGCATCGGCGTCGTTGACACTGGCCGAAACATGGGCTGCTTTGGCTGTAAAAGCTTCCGGGTTATGTAGTCCTTCCCGCACAACAAACGGAATCGGACATCGGAATCGGACATCGGAATCGGACGCGACACGGCTGATGGTGACTTTTCGAATTGTTGATGGTTCATTCGTGGATTATCCGACAAGAACCGGCCCTTTTCGCCACAACCGACCGTGGCAACTCGACGAATGTTGGAGGAAGTCGTATCTACCGGATCGAAACCGTCGCTGTCGGGGAGCGGGGGGGAGGGGGTCGCGATGTTGATATTTTCGCAACATAAGTCGTGGGCCGTTGTTATTGTCATGGTAGTTGGTTAGAGGATTGGAGTGGTATTTGGCTTGAGTTCCACCGTGGAAGAGTCTTCAGGCGATGAATGAAAGGTTGGAGAAAGGACGGGACGCGAGGCGAAGATTCTAGTCCTATTGCGCACGGCCTCCAGTTCAGCAACTACCGGCCGTGCTGAAAAGAACCAAGCTGCAGCCACCGGAATACGATCGACAAAAAGGACTTTGCTTCCGTCGCAAGTCGTTCGTAACTGCCGCAATCGCACTATTTTGGAATCTCGATGTGGACCCCCAGCTCCTTAGCCCCAAGTGCATAAGTATCGAGATACAACCAAGAACTTGCCTACCTATCATAAAAGGCTTCGACGACAGCCAACAAAGCAGCCATAGGGACAAACAAGTAGCAATAATTACCGGTATGGCTGGTGAGTTGAGGATGCCGAGACACCGCTGATGTCGAAAGAAAGAAACCGACAATTGTTCAGACACCATACCCAGCAGGACTCGACGCCTTCCGCACACGCCTATAAAGGTAAGTTTTGACAATCCGAACCATACAATTGCCGCGCTTATGGGTGCATTGGGGTTGCGGTCTGAGTCCCTGCAGGATGCATCGCATCAAATATTGGCGACCCGTGTAGTGCACGCAGTCTGCTCTTGGAAGCTGCAGCCCGTAACTACCTATTCCACCCAGGACCGACGGTGTTCGATGCGTATAAATACTCCATGTATGGTACACACCTTCTGCTTCTCCCCAGAGACGATATGCACTTATAGTACATACAACCACCGATGCAAGGAAGAGCTGGGGTGAATAAGGTGAGACAATATTCGCCCTACACGTGGGTCCGCAAGATACGAGTATCTGTGCAGCCTCATCTGGATTGATTGGGTTCCGTGAGGAGTCGGAATTGACCGCGCATCGCGATGAGTGTTCCGGATCATCTACTGTAGGCCACTAGTTAGTCAGTGGGGGCGGCATTGCGACAATCGATGGTTACCGGTGACCCGATTCTCAGAGAACTATGTATGCACATATGACATGCCTACTGGAACTTTGTGGAAAAAGCAGTGCGGTGAGGAGTGATGCGGGACGACGTACCTATGATACCTAGCTTGATGGGATAAGCGAGGGCTGCGACGTGAACAATCAACAGCGGAGTGGTGTCCGCGGGCTGTCAAAGCTGGTCGCCGACGAACATGCGATTGTAGTTATGTATGCTGGGTTGTGTCACATGTGTGTAGGAGCTCCGCCAATTGGTACAAGTTTTCTAGAGGAGTGAAACCTTTGCCCAGGCATCTTCCTGAAAGGAAAAGAAAGTGTTTGAATTCGCTCAACTGTCTCGCGGAAATTTGTGGAAACCATAAGGTATTTCTTCCCATGACTGTGGTCAGCATCGAGTACACCCACATCTGTATTTGGCTGTTTGTTCCTCCCCCCCCCCGCAGCCGCTTCGGAGGAATGGCCGCTCCACGGAGGAGACGGCTTGAAATCCGTGGCTGTGGTGAAACCGCGGCACCTTTGGTTTTGTGTATGTATGGGGTTGCTTTACCTGTGTACGGACCTCGTTGTGCTGGGATAAGATACTCGTCTCGTCTCGGCAAGGAAACCCATCGAGTCCGCCCGGGAGGGGAGCCTGCATGTCGTGTCGTTAGCTGTTTGCGCTTGGTGTGACTTCTCCAAGGACTGCCGGGTGCGGCGGACTTGTGCAGACTATATAGGTATTAACCTGGAGTTTTTTCCTACATACCTATTGACTCAACAACCACTCCTCCGCCTTCGCTTTGGTTTTTATCCGTCGTCCTTCTCTCTGAAGCTCACGCTGTCATGTAACTAGGGCCGGCTGCGTGCGCTCCACGTGCTATTTGGGGTTCCAAAAACCGTCATGGCCAATCATTCGTGGAATTGGCAGGGAAGAGTCACCTTTTCAGCTGGCGACCTAGAACCTATACAGAGTAGGTACCCCTCCACCCGAGCACCTACCCTCAGCTTCAGCAAACATCGCATTCCACCCTCAAGATTGGTCCTTTGACTTTCACGACCGTTGCACTCGGAGGTTGAGGTGGAATCATTGGGTGGGGCTTTGACGAGTGACACAGGTAATGAGACCCAAGAACGGGTACGAGAATATAAAACGTGATTCAATTGAACGAGAGGTGTATGAGGATGATGTCTGTTGTGTTGAAAAGAAGGACCGACAAGACGAACAGAAAAGCAGCAACGGAAAACATTTCAACGTTCAACGACCGCATCGGGTCTGCCCTCCATAACACATAGGTCCCACCAGGTCCCCCCTGGTCCCAACAAGGTCTCTGCTCCTAAATACAAGTCCCAACAAGGTCTCAACAAGGTCTCAACAAGGTCTCACCCCTCCGTTGCTCACCTATATGTACCGCCCTGCCGCCTCATCCTTCGCGCCCCTCAGTAGGTGTAATGAAACGGTGACGACTGTCGCGAACGTCACGGTACAAACGGAGAAGCCCGGAATCAAGCGAACCCCACATACCCCACTGCACAGCTCGTTCCTTGCGAAGTTATCGTATGATGATGATGATGGACAAAAACAGTTACAGCGGTACCGCGAAGATGTAAAGTCTTGATCCCAACAATCGTTTCGCCTACCAATATTCTCTCCCAGCCGTATCCTGCCGTGCCACCGAGTCAGCTGTTAGAGATTGATCCCCTAAAGCCCTCCACAATGTTCCTCAAGGCCGGTTTACAGTCATCCAGCGCAGCAGCTATCTCTCCATTACCAGGACCTCGACTCTGACTCCAGACACTCGGTGATGGGACAATACGCTCTGGATCGCGCCCGGGGTGCCCTAATACCAGTGTTCGACATAGTCCGGCCCGTCCGTCCTGCGCCTCGGACCGGACTGGACTCTATATTGGCAGTCCGTCCGGGAGCGGTGTTCGGACGGACTAGTCCGAAATTGTTTGAGGTCAGGACGGACTGCAGTCGACTGCAGTCCCCTCCAGTCCTCGGAATTCATGGACGGGACGGACTACTTTTAGGCGGTCCGGAACAGACCTCGGCAGTCCGTCCGGTCCGGGCTGCAGTCCCAACCGGACTATGTCGAACACTGTGCCCTACGTTGTGTTTGCTGCGAGTCGGAACGAACGGAATGAGTGAGCAAGAACAGCCTACCCTGCTCAAATAATGAGAAGACCAAGTTCGAGGGCCGAGGAAGAAAGTGATGGATTAATATCTATCGAGTAGATTCTCCGACAGTCCGAAACCCTCAGCTATATAAGCATGTCCTCGCCGCGGTCCGTGCAATACCTCTGGATCCTTTCTCCGTCACCGCTATCACCACTCCTTTCTCCTTCATTTCCCTCTCTCTTGCTCAATCGTCGCCATCAAATCGTAGGCGCTCCGAGTGAGTCGAGTCGACGGCTATTATAGACAGCGACGTGACCGCCGGTGCCCGCTACTGGGCCTGGGACGAAGACGGACGGCATGCCTCCCGTCCGTCCGTGCCTAGGACGTGGCGGTCAAGGTTTTTTCAGCGGACGGACAAGACGGAAGGCCCAGGACGGCCGTTGACGGCCATCCGCCAATCCTTGAGTAAAAACCTGATTTCTGGCGTGGGCCTTGGGTGGCCGAGTGAGATATATTGCCTAGAGCGCTGTGATAGGGGCCGGGCGCCGCACCTTAGGCGTCCGAGTCAGAATACTGCTACTTTTCACAACTAGTGGAGCGGTGAGGGATGAGGTGGTGCGTAGGATATCAGTGCTAAGAAATTATCAATCAGCCGAATCATTTTCACGTGACTTGGACGGTCGTCCTCCACCGTCGGACGAGGACCGACCCGTCCGTCCCAGGCTCGGACCATCCGGCATTTCGACCGTCCGGACCGGACGATGGAGAACACTGAACTACTAGTAGCCTCGACCGTACACCTTCTCATCGAACAAGGGCGCAATTTGATCGCTTGGATTTCAGCGTCCTGCGCGCCCAGGGTTTTATCAAGGTCGGGATCATATGTAGCTACGGGAATGAGCCTTGTGCACCCTTGCATGCATGGACCGAACGCGTCGACGCGTCGTCCAACGCGAGCTTGTCGTCGTGCGGGGGAGGCGCGGTCGAGCGACGGGAGGCAGCAAGAGGCATGGGCAGGCGTGGCGACGCTTCCTCGCGGATATTTGGGTGGTGCGGCGGCAGCGGCGGCGGCGCGGGGTTGTGGTCGACATGGCGGGGGAGCGACGGCTGGATTGCAGACAGGGGTACCCTTTTTACTCCTTCGGGTATCTTTCCTAGCCACAGCCACACAAATTATTAATGAAGAATAAAAAAATAAAAAGAGTGAGGCCCATTGCCCACTCAAGGATCGTCGCGTCTACTCTCATCACCGCTCGTACTTATCGCCACTCATACTATCAGTACACGTCCAACATGACCGCTCATCTAATACCTGTCCCCTCTAACGCTTCCTTTTGGTCTGACACTCTTTTCAACGTCACGGAGCCGGTCACTCTCACGGCGGAACAATTTGATACCTATTGGCCACTGATCAGCACTGTCTACACGAAAATTGGTGGCCTCTTACTGCAACGTGGTGGTACTGTAGAAGTACAGAAATATGAATGTCGTTTAAGGAAGAGTAAAAAAGGAAGAAAAGCACCTTTACCAAGGGGTGATGGAGTAAGGAAAAGACTTCGCGAGGCAGCAATCCGGAAACCAGGCCTGTGCAATATGCGCATCAAAACAACACGCACCACCGCCGAACCGATTACTATTACAATCGAAAGACTCGATAACGAAGAACATCAACATACACTAGAGCGCAGCCGAGAAATTGCACCTTCGGCCTTATCCCTTCAACTGGCGGCTGTAGAGTTGTCCAAAGGATATCCACCTGCCCAAGTTCTGAACGCGTTGAAAGGGGTCGGAACTTCGGAGGGAGATGCGTGTCTTATTGAAATTGGAGGAAAACATATAAACAGGTAAGTGATTTTTATATCTTAACTGAGTTTTTAATAATTAAATTTATATTAGAAAACTCATCTACGACAAAGCGCGTAGTTTATCACAAGCCGACGAACGAACAAAATCATCGAACAGTGGTGGAGAATTGGATGGAAGTTGTCACGAAGTAGTTGAACCCCTTCCAAATGTATTACCGGCGCAAATTGTGAAGGAAAACGGAAGACCTTGGGAATTGTACATAGATATGATGGAAGTTCATGACAGACAACTCCGTTGTTCTGGTTTGTTACGCGATCGTTTCGTTTCGCCGGGCGTGCAGGAGTTTCGTTCGCTGAACGTTCAGTATGGCTTCGTTTCGTTTCGCTGAGTGTTTCGTGGTCTCGGTTACCTAGTATTAGAGATGATCTTAATGAGAGTGAAACTCAAATATTAACCGCTCGATAGCACGATAAATCTGTGGTAGTGGTTGTGCTGATAGTGGTGCAGATTCTTTCACAGTAGAGCGGATCTTGGACTATTAGGAGCTCGGACAGGTACACGCTAAATTGTCGAAACAAATCACTCGGCTCGACGGCTGCCGCTAAGAATTCTCGATTGACTTCCACTTGCTTTGGACAGTCGCGTCGAAACGGAGCTTGTAAATTTTTCATGATCTAGATACCGGTAGGTCGCATGCAATCAATGACTAAACAGAAAGCTTCCACCTGCTCGAGGGGTGTCCAGGAATGTGTGAACCTTACTCGGTGACTTAGGTTACGTTTTACCTCCTTACGAATCTGTCGACCCGGCACACGAAGACGTATCACGCACAATCGGAGACCGAAGGGGTAGAGTACCGGACCGCGACCTCGAGGACTCCGGGCTGAAGAGTCTAGCCAGTATTTAGGTTTATGTTACGTGGTTGCCTTTTCGATGGATGATTTCGTTACGGCCGACGACAAACTCAAAATGCACCACATGAAGTTTGAACTGCCTTGATGAAGCTTCCAACAGTGGAGATGCCATGTGACCTGTGAAGGACCCTGTCGGCCCAATTGCAGTGCTAGAAAAACCACACGGTTTGACATTTCTGGAGACAGTCTCGGTGCAGTTGACAATTGGTGTCAAACAACGTCTTCTGTGGATGTGCACATTGGTCGTTCCTGCGGAACGTGCTAAGCTTTGCCGTCGCATAATCTCGCCGTCATACACATGTTATAAGCTCAATCAACTAGGTAGCTGCAACTCAAAGCTCGGCGGCGCCATAGCTATCCCCCTCCGAGTCCGCTGTGCAATGATCTCCCACATCGAAGCAATGCAGGACATCGCGCCCGAGAACAACACCTCACCCGCGGCTACAGCCGCCGCGGTCAAACCATCAGTCGTATTGCACGGCAGACCACAAGACGATATCAACTGTTACGAAGCGGGATCATTTATAGCATTCCTAGCATTCACCCTCCTCATGTTTATCTTGTGTTACTCAATGATCTTGGACCATGAGCTCCGTGTCCGCATGCCTTCCGCACCGTTGGGCTCCTACGTCGGTCCTCACTAGTCGCTCGCCACGTCCGGCCCCGAGTTCTGCAGGCTCTTCAAGGGCGACGCAGGGCTGTACTCGTTGAAGTGCTGGAACGGCGTGGGCATGGACGTGGTCTATACTGGTCAGGGAGAGTGCAGTGCCATCGCTTATGGACGTGATGAGTGGTGGGAGGTAGTACGGCGGTGGGAGGTTGAGTGTGGTGGTCCCGAGGGAAAGGTGTTGGGTCGGGTTAACTCTCAAGTGGTGACAACGATGGAGTGAGGACGGGGACGAGTGGTCACTGGTTGGGTGCAGTTACGAGATGTACAGTACCCGCACGGGGTTGTATTACCGCAGAGGGTGTGATGTATTGCGTACGGAGGACGTAGGTATGTGAGAGTAGAGTACGGTATTATGTGGAATCAAATTCCTTTTCGCAATGGGCATTCATTCCCGAATCTCACATCTTGCTGTGTAACTGGGTCAACCACCACGCTCCAGAACACCACCTCTTGCATACTTCATATCGTTTGGAGAAGTCGCTCGGGTTAGCTGGGGATCCGTAAGACCTTGGAAAGATCGAGTTCACACATTGCATCGTCAAATGTGAAAACTTACTAACAATAGACGGGCTTTTCGCGACCCACCCTTCGATTCCTTAATTTCTCCGCTCCAAAGCGCCTTTCCTCTATCCCTCCTCCGACATGAAGATGTCTCAGACGAAGCACTCATTCGACGAAATCATCGGACCATGTCGGACTACCGGTCTCTACTCTAGTACTACTAGAGTAGGTTCTTTTTTGTCTCAAGTCGTGCCCCCAATTTCTCACTGCTGCCACCACTGCCAAAGAGTCAAACTGTCTGACATGAAGCCTCCCGCCGGCGGCTGCCACTGGCTAGCCCCCCATCACCCGCGCCGCTACACACACACATATATAAAGTAGGGGCGGTATGATGTCATATGTATGCTTGGTCCACACTTCAAATTTTCCACATGGCAGCGTGAGACATCCATACGGCCAGGAGCACCTCTCCTAAAAGTTGATGGGGACGATTTCCTTGGCCAGGTTCGCGATACATATATCGTATGGCTGGGGATTGTGATATATGGATGCCGGCTGACTTCAGGCGCCTCCTGAGTCCTCAGCGGCCATTATTATCCTTGGCAGTAGCAGTGGTACATACTGCATAGTGAGGGGGGGTAAAAAAATACGCTTTTTCCCGCACCAGTACGGTCAAAATACGTATTTTGACCGTACTAAAACGATTTTTAACCGTACCGATACGGAAAAAAGCGTATTTCTTACCCCCCCCCCCTCACTATCCCCTTGTGTGGCATTCCGGGATGGGGTACTATGTACAGTGCATTAGTGTGTGTACTATGCATTAGCGTGGACAATTCCAGCCAGTAGTAGCATGGTGAGCAGTATAGTGTATTTTGGCAGCGAAAACGAGATACCACATTTCAAGAGCAACTGCAGAAAACTTCAAAGAAACGTAAAGGCATCGGTGATAATACAAGGTGACGAACTGGTGAACTGTTGGAGACTAATGATGACCAGAGACTGACAACAGGCCGACAGAAGTAGTGACAACAGAGACAGATAAACGTTGGATGACCGCATAGGGTCTGGAACAGATCCCACCAGGTCTCAGTAAGGTCTCCTCTCTTCGGCGCCCCCTCAGTACTCTACATAGAGTACCTAGCCTATGACCACTAACAAGAGTACCGGACTCTAGAATGGATCTCGATTGCATGAATAAAGGTGAGGGTTATGCATAAAAAGCATCAGGGGGGAGGGGATTGGACATTCATTCGAGATTCAATTCGATACGAGGCATCCTACAGAATGTGCATCCGTAGAGTACATACCTGGTAAGAGGTATGTGCTCTGGCGGCCAGGAGTCAGGACGGTAGAATAAAAATTTGACTCATATGAGCGAAGCAGGGCGCACTGCACACAAGCGTGTTAGGTAGGATGTAATTCCAGGAGGGAGTGCCGTAGAGCAGCCCACTCTCGTTCCATATGGCCAGCCCCGCGGGAGGTTGCGTACAGTTGAGATCACATGGAACCCGTTCGGAGTAGGTATGATACCGTATGTACGTTCCTTCGCTGAAGCGGCGAAGCCTCGCAACCCGTACGCCAGTCGTGAGTTCGAGGTACCTACCAGGAGGTATGTACTCTACGTCGAGCCGAAGGAAAAGAATCCAAGATCGAAAAACTTTGGGCACAACACGGGGAACCCACGAGAGCGCAGCAGCAGAGCACTGAGCAGGCACGCATGCCATCCCGTTGACGACAAGCACCCATGAGACACGGCCATGAGGGATTTTTCTCGTCACACAGTCTCACACTTCAGTCGCCCAGCCCCATCTTACTCGGCACAGCGGGGATGAGAGAGCTGGAATCCACTTAGTAGTAGCTATCTTCTACTTCATGGGCCCAGTTAGTTACGGTGGTTTCGTACAGACCCTCCAACAGTTAGCCAGTTGAAACGCGAACACTGGTTTAAACAGTTCAGTTCTGTTTGATTTTGTTCCCGGTTCAGTTAGGAACAGAGGCTGTCAGTTCCCAGTTGGTTTAGGTAAGTCTGGCAGTTGTTCCGGGGAAATAGGCGAGATAGGCTCCTGTGGTCACGGAAAAAGCGATAGAAAATGGATTCAGTACTAGTTTTGAATCACTACTCTGATGCTACCTACTGTATAGTGAAGGGGAGGGTAAAAACTACGCTATGATTACACGCTTTTTTCCGTATCGGTACGGTCATATAGCGTAGTTTTTACCCTCCCCTTCACTACACAGTACACATGAGAGACTGAGAGTACGGCGATTGAACTTCTTGATAGCCTCCAGAGCTTCAACACTCTCGGTACTTAGGAAATAATGATGATCAGTAAGAATCATCTTGCACTCGGAGAACAGCCGTTCAAGCTCAGCCGAGATGGCTAGAATAGACAGAATGTCAATCGCCATTTGGCTGAGGTAAAGAAAATGTCGTTTCTGGAGCGGTTCCAGCCACCATTCGATCGCAGCAGGACTGCTTCGAACATTCCTCTCGACAGGCAATGAACAATAGTCCTGGAGCCCGCCAACCAGCGCAGCGTGCTCCATAGGTGGTGGGTTAATAGTAGCGACTGGGTGGTGGGTTGTAGGCGATTCGCCAGTGGGTCGTGGTGGCGACAGATGTAGCCCTAAGCCTCACTGAACTGATGGGACAAGCAGTTTTCCCAGTTCAAAACCCAGCAGTTGGTTCAGTTTGCCAGTTGGTTAGTATGGGAACACCCCCGGGTTGTTCCCGGTTCGAACTGTTGGAGGGTCTGGTGTCGTACACTGAGCACTCCTAAGCGTGAATATGCTGTAGGCGCAGTACTCGACCATATGAGGAGCTTGGTGGTGACCGACTGGGGCCCTTCGCCAATGCTTGGGCGGGCCAACTACTATTTGGGTACTGTTAGCCGCAGAACGAATGGCCGTCTAAACAAAGCGCCTGGTCGAGTCGGAAACCAAGAGAAACAGTTCAACGAGGCCAACCCCCTGCGTCCGACAAGCCCAAATACCGGTACTAGTACTAGGAATAAGAGAAATTACTGAAAATGTCTACTTACCTGACGTGGCCCTGTGTATGTAGGTGCAATTTCCCAATGGAAAGTTTTACTATTTCGTCCTCAATAGGTAGCCCTCTAACTAGCTAGTTACCAGTTGCCAACAGAAAAATAAAGCATCAAGGTAACTTGAACTCCGTATATGTGATATGTAAAGCTGTTGATTTGCTATTATTGTGGAGAAAGTGTGGGGACTTGGAAGCTGCTGCATATATTACCGCAGTAGTTGATCCGGGGGCGGGGATCTCCTCCTCTCCAACCCTCCATTACCATAGCACATTCGAAACACACAGTACAGTAGTGCCCGCCTTAGGTATGTGCACGGCGCATATTGTCGAGCTGATCGCTAGGTCGCCACTCAGTCGAGTCGTAGTGGGTGGGTGGGGAGGGGGATTCAAAGGTAACTTCGATCCGGATACCTACATACCGGATACGGTAATCCCAACGTTACCGAACTACCAATCCGTTCGTATGGATGGGATCGAAGCTCCGAACTATGTACAGATATACGCTGCGCCACAGAAAGTAGTTTACCATACGTCTTGGTCGTAGGGCTCGAAAGCAGTAGTTACTCGCCGAGTCAGAATTCCCACAGTTGGACGTTTGGAAATGTGATTTTTTGTTGCAAGAGCTTGTGGGTCTTTCTCGTGTGGTTCGTCGTGTGATGGAGCCAGAAACGCATGGTCAAGGGTTAACTAGGTAGATGGAGCAGGCACTACGCTAAGCTCACTGTGGATTGACTCCGGTGTTCCTATTCCTGGAGATAATGAACTTCAGCTCAGCGTCCATTCAACCAGAACCCAAGGCGAACAGCACATACCCCAAACCCACCATTGTGGATGAATGATTCCTGATCCTGCGTACGAAAAGACTCTCGGTATTGACCAGGACGGCGATGAGCTAATCATGATGCAGACGCATTGCGTCCTTCTTCGCCGGCTTGGTGCTTCCCACACCCACCGCGCGCGTGCCACCATGGGCTTCACACACCCCACAGCGCGCGCGCCACCATGGGCTTCACGAACACAGCCATATGCTCTAGTGTAATCACATACCCAAGTATCAATTCGGTGTGCAGGTTAGAACGCATCTGCCGAGATACAGAAGAAGTTTTACTACTTCTCCACGGCACCAAGATGTTGGATTCGAGGAATTACAGCTTCATCTTATTAAAGCAGCCTCCTTCTCCTGCTCCTGCTCCACCTCCTCATCCTCATCCTCATCCTCATCTTCATCCTCATCCTCCCACGTCAAATCTTCTCACTCCCATCTCCCTGAATCGCAGCCGTCTCTCATACCCAGCTGGCATTCCCAGTCAGGTTACCTACTTCGAGTTCAAGTGACTCGGTCTTCAAGAACTTTTCGTTCCTCCTTGCACATCAAACCTCAAGTTCCTCGCCCACACATCGTTTGTCGGCCATCTTCTCATACGTATCAAGCCTCGTCTTGCTCGTGTAGTTGGGATTCCGACTCCTTGAGCACCGTCCAACTCCTCTCGTATCAGAGAACTCCATCATGCCCGGGGCACCGCCCTACTGCAGGTGTGTGGTCCCCATTACCGATGTGACATTTGCATGTTGACTAACAGGCGTCAAGTGTTGCCGACAGTGCGGGCGACGGAAGCGCGAGCCATTCCAGTAACGACAGCGGCAGCCAAGCCCAAGTGACTTGACCGAGGTCGGCAGTCTCTTGTCAAGGCTGGGTTGAAAGGGTGTACATTCCGGGGTGCGAGAGATTCGTGGGTGAGCGCAACGCGATCCTGAACGCCGACAACGCCAATTTCGGCGCGTCACCTTCACCCCCGTCTCTTCCGCCACCCGAGGCATCTCCGGATCCTGCCTTCATCAGCGATTCATCGCCGGAAAACACCTGCACCTCCACCCCTGCACTCCCTTCCACCAAGAGGAAGCAGACATCCCCCGCCCCGGGCGAGGACCAGGACTCCCAGCACCCAAAGAAGAAGAAGAAGCATCATGGAGACGCGCTATGGGTGATGCGGCGTCACGGCCGTATCCCAGTTGTTCCGTGAATGGTATTGATTCCGAGTCTAAGGAGTGCCTACTTCCGAAGGACGGCTGCTGATGAGTGCCATGTAGTTCCCCCTTTGCCCACCCTGCTCGTCGACGATTTTCTATCACTGGCCCTGTTTGCCTGCAGCATCGTTCTTTCGTACGCTTACATCGGTCCCTGGAATTATCCCGACGAAAACAGGTTATGGCCTCCTTTTTTCTTACGTGACCCGGTAATTGAGGTTTTCCCCCTTCTCTTCGTGTTTCAGAGTTTATTCTCCTGTGAAGACGGCTTTCTGTCGGTATTTTTGAATTTTTGGATATCTCGTCGGTTCCGCGTGTTATTGCAGATAGCTCGTATTTGGCCTAAACGTTTGTCGAGACGTAAGAGGCCTTTTTCTCTGGTTTTTGTTGATTGTTTTTGCGAGTTTCGAGGCTATCTCCTAGTTTTTGTTTGTATTTTAGACCCATAATCCGAATGCTTCATACACGCCCCCACATACTTACCTACATGCGCATGTGACCACTTACGTTGACCATAGCCAACCTCCTCTGCAATTCGGAGGGGCTTGGGATCCCTTGGTCGCCATCGGGCTGCAACGCAGGAACATATAGATGAGGCACAGACGAGCAGGCTGGGCCATCCTCATGCATTCCTACGTGATTACAGTGGTTGCCTACCCGTAAGTGTAAGTGTACTATGTGTGTAAGTGCAGTTTTGTGCCTCAAGGTCAGATTGGTGTCGTGATGGCGACGTTCGACTCTGCGCCTCCGAGGTGTAGGTGTAGCGGTATTAACCGCGCCGCATAACTACCTCCATACTTTCAGAAAGCGAGGGAGATCTCCCTCTCTTGAATGCTTGAACTCGGTATATTAATCTGCCGACGAAAGTGCCCCCCCCCTCCTATCTGCCGCCTATACGAATACGAAGGGGTTTTCGTGGTTATTTTGGGTTGAGTCGCCAAGGAGAAGGTACACATGCATAGGGGTTGCATTCTGAGGTTAATTCTCTGTGACTTCTGCAGGAGTCGTACTCGACAATTTCTAGGAGATTTAGGGGGGATCGGGTTTAAGCGACGAAGACGACGACGACCGATACCCATCAATCTCAGAACACGAGCACGGCCTAGCAATCGTACAACCCCCCATTCTAGTTCTATAATGGGCTGAAAGTGGTGGATGGGGGGCATAGATGATAGCCATGGGTACCGATGTTTGTCGCAAGAGTCAAATACGAAGCAACGGGATGTGATTGACCGGAGACGTCCATGCTGACCCCGCACCTAACAAAGATATCTCCCAGGGATGTGTGTGATATCGATTTCGAGGGTTCCTCGAGAAAGCCGTGCGTGTGCGGCGTCCGGTCCGACCGGCTGGTTGTATAGATATGGCTATGGCGAGACCAGCACACGAGGTAATGGTAGTCGGTCTGCTGTAGGTACTGGTACGTCACCCACATCATCGTCAATGGTGGCCGCAAGAATGATCGGGAGACTGCAAAGGCCTCTAGTGAGGTTGTTCCAATGGCACGACAAACGGGGATGGACTCTTGTATCTGACGCGACAGATCCAGCGGTGGGTGGTTGTCGATGCATTCGTGGTTAATCCGACAGAAAGTGGTATCTTTCACCACGGCGAACTTTAGCAACTCGAGCGAATTTGGGGAACACCGTGCCGGGCGGGAATCCTGCGCTATGGGAACGCGAACGTTGGTGTTTTCGGGACGTAAGTTGGGGGTTGTTGGCGTCACAGAGGGTGGGGCAAGAATGTTAATCGGCAAAGCCCAGAAGCATCAGGAAAAAGATCATATGTACTCTACTCTAGGGACGCGACGTCCACCTTATACCCACACGCCTACCTACACACGGACCTCCAACTGCCGAGCCGAGCACACACCTCTTCAACATCCGGATTGCACCTGGTGATGATGATGATGCAGAAAGGGATTTACAGCGCCCTTAAACAACAACCCGTCGGAACAGTACCTTGAGTTCCTCTAGAGTAGAGTACTTGGACGGTTAGTAGTTACCTGGTGTGAAAGTACTGAATCACCCAATGCCCTTGTCTCAAGTCCACGATACGACAAGGACCCATACGGTTTTATTTGGCGGTTCCAAGCAAGGAACTAGAGTAGTAGCTCTAATACTATTCCTGGGGAATACATGCTCCAACTGCGAATGCCGAGACTCTGAGTTGATACGGAAATAGAAACCCTTAGGATTATCGAAATACCGTGTGAAACTGGATTCATAGCTTTCCGTATGTACCGAATAAACAGTTTGTGTGTTCCGAAATCCGATTGCTGTGCCGAGCTGATGATCGTATGTATGTAGGATGCCTACCTAGGTATGTAGCCCGAGGTGAGCGCCCCTGCAGCTATGCACGCAAACTGTACTTAGTCAAGCACGAGAACTGAAAGATAGGACGTGCAGTCTGCCCTAAGAGCTGGCAGTTCCTGTTTATTCTTCCAGTTGGTGCGCTCGACACATCTACCCCTCCTGACCAGCTCCGGAAGGAAGACTCATTATGACTACCGAAGATCCCAGACGAATATATTGTCGACAATTAATCACCTTTGAAGGCGATACGGTGGACAGGCATTATATTCTCAACACATGGCCCGATACTACGTACTGTATAGTGAAGGGGGGGGTAAAAATACGCTTTTTTCCGTATCGATACGGTCAAAAGACGTATTAGTACGGTCAAAATACGTATTTTGATCGTACTGATACAGAAAAAGCGTATGTGTTACCCCCCCTTCATTATACAGTGAATATACGCGTTAGTTAGTGCGAGCTCATCTGGATTCATTGGTTATGGTTTTTGCAATGAACTGTCTGCAGAGAATGTCCTAGAAAGATACCTACCTCTAGGAGCGGGGCTCTCTGTGACGATGATGTACTCCCATATCCTCCCATATCAATCCATATCCTCCCATATCAATCCATATCGTCCTATATCAATTCATACCCGCCTGTATCCACCCATATCAATCCGTATTCTCCCATATCAATCCTTTCGAGAGAGGGGTTGCTTTGATTCCAAGGGACAACACACAGAACGAGAAGTGCGATTCTTAAGAAGAAACCCCCATATCCTCTAGTTCCCGGGGCCGTAAGCCACCAGGCCCCGCTGTTAAGACCGCATCCGCAGGGACGCCGTCATAATGGCAGGGGCCTTGGGAGCGGTGGGGTGAATGATTGGGAGACAGTCGGGGTGGTGGTGGGCATGTATGTCACTACTCTATGTTTCCGAAACGGTGCATAAGTTGGCTTGTGATGGGGATGACGGAGCAAAAGCGGTGGCGGAGTACTCGTAGAGGAGTGAGGCGTAGAATATGGTGGTGGAAGTTACTGCGTAGGAGTTGGGCTAACACAAAGCGGTTGCATGGGTTCTTGCAGGTGCTTGCTAGATATCCAGTCAGGCCGCTACTACCATTACAACACTGGAAGGTTCGATTTTCCTCGCGACCGATGGCCATACCTAGTTGGTAGGCTGCTTTACGTATTGTACATATCATTGTCGCAGTCACTCTCTCACGGTGTCTTCGTACCCTCCCAACCTTGTGCTTTGTCCTACTGCGATCGCAATAATTCTAGATTCATATTCGCAATCCGTCTGACATCTGCGGTACCTGCCCGCACGGCAACGGCATGAGTCCCGTGCTTGGTCGGCCATGAGCCATGGCTAGCGAAGGCTGAAGCGATGTACGCCATCGCCAGCATCCATCGTACAAGTCTAACTCGTAGGGACGTGCCACCAGCGGCCAGCCTCATCGCCGGTAATACCGCCAATCGATGGATGCACCACGGAGACAGACAGTACAGAACCGTCAACATTTGCCACCGTAGGAAGTGGTCAGCGGCCACTCCCCCGCTGCTTACGTTGCTGCGGCCGGTAAGTATCTATATAGGTAGTCATCGCCGCGCGCAACTCCGCAGCCCAAACATGCGAGTTATGACACAACTGCCGGTGATGCGCGAGTGCCCGCAGTGTGCATAACTGCCTTTGCATCGGAGCTCGTGTATCGTGCGGTGGTGTTAGACGGAGTCAGCCGTCGTGGGTAGTTGTGCATGTACGTCTAGCCTGCAACAGTTGCAATGAAGTCTCCTGCTAGATATCATTGGCTCCGGCACGGTGGGCTGAATGATTTCACCAGTGAGCCTTCCGGTGATCTACATATCTTGGCAACACGCCACAATTTTTGGCCCCCGAGCGGTTTCCCGGGCGGTTTTTGTTCGTTCCGTGTTTCGTTGGGCTTGCGAATAGCGTTCGAACTCGCGGACGACCTGCTGGTTTGGGGAAGTGAGATACGCTCGAGAACCCCCAGGAGCTATAAGCGGAGGTATGACCGTGCCAAAGCCTCCGTCTCCTTTTCTTCTTTTGGGTGCCTGGCTTCCCATTAGATATCGTACCTATTAGCAGTCAAGCTTGAATCTAGGTTCGAGATGGTGGAGAACCCACCTTTTAAGGGCCGCTGCGGGCCGCAATCTACGTCAGAAAATGGCGGGTCTAATAGTACGCATAAGGAGATCCAGGTTCGTCTGACATTGACAGCGCCCGGTACCTAGTTTGGAACTAGGTACCGAAGACCAAGCATTACCATACATAAGAGGGCTGAACCTAGTTGATGGTGGCAGTCCTGCAAAGCCGGCGAATAATACATCACCAACTACTACCGTAGCCGTAACTGCTCTAGATCCTGTGAACAAGCGAAAATCCTTAAAGCCGCGTTGTCCAACGACATCATTTCAGCTGGATACTGAAAGTTTCCGGAAGCTGTCACACCTGATATCGCAGTATCTTTCTGGCGTCACGTTGGTTGGTTGGTTGGATGGCTGGTTGGTTGGCGTGCACACTAATAGGTAAACAGTAGAGGCCTCATTAAGCACCTTATGGGGGCAGTGGAGGGGTTGGACGCGTCGATAGAGAGATGATTGTGTCGGGGCCGTTCCGCAACGCCTGGCGTGGAGCCCCAAAAGCAGACGAGCGCGGCCCTCTGCATTCTTCGGTAGGTTCTCGCCTTCCGTTTAAGCAGAAGTGAGCGCATCGGACTGCTGCCATGACTTTCCCTGCCGATGCCGTGGCCGAGTCGAGTCGGTAGCCGCGGCTAGAGGGAAGCAAGAGCAGCGCGCCAGATCGGTACTCACAGGATGGACGAACGAAAAAACCCCCACCCTATTCCACATTATGGTGTTATTATATCACAATTAAACGGAGTTCGATATTCAGGTACTGATGTGCTGCTTTTGCCAATTCAAACGGACCATCGGATAAGTTTAACAACCTTGCCGCGCATCACAGCGATCAGCTAGAGTACCGAGCCAGTGAGCGAACTAAGTAGCTCGCTCCAATTCGTACGTCATCTAAGGTGTTCTGCGCGCAGGGCACCTCGAACTTCTAGACCTTTGATCTCCAAGGAGGCGGCTCCTGTGGTCGGTCATGTCTTGACCGCGACAAACCCGTCGGGTAAATACACCCTGCCAGACACAAAAATAAGACCTGTATCGGTGTTATC